ACATTGAAAATAAAAATTTCATTAATTCAACTAATCGATTACTTCCCAAGAAGCACGTAATATAACCTCAATATCAAGGTAATATTACATGTAAGATTCGTAATATAACGTTGTAATATTACAGTAATCTTACAGTTATCTTAAAATGTCCGCCTCAAGGTAATATTACCGGTAATGTTACTGTAATATTACGCGCTAATATTAAGGTAATATTACAGTAATATTGCAGTAATATTATACCGTAATATTAAGGTAATATTACAAGAGAATATTACAGTAATATTATGGGAACATTTCTTTACGAAAAAAATCTACCCATCCAGGGAATCGAACCCCGAACTCAAAGGACACGAGTCCAGAGTTTTACCAACAAGCCAAATTGACTTATAATATATTTACGTTTTTTATGCTTTATGAATAACTCAAATCAGTCTGTAATATTACTGTAATATTACCGTTAATATTACAGTAATATTCCCAGTAATATTACAGTAATATTCCCGGTAATATTACCTTGAGGCGGACATTTTAAGATCACTGTAAGATTACTGTAATATTACAGCGTTATATTACGAATCTCACGTGTAATATTACCTTGATATTGAGGATATATTACGTGCTTCTTGGGTTGACTATTATCAAAAAAATAATTGTATTAATTATTATTTGCTACATAATAACTTTTTTTAATTTCTAAATTTTTGGCGCTTTAGTTAAAGACGCCGCCACTAGGGGGAGTGTTTTTGTTGAGGACGCCACCGCTAGAGGAACACTATTTAGTTCAGGACGCCACCGCTAGGTTTATTTATTATTAGTTCGTTTTTCCTACAAATAGCACAAAAAAAATTTAATTTAAATAATCGGTTACTTGACTATTATCAAATAAATATTTATTTCTATTAAATAAATTTTGTTCAGTGTTACGATTATTAGTTTTTCGGAAAAAATATCGTGGGAATTGTAGATAAGATAAATCAGATTGGTTTTTTTTTTTTTTTTTAATGAAAAGGGGAAAATTTTTTGCTGAATGAGGAGAAAACTGAAATATAATAAATAGACAATTCTGATATAAAAGCAAAAAGAAAATCCTGCAATTATTTTTATATTCAGGACACACATCATATACAATCTATAAAATCTGGTATATATAGTATGTGGTCAACTCATTTCTTTAGCTTTCTGGTGGTGATACACGTATATATATATATATATATATATATATATATATATATATATATATATATATATATATGAAAGTCAATTGCCACATCAAAGTCCTTTCCCAACAGGACCGTAAAACGTCAGACGATCTTTAATTACCTGAATCACTTTCTCTAAAATATTAACTCGACATGATCCTGCTAAAATGTTCCCTATATATATTTCATTACTACAAAAAAATCTAGAAACTATCTTTTCACTGTTTTGCAAAATAATTATAAATAAATTACTAAAAGAATAAAATTTAACACAATATTATTAATTAAATTAAAAATAATAATTTAATTAGTTAAAAATAACAATTATTGTCCCAGAATTTAAATATTTATTTTTTAAATTTGAATTAGTAAAATTTAACTAATTAATGGTAAAAAAAATACAAAAATAAAAATTAAATCACTAATTAAAATTCAACTAATTATTATAATTAATTAAACTAATCTAATTAATGTTAAAAAAAAATTTTAGTTACATTTTACTAAATCGATAGTATAAAATTTTATAATTTAAATATAATAATAATAGTATTTAAATAAATAGTAATTAATTTAATATTTAAATATAATTATTTTTAACTAATTAAAATATTATTTATTTTAATTTATATAATAATAATAATTTGTTGAATTTAATAATTTAGTATTTAGTAAATTTAAAATTTAGTAAAATTTAAAAACTAATATAAAGTTAACTAATTAATATAAATTAATTAATATATATTTAAAAATAAATATATTAAAAAAATATATTACTATCGATTTAGTAAAATTTAACTAATTCAAAAGGAAAAATTGAGTCACTTATTACTAATTAATATAATTAATGAAAATAATTTTACTAATTAATATTTTAAAAAAATTACTACAGATTTAGTAAAGAGTAATTAATTTAAATAAAAATTGAGTGATTAATTGAAATTTAACTAATTAATATAATTAATTAAATTAATTTAACGAATGAATTGCATAGAAATCTACTATCAATTTAGTAAAATTTAACTAATTCAAAGAAAAAATTGAGTCACTAATTCAAATTAATTAAAATTTTACTAATTATAAAATTTAGATAGTAATTATAAATATTTAATTAATATAAATAAATAAAAATTTCTAAAACAATTTTGTAAAAGAATATTGATAAATAAAAATTTGATATATATATATATATATATATATTATTTTTTTGGAAGTTTATCTGATAAATGTTTAGAAAATAAGTATATATATTATATATATATAGCATATACACCCTGTTATATGTGGGATAAATAGTGGAAAGAACGGTGGGGTCGACTCTTTCATAGATTTTCATATTCTTTCTCTGAATAGTCTCAGTATACGACTTTACAGGAAATCGTATTTTTAAAAATATAAAAACGGAAGAGGAGAATTCTTTTGCACCGCGCGCCAAAAATAAAAGTTTAAAAATGTATATTGCCACTTTTTAAATTCCTTTTCATGCTGCTTTGATATCCAAATACATTTTTTTTTCTCACAATTTCTAAAATTGTAATTAATAAATTATCAAAAGAAAACTAAAAAAAAAACAACATTTTTCATTAAAAATGGAACGTTCTTTTTTTTCGTAAATATTTTTCCTGAGAATCATATCGCAAACGCACGTATATACAGGTTTTGTAATAAAACCCTTAAGCTGAAGGGATTATATGTGAAAGTTTTTTGGAAAAAGAAGAAGCAAAAAACTGCGCCTTCTTCACATATATATATATATATATATATATATATATATATACACGGTACTGATCTGTATGACTGTGGAAGCTGTTGGCAGGATTAAGAGGGGTTAAGATTATCTGGATGAAGTTCAAGTCTGAATCTAAAGTCTTAATTCCCCTTATCTTCGGGGCTTGTTGTCGTACAAAAATAACGAGAATTGTGCGCTGAGAAAAAGTTAATCGGAGCTTAAAAGTCAAAATACTTCCTTTAATACTCCTCCCCCTCTACCCCCCCCACTCATCATCTTCATCTTTTACGAATATAGGTATTATATATCAAGAAAGTTTTACAATTATTCCCTACTAACACTCTCTCTAATTCTGAATTAGTCAAAAAAAAACGAACTACTTTTAAAAGCAAAAAAATCAATCAGTAATAATTTTTTTTATAATCATTTAATTAAAAAAATTAATTGTTAATATTAAATACATTGGATTATAATTTATGCTAAATAAACTTTTAGATAAAAAAAAATAAATAAATAATATTAAAATAATAATTTTAGTAAAATAATAAAAAATAAATTACAGTAAAATAATAATTTTATTCAATTAATAATAAAAATAAATAATATTTAAATAATAATTTTAGTAAAATAATAAAAAATAAATAACAGTAGAATAATAATTTTATTCAATTAATAATAAAAATAAATAATAATAAAATAATAATTTTAGTCAAATATAACTAATTCAATTATTAGACAGATTTGATTTTTTTTTAACTAACAATTAATAATTTTTTTAAATAAAAAAAAAATAAAATTTGAACCGGCCGTATAATAATTTTATCTCAATAGAATTCTTTGAGACTGGCAATCAAATAAAACACTTGACCCGGTGACCGCAGTTTTTTAGCAGCGAGAAAGCTTCTATTAGATTTTTTAAATTAACTTTTTTTCTGAAATCGTCTACAACGATCGAATTCAGTATTTTATGGATATTATGTCAATAAAATTGTTCAATAAGATATTATTTTGCAAAAAAAAAATAAAAAAAACTGCTTTATTTTTATTTCGAATTAAAAAAACTCCTAATTAATTATAGTTAAAAAAAACTAATTATTAGTAAAATTCACTTTTAGCTTATGTTAAAATAACTAATGATAACTAATTAATTTAATCAAATTCAACTATTTTTTAAGTTACATTTCTATAAAAAATTAATAATTTTTTACTAATAATTAGTTATTTACTTGACTCAAATAAAAATTATTTGGTTCAAGTAAATATTTATTTGAGTAATCAAGTAATCGATTATTTAAATCAAATAAATTTTTTTTCATTATAGAGAAAAAAAATTTTAATTTTTGATTTTTATTTACAAAAAAATTTTTTTTTAAATTTTTTTGTCATTTTAAATAAAAATAATAATTCACGCATTATTAATATTTGAAATATTGTCACTATTTATGAAAAAAAAAACCTTTTAATTTTAATGTTTACCACATCGATTTTTGTCATAGCTTTATATATATATATATATGTATACATAGAAAATAAATTTCAATAACAATTAAAATCGTCAAATTTTTACGCCAAATCTACCGAGGGATTTTAAATACGCGATTGTATGTGTGTATAATTTTAAAGTTTCCCCTGTGAATTTTCACGGCATTATATTATACGCGTTGAATATTAATGGCAACGTTTCCAAACGCATCGAATACATTCATTATTCCTTCGATTTTCCACAATATATGTCATTAACAAAGTTAAATAAATAATCATTTATAATGCTATTGTACTCGACACTCTCTCTCTCTCTCCCTCTCGTTAATTTCTAAGTACTTAAATAAATTTACGAAAATAATATTACGCATAAACCAAAATCAACAATTATAATTTTTTTAAAAATTATTTTAAAAAGAAATAAAATAAAAGAAATTTTTTTAAAATTCAATTATTTCTCGATTTTTTTTTATTGATTAGAATTTAATTTTATTTTTCATGTTTTTTTTCGTAAATTAAAAATTTCAATTGATATCGATCCATATGATAAAAAGAAATTTTTCTTTATCATCAAAAAGCGACATTATCGACTGAGTCGTGTATCTGTCACCGCAGTGCAACAAAGAAAATAAATATATTTTTGTATAAAAAAAATTGAATCAACAACACTTTACGATAGTTTAAAGGTCAAAATCAGACAACTTTTTTTTTTTTTACAAATAATGGTGTAGATGTAATTTAAATGTGTATATTCTATTCAAATCAAAGTTCAAAGAGGTGTGGAATTGTGCCTCTTATATATGATATTTAATTTCAATGAAAATTCAGGTTAGCTCTAATTATAATTATAATTACTGTGTTTTTGTTTAATTTAATACTAAAAAAGAAACATTATATTGAGATTTTTTTATCTCCATTATTTTAGTAAATTATACTTAGTTTTTTTCAGATTAAATTACAATTCTGTGAATAGCAGCACTGGAGTAAAAAAAATACGGAAATTATTAAAAAAAAGAACGTAACTCGAGTAATAATAAGGTAAATACATTTACTGTTAATTAATTTTTTTTTATCTATTGTAGTGTCTTTTATCTATTTGATGATTATCAATAATTAAATCCTTCAATCATAAAAAGTTTGGTTATGTTTGCTATTTATGATAAGGAAATGCGATAAATAATATAAAAATTATGTTTCAGAATGTTTTGAGAGAAAATTTCTAGAAAAAAATTAATATTTACAAAATCAACATAAACTTTTTCAATTAACGAGAGAAAAAATGGAATTAGCATTAGCAAAGTAGTAATCTTAAAAAAAAAGAAACCCCCCACGAGTCAAAAATGTTTTCAAGAGTACGAGGATTTTTAAATCGACATAAACGAAAGTTTATCATCAGTGGAGTGGTAGTTGGTGGATTTATTCTAATCACAAGATATACTCAACGTAAACTTCGCGAATGGCAAGAGAAAGAAATACGTGAACTTCTCGAACGAACACGACGATCGCAACATTTTGAAAGTACAGAACGAACATGTGATCAAACAATATTGACATTAGCTACAAGTGTTCGTAATTCAGTGACAAAAGTATTGGACACAGAAACAATTGTCAATAAACTTCGCAATGGTTGTTCAGATAAAGTTGCAACATGGAATATTTTGAAAATTCTCGCTATTTCAAGATCAGCTGTTATTATTTATGCACACGCAATGTTAGTTGCTACACTTAGAATTCAATTAAATCTTGTTGGTGGTTATATGTTTAAAAGTTCACAAAATCCAAATGGAACAATAAAAACCAATGAAATTACACAACAAAAATATATGTCACTTTGTGGCTATTTTATGGACGAGGGAATTGAAAAACTTTGTTCATTGGTCAAGGAAAAAGTTGAAGAAATAACAGCATCCACTTCATTGCGTGATAAATTAACATTAAGAGATTTGGAACAAATTTATTGGTCAATAATATCACTTGTTTCTGCTGATTCAAAAATTGATCCAGTTAAAAATTTACCAAATTACATGATTCCACCGAATTGCGAAAAAGAGACAGACATTATTTTATCAAAAATGATTAATGAAACATTAGATCTTTTAGAAAGTGAAGAAGTACAAACATTGATACAAACAAGTATCAGAAGTGGATTTGTCCTAGTAATTGATCATATTTCAGAATATTTTGGTGATTCAACTATTAAAACTAATGGAATAAAAAATAATAAATTTTTACCAGCACCAGGAACTTCAGGTGAAAAAGAAACAATTTGGACAAATTCTGTGGAAAAATCTGCTGATGAATTTGTCAATTTAAATAAAGTTGCAATGCCAATGGCTAAAATTATTCCAATTATCAATGGACAAGTACCGGATGTTCCTACATCAAGAGATGTACCTTCCGATTGGTTACAACGATTGACATTAAATGATAAACTCAAAACATTAGGAGCGAATGTCTATGAAGCGTTTAGTTTTTAATTTTAATTTTCAATTATATGTTTTTTTTTGTGCAGAGTATTTGTAAATATTTATTTAATTTTTCCATTCCAATAAATGTCGAATGACATAAATTCGAATGTTTTAGATAAATATATAAATAATGTATTATAGTTCAAAAAAAAAAAAAAAAATCATCACATAAAACTATTTTGTCTTAAACACGATATTATTGTATGAAACATTGCAGATCGTAAAATCTTAAAAAAGCATTTAATATATAATTCTTAAAATATTTGTACTCACAGTCGCAATTTTTGTATAGTCTATAAAAATATACTTTCAATAAAAAATTTGACTATTACCATTTTTTGTGAATTTCTCCAAACTTTTGATTCCTCCTCGCATCCATCGTGGGATTTTTAGATCTTTTAATTGATAATTCCATCCACATTTTAACTTTTCACAACACAAAACACTGTATTATAAAACACTTATTCTTGTTTTAAAACACAACACTGAAATCAGTAACGAAAACCGCACAGTTCGACTTTTTTCAAATTGAGGTTATGTCCGTTTTGCAAAAAATTTTAATTCACTATTTTTATGCAAAAAAAATTACCGGCACTAATTAAACACTTCCTTTTTATGTAAAAATAAACTTTCTTTAATAGAACTTTAATCAAATTAACCGTGAAAACTAAATTAAATACGAGAAAAACTGAAATTAGTTACGTTTTTCAGTTATCGACCCGCCCTACGGCGCTCTCCCGCGATTTTGATGCTAGCGAAGTGAAGTTGGAGCATAATCGAATTTGAATCGACTAATCGATTCGATTAATCGAAATTTGAAATTTCGATACTAATTGGAAAAAAAATTAACTGAATTTACAATTTAATGATTCTGATAATTCTGAGAAAATCTATTTAATTAGTTTATATAACCAAAATAAATAGTAATTTTAAAAATGTATTACACTTCTCTAATCGACTTTCAACAAATTTGTTTGTAGTTAACATTAAAATAGCAAAACGAAAATTTTTGAAATTGAGGTTATGTTTACTCTATGAAAAAATTTTAACAACTTCTGTTGACAATAATTAAAAAAAATAGACTTATTGTCTACTAACAATGTAAAAATCGACTTTGTTTAACGATACGTTAATAAATATTTATAAATTATATAATTTTTACCAGAAAAAATGAAAAATAATGAACTGCTCCAACACACACGTCCTTCCCGCTCAGACGATTTCCAGCAACTGATTACTGTGAAGTTAGCAACTCAACTCGAAAATTTCCACTGTATACTTTTTTAATTTTTAAAAATATAAATAGAACTAATAAAAATTGCTTTACAATTTTTAAAATAAAACACTTTTCTAGTTATAATAGAAAAAAATAAATTAATTAAAATTAAAGACTAATTGAATTTAATTAAATAATTAAATTCTTAGATTATTTTTAAATTATACACTTATTACCGCGCTAAAAGTGTCGTCTGCTGTATACTTTTGTTTATATACAATTTGAAAATAATAAAGCAATTTAATAATTATCAAACAAATTTGAAACAAAATTAGTAATTTAATTACATTTTTACTACTTGTATTATTATTCAAATTACAATTGTTCTTTTTTTGAGACAATCACAAAAAAATGTCAACAAATGAATGTTTGGCGCCTTTTTAAAATGTAAGGTTAGTTTTTATAATATTCTTATAAGAAAATGTAAAAATGTATGTATAACATTTTTCCATTTTTTAATATAAAAATATCACTAAAAAAATGGATAAAAGTGAACAATCACAGAAATCAGAAGATGATAATTATACAGGTAAAATAATTAATGTCTTTTAATACAGAAATATTCTTTTAGTCAGCAAAATTCTATGCTGACGAATGCAATTTTTGTCACAAACATTTCTTTAATAAAGAATTAATAATCATGAATTTTACAGAGGATAAAGAGGAAATTTCCCTATTGTTACAAACTGTACCAGCATTAAATGATTTATTTAATATACACTGTAAAGTTGGTGAAGGTAGTTTTAGTTCCGTATTTTTAGCAACTCTCAAGTCTTCCAAAGATTCCAAAAAGTTTGCTATTAAACATTTAATACCTACGTGTCATCCTTCAAGAATTCAACGTGAAATGAATTGTCTTAAAAAAATTGGGTAAGTAATTTTTTTTAATAAATTTTATTGTGGAATTAATTTAAATTTTTATTTTCTAAATAAATAAAATATTTTTCAGGGGTCAAGATCATGTAGCCGGATTGGAATTGTGTTTAAGACATGCAGGATCAGTTGTTTTAGTTATGCCTTTTATGAGGCATGATAGATTTATGGTAATATTTAAATATATAATTATCAATTTTTGATATTTTTTTCACTATTGAGAATTATTTTTATTTAGGATTATGTACAAGATATGACAGTGGATGAGACAAAACATTATATGCGTGCCTTATTAACTGCCTTGCAAAGAGTGCATAGATTTCATATTATGCACAGAGATATAAAACCCAATAATTTTTTATACGATCGTTCTAATAGAAGGTAATATTTAATTAAATGAATATAAAAATTAATTTTTTTTAAAAATAATTTGATTCTTTTTTTCAGATATCTTTTAGTTGATTTTGGTTTAGCTGAAAATTACAAAAGAGATATTAATAAAAGTAATATAAAACCGTTAACACCACCTGTCGCTGATAATGTAAAAAGAAAAAGAGAAAATGAGGTAAAAAAAAAACAATAACTTCTAAAATATTAATATAAAAGTAACATAATCAATATTTCAGGTGACTAAAAGTTCTCCTACGTCTCTAGGAAAATTGGAAGAAAAATGTTATTGTTTCGGAAAACCAAAAGTTTGCTCTCTTTGTTTAATAAGACCCGCACAAGTTGCACCTCGAGCTGGTACTCCAGGATTCAGAGCACCGGAAGTTCTCTTAAAACATCCTGCTCAAACACCAGGTTTAAATTATTATTTTAATAATTTAATTATTTTTCTTTCTTTCATACTTAGAAGTTTCTTTTTTTTTTAAATTTTAGCAATTGACATTTGGGCGAGTGGAGTTATTTTATTATCAATTCTTAGTGCAACACAACCTTTTTTTCGATCTCCAGATGATGGTACTGCTTTAGCAGAAATTATCACTATTTTTGGATCTGATAAAATTCATCTCTGTGCACGAAAATTAGGTAATTTTTCTTTTTTTTCAGCAAAAAATAATTTATTTTCTTTTTTTTTTGCATTAATTTATTTGTTTATTATTTTATTTTTCATTAAAACTAGGAAAAAAGATAACAATTCCCGAACAAATCCCACCAGTTGATATCGTAAAACTTTGTCAAAAGTTACGAAACAGAGACAAAAATATAAAATCTGAAGAGGTATTATTTTTCTTTAGTTTCACTTTTATTTATTCGCTGCTTTTTATTCAAAATTTAATTCTTTTTTTTTTTAATTTTCATTAATTTTATGTTAACAAAATAGATAGTGTTTTATAATTTAATTATTTTTTGTAAAGGAATCTTCAGAGAAATATTTTCCACTAGAAGCATTTGACTTATTATCGAAACTAATGGAAGTGGATCATAGACTGCGAATAACAGCTACTGAAGCTCTCAAACATCCATTTTTAAAATTCTAATCAAATTTATTTTCAATGAGGACCATATCAATAAAAATGCTAAACATAGTTATTTCATATAGTTTCTGAATAATATATTTATAAAATGTTTAACAAATTTGTATTTGGATAATTGTTAATAATAATTGTTGGCTGTGTTTTACAGAATAAATTATAATTTTCCGCATTTATTTCTTTTTCAATTAAATGTGACCTAAATTTTTAAAATTAATAATTTCTAGAAAATTAAAACAATTAACACCTTTTCTTTTAATTCGATTAACAATCTATATTTAAATAATTACAAAAACTTACGTATCTCAGCAGAAATAAAAATCTAAAAATGCTTAATTCATAAAACATTAACAACATGGAAGGCACATTTTGGTGATGATGAAAATTGTTGAAATAAAAATATGTAATTCAGTCGACTGCATTTTCTGTATCAGTAAATTTTTCAATAACTTTCCATTTACTCGCCTCCTCTAAAGCTTCAGCGGCAATTTTTTGTATTTTCTTATCAACATCATTACTTTTTGTCAGAGCCATTAAAATCTCCATAATATCAGTTTCAATAATTTTACCAGCCACTTCTTTTGTACACTTTATCATATTTAGTACAATAACAATACCACGATGTTGAACATCCATATTTGGATTTGCCAATAAAAATCTCATTACCTCAATCCAACGTTGTACATCAAATATTTTGTAACAAGATTTTTTACTAACGGAAGTAACAATTGCCAATGCACCAGCGGCTGCCATACTTGTTTCTAAATCTTCCTCCTCACAAAGAATTGTCAAATATTTCACTCTATCGTTTTCTTGTTCAAATAATTTAATTGTCTCCTCACACATTACCATATTTGTCATACATTGAGTGGCGGCTCTTCTCAACATATCATGCTCCTCATACATATAATTTTCAATTTTTTGCAATCCACCCTCTTGGAGAATTCTCTTTCTCACTGAATCATTAACGCCAGCAATATTACAAAGTGCCATTAATGCCTCAAAATTTTCCAATGCTGAACATTCAGGATTCAAGAGATTTAACAATGGTGTAATAACTTCAAACAAACGTTGACCAGGAAATGCAACTTCAGGATTAATTGTTATACCCAAACGTGCCAATGCTTGTGAAGCTTGTTTCTTTCCTTTATCCGTACCTTCAAGTGACAATGGTAATAGAACTTTTCCTCCACCTTGTTGTACAACAATACCACGATTTTCCTGTTGACTACATATTCCATTAAACACTCTCGCTATTAATTCCTTACAATTTTGACTATCAGTCTTTGAAAGTGCCACCAATGCACTTGTAACACCAGCTTTTGTCAACAAACACAAACGTTTGCTCACAAAATCCTCATCATCAAATTCATGTTCCTCGGGAATATGTTGTTTCGCAAATTTTGCCAACTCCAACATTTCGGGTATCATTTCTTGTTTATCGTAAGCATTACATAAATTAACGAGTGTTGTGACAACACCATAGACAACAGATTTATCACCCGATTGTGAAAGTTCAATCATTGCACGAATTGCATCTTTATCTTCAATTAATTTCTCCTTCACTTCAGCGTCAAATGTCAAATATGAAAGACCCTCCACGGCCCATTTTCGCATATCTTTTTGTTTCTTTGGATTAATCAAAAAACGTCGACAAGCCTCAGCGAGTTTTAATGTTGCACCTTCGGCGAATGGACGAAATGTTGCATCGGAACCACCCGATGCGCCAAGTTTACAAAGACCAACAAGTGCACGAACACGTATTGAATCGTCTTTTGATTGATACAATTGTTTTAAAATATTCACACCCTGACTAATAATTGCTGTTGCTTTATCTTTTTTCGATGCACTTGCTATTATACATTCGCATGCAACTTTTTGCTGTAAAATATCATCAGTTCCAGCCATTACTAAAATCATTTGCATAACACCATCTTTTGCCACAATACTATTGCCAACGTCCAATGGACCAAGTAAAAGGGTCGTTATTGCAACAACCACACGTACCTGAATAAAAAATTTTCAATTTACAAAAAATTGATTTTAAATCAAATTTCTATATTTTCTTACCTTTGACTCAATATCCGGTGTTAAAAGTTTATCCTTAATAAATTCATCGATAGCTTCAGTGAATTTTGCCTTTGCTGCATCGTAATACATATTTTCATAAATTCTCGCCAAACAAACGCTGGTGACTGTTCTCGTTGAATCAGTAATTTCCATCGCTGATTCGTATTTATATTCCGAAAGTTCGCTAGCAACTTCCATTAAACGTTGAACACCACGAATATCAACCAATTGTTCCGCCCAATTTAAATTAGTATAATGAATATTCCTTATAAGTAATTCAATAATAGCATCGCGAGCAAAACCAGAAATTACACGACTCGTTGTACTAAATACCAAACACGATAAAATTGTATCGATCTCTTTTTTATATTTCTCACATCTCTCTTTATCTGGTTTCGAATCTGGTTTATTAGTCAATCCACTGTACGAATTAAGTATTGTCTGCAAAAAAAAAAAATATTTTAAATACAGAAAAAAATGTTTTTTAAATACAGAAAAAAAAAATTATTTTCCCTACCTGCATACAATATTGCGCTGCATTAACACGTTCTTCATTTTTACTATTAACCATATCCAAAAACCAAGGCACACCAACTTCTCGTATAAGACTATCAGTTCGTATTACATTATCCTTACAAAGTTCGGCAATTATTCGAATTGCAGCAATAATAACATCATCATTTTTATCAAGTTTCAATAATTGAATTATTTTTGTTATTATATTCTCAGAGAACATTATTTCAGCACCGGATTTTTCACGCGAAAGAACTAATAAATTATTCATTGCCGTTTCTCTTTTTTCTTTATCCGATTCCATATTAAATGCTACGTCAAACATTTGTGAAACCTGTAAGAAATTTATTTTTCAAAAAAAAATGTAAAAAAGAAAAATTCAATAAAAATAAAAAAATAAGTATACCTTAGAGCTGACACGTGAATTTTGTTTACTTCTTTCTTGAACAATTTCATGAAGTCGTGCAATAATTGGTTGTATTGCTTTATTACTTGAATCGACATTAATTATAAAACGTGCATCACGATATGCTTCCTCGTATCTTTCTAAAGCATCTAATGCTTGACAACGACGAAAAAGTGCTTTTGGATCATTGGGAGAAATTTTTAACGCCTCATCGCAATCTTTAATTGCTTTATCATAATTTAATTGTTTAAGATGAACAGCAGCACGATTTTTTAAATAAACTGCCTTATCAAAATTATCATCCTGCGATAAATTTAATGCATTTGTATAAAAACTAAGTGCCTCATTCCAATTGCCTTTATTAAATTCAATATTTCCCTTTTCCTTCCATTCTTGAGATGTCAATACTTCTTTCGTCATTTTTGTTCTTGAACTACAATAAAAAAAAACACTAAATTAAACACTTTTTTTTTTATAATTATTACATAATTTTAAATTAACTTAAAGCTTAGAAAAATCAATTACAAATTATGGAAATGTTAAATCGTTACTTAATAAGACGAAAGTAATTTATTTTTTTATATTTTTAAGTACACTTACGATTTTTCTAAAAAATATTAAGTTGTATTCACAAAAATTAAAACACTATAATATCAGAGCAAAAAATGTACTGAAGACTCTCTCACTCTTCGGATGCATTTAAAATGGATGTAGAATTATCTCGACGTTTCTAAAACGTTAACGGAAGATTAGTTTATTTTAAACTTATTTGGAACGAAGCCCAAATTAAATCATAAACACACGCAACATTTTTTGTTTAAAAATAGGTCGTATGTCTATTTTGGATAATCCGGTTTTTTGTAGATGTCAAAATTAGGTTAGGTTCACGAAAGTAATTTTCATTCGTTCTTAAATTTTTGGACAATTTAATTAATCGTTTGTCATATCGATAGTCGTATACGATTTAAAGCACGTGTTAGATTTAAATGACATTTACAAATATTTACATTAGTTTTTATTAAATTACGTAAACAAAAGTAGTATTGTTTTATGTTAATTACAAATTAATTAACTAATTTGTAATTGAATAACTTGTAAATGTTGCAAAAATTACATTTATTTAATGATCAAAAAATTGGTTATGTTTCTTGATTTTTATAATTGAAAACAATTTTCTATAGCAGTTGTTTTATTATTATTAATATTCAAAATAAAAGTCAAAGAAGGTAATTATCTAACATTTATTTAAGCATAATTTTATTTATTTTAATTAAATTTCAAAACATCACATAAACATAACCTCTATTTTAAAATACAGTGATTTGTTATTTTGTTTTTTATATTGTTGACAGAATGATTATTCTACGAAGGAGCTTTTCACATTTGATGAAATATCTACGATATAAAACTTCCAACATCTCCAGAAATGGTACTTTCAAATTACTTATAATTATTAATTATTAATTAAAAAATTTTTTTAATTTTATAATTGTAGTGTGCAATTCAGGAGAAATGTCCTCAATTACATTTAGAAAAAGTGATTACATTGTTTGGATGGATATGGAGGTATGTGGTAATATTTTTAAAACTTTATATATATATATATATATAAAAATGTATTTGAAAAAAAAAATTTTCAGATGACGGGTCTTAATCCACAAGAGAATAAAATTTTAGAAATAGCTTGTCTTGTTACTGATGGCAATTTAAAAACAGTCAGTAATGAATTTCAAGTTGTAATTCATCAATCAGATGAAGAACTCACTGGAATGGATGAATGGAACACAAAGCATCATAGAAAGGTAAAAAAAAAATAACTAAATTTGAATCAGTGGAAAATTGTATTTGTAAATTACTTATATTTTTATTTTATACAGTCTGGATTAATAGATGCTTCTAGAAAGAGTACAATAACAAATAATGATGCTGAATTAATGATGTTACAATTTTTAGAAAAATATTGTCCATATAAAACTTGCCCTCTTGCTGGAAATTCTATTTATATGGATCGAACATTTCTCATGGCACAAATGCCTTTAGTTCATGAATATTTACATTATAGAATAATTGACGTTTCTTCTATCAACGAAATCGTAAGGTAATTTTGAAAAACTATTCAGATTTTTTATATATTAAAAAATAATAAAAATATAAATATTTCATTCTATTTTTTTTTTTTAGACGTTGGAATCGCAATATCTATGATGAAAGACCGCAAAAATGTTTTAATCATCGAGCACTTTCTGATATTCAAGAAAGTATAGATGAATTAGATTATTACAGAAGGTACATGTTTAAACCAAATTGTAATGAGTCATGAATTTAATTTCTTTTTAATTAAATTAATTTTAATCGAATTTACTTTCTTTTAAGTATATATTATAAAAATTGTACAGAACGAATTTTTTATATATATTAAAAAAAACAAAATGAAATTATTGTTTTAAGATAATAAAATACCATATAAAAAAATTTAATTTTTATTAAAATAATAATTAAAAAAAAAAATTATTAAATTAAGCGCTTAAAATTGAAGTTCTAATTGCTCGTGAATTTTGTCCAAAAAATTGCGAAACGCATGCGCGATTCTTTTGTTTAAGAACATAACCAAAAAAAAAGTTATCTCACGTGCTTGTCAATTTTGTAAAGGAAAAAAATTTAATTATTGATCGGAAAAAGAAAATTTATATTTTTAAAACTTTTATTAATGGATATAAACAGTGATTATATCGTTTGGATCGATATGGAGGCAAGTTTAAAAAAAAAAGTTTTTATTATAAACAAATTTTATTTAAAAAAATTTATTTTTACAGATGACAGGCCTTGATCCGATAAAAAATAAAATTTTAGAACTAGCATGTCTTGTAACTGATAGTAATTTAAAAATAGTGAGCAATGAATTTCATGTTATTATTCATCAATCAGATGATGAGCTCAATGGAATGGATGAATGGTGTACAAATCATCACGAAAAGGTGTTTGCGGGCAAAATTATTTTTATTTAATATTTTTAAATTTAATGAAAACTTAAATTGTAATATTTATTTTTTTTTTAGTACAGTCCGGATTAACAGATGCTTCTAAAAAAAGTACAATAAAAAATTCAGAAGCTGAATTAGAATTATTAAAATTTTTACAAAAATACATTCCAAAAAGAAAATGTCCTCTTGCTGGAAATTCTATTTATATGGATCGAACATTTCTCATGACACAAATGCCTTTAGTTAATGAATATTTACATTATAGAATAATTGACGTTTCTTCTATGAAGGAATTAATAAGGTAATAATTCAAAATAATTATTCTCGCTGAACTATTTTTTATAATGCAAAAATTGATATAATTTGTGTAAAAAAAAAAATTCTTTTTCAGACGCTGGAATCCTTCTATATATGAAGATAGTCCAAAAAAATTGTTAAAACATCGTGCACTTGATGATATTAAAGACAGTATACGAGAATTAGAATATTACAAAAGACATATATTTCAATGAAAAATAGGGAAAAATTAATTTTTTAAATATTAATATCAACTAATTTACTAATTTGGAGAATTTGTTTGATTGTCAATTGTTTTTAAATATAATTTGTAAATACTAAATGAAATAAAATTATGAATTTTTTTAAAAATAATTTTAAATAATTTAATTAATAGCAAAAAAAAAAATTAAATAGTTTTTAGTATTTTAAAAGTCGTGTTCTGATTGGTCGTAAGTTGTAGCGCATGCGCTTTATTTTGTCCATGGGTGCCGTATAGTGGAAGAAGATAACCAAAAAAAGAGCTAACTCGTGGTGGTTTGTAGTGCTTTTTGTAAGGTCGGTATTTTCAAAACGATAGACATTGTCTTTTAAAAAGAATATTAAATTTAATTTTTCAAAGTGCTTATCTTTATATTTAAATAATAATTATACGCATTTCAACAGAAAATACTTCTTCATAAACGATTGTAAAAAATGGGCAATGTTCATGCAGCATCTGCACCTCCTCCACCGCTACCACCAACTTCCTTAACTCCTGAATTACCAACAAGCTTAGCTAAAATAGATTCTGTCTCTTCTAAAGAATCATTTAAATTACAAAATCCAGGAACTATTGAGGATTTAAATAAAAAATGTCGAGGTTAGTCTTCTTTAAAATTATGTCACATTACAATTCTTTTTACAATTTCAATATTTATAAATTCGTTTTTATTAATTTTATAACATAAAAATAATTTTGTAACATTTCTTTTTTTACTGTATTTGCTTGATATTTTATCGTTTCATTAATTATGTGTTTTTTCTCAAGTTAAAATGACATTTTAACCTCTTGGTAAAAAGAGAGAATTTATACGTTTTGAACTGTATTCTGTATTTTTTAATTTAAAAAAGGAGACTATTTTATCGCAAATGTTTTCAGATGTATTTCCAGTTAATTTTGAAGGGGCCAAGTTGATGTTAAACAAAGGTCTCAGTAATCATTTTCAAATATCTCATACTATAAATATGAGTTCTGCAACACCGTCTGGTTATAGGTAAACAAATTTTTTTCTCTGATGATAATTTTTCAGTTCTGTGATTTGTCATTAAAAAAAATATATATTCAAGTTTCGATTCATTATAATTTAATAATTTTTTTGTAGATTTGGAGCCACATACGTTGGTACAAAACAAACATCACCAACAGAAGCATTTCCAGTTTTATTGGGTGACATTGATCCAAGTGGGAATCTTAATGCAAATATTGTACATCAATTTGGCTCGAGAATTAGAGCAAAAATGGCAACTCAAGTTCAAAAAAATAAATACACAGCTGTACAAATGTCGTCTGATTATCGTGCCGACACATATACTGTTTCATTAACGATAGGAAATCCTGATGTTATCAATTCTTCTGGTATTTTTCAATTCAAATTTATTTAAATTGCAATTTTTTTTCATTTAAATAAAATTGATTTTTTTTTTTTTCTAAATTAGGTGTGGCAGTTTTACACTATTTGCAAAGTATAACACCATCATTGGCTTTGGGTGGTGAGCTTGTTTATCAAAAATCACAAACAATACCAGGAGGATCGCTTGCTGTACTTTCAGCTGCTGGTATTTATACACAAGGCGATTCAACAGTTAGTGGAAGTTTAAGTATGGGTGGATGTCATCTTTGTTTTCATCAAAAAGCAAGCGATCAAGTGCAAGTTGGAGTTGAACTTGAAATTAATACAAGAATATCTGAATGTGTAACTACAATTGGCTATCAAGTTGATCTTCCAAAGGCTGATATTGTTTTTAAAGGTAAGTTGAAAAAAAAATTCTTCTTTTATTTGAGAAAATTATTGAAAATTTTAATTTCATTTAAACAATTATTATCTCTTTAGGAAGCGTTGATTCCAATTGGAATGTTGGAGCAGTGCTGGAAAAGAAATTACAGCCTCTTCCATTTTCATTTGCATTAAGTGGCGTTATTAATCACAATAAAGCAATGTTCAGACTTGGATGCGGATTAATAATCGGATAAAGATAAAAATTGCTCCATTTTTTTGGGGGATAGTTCATTGTTTTTCAAAAAAAAAAAAAAAAGAATAAAACCATTTGCAGTAGTTACATCACTTTTTGGAAGATGCAACTATAGGATCTTTTTTTACCATCATTCGACATTTGCTCACTGCCTATTTTTTCTGAATAGTCATTTTTTTTTTACTACCAAAAAGCAATTTTTTTTTTAAATAGATATCTAAATAAATATTCAAGGAACATTAATTAGGAAAAAATAATGAGATGTAAATATCAATATGCAAAATTCAATAATTTGGATTTTCAAAAAAAAGGAATAGCGTTGAAATACTTTTTTTTTATAAATATTTTTTAATTAAGACAAACGACAAGTGGTGATGACAAATTGTTGAGAAATGTTTTATTTTACAAGATAGACATTCAAATTAAAGAAAAGTAATAAATGCATTTATTATAAGGTGGTGAAATATTTCCAAATGCACATTAGAAAAAGAAACATACAATGTTCTGTAAATTGTTTTCTTTTTCTAAATGTGCTGTGAAATAAAAATGTTTTTTTTAAAACATACAATTTGTATGTAATATGAAAGCATGAACAAAAAAGAAAAAAAAATTGAGAGAATATACAAAAATGTAATATATATATATTATGTACGATAAATATTTAAATTGTATGTGAAAATTAATTAATATAGAATGCATTTATTTTGCTTTTTATTATGTTTGCGTACATATTATATAAATATAATAATAATCGACTGGTTTGAATTGAATTGCAATTGCAATTAATTCAGAATTCAATTAAAAAATTTTTAGAAAATAAAGAGAACATTTCAAAGAATGATATTTGTTTCGTGACGTAATTAGATTATTCTCCACTTCTGTTTTCATTTGTTTTACATTTTATTTTTCATTTAAAACAAAAAAATATATATAGTAATAAAAAATATATATATAGATAATTCCAAATTATTTTACCGAGACTCAAAATTTAATTAGGCAAATTGACAAATTTGAACAAAACGATTAAATATCAAAATACAGTAAGTGGAGACAAAAGTACATTTTAATAAAATTGTACAAATATGTATGTATGAAAGAATAAAAACGTTAAATTCCTTGTTAATATTAATTTTCATTTTGTAATATTGGTTTTATTTTGTTCTTTAATTTATTTTTAATTATTTTGTTTTATTTTCATTTTAACAATTTTTTATTTTTTTGTATATTTAAAAACCGGAAGTGCAAAAAGTACAAAAAATAAACTGTTCGACTAGAAGAGCCAATCAAATTTATATATTTTTGTCCAAACATGTAAATGTAACCTAATGTCAAAAATTTAAAAATAATTTTTAAAAATAACTCTAATTACTGAAAAGTGTAATAATTTCCTTAAAGGTTTTTTAATAACAAAATTGAGAAATATTAATAGTAAATAAATATTGTTTTTTCACTTATTTTTATCAAAATAACATCTTTGTTGTTACTCACATTGTTGCAATTCCGGTAAGAATATGAACTTCACTTTAAAACTCAACAATTAACCATTATACGACAGTCACGTAAATATATACCTATTCTTGGTGTAAATAAATTTCTTTTAATCATTAATAGGTGAGGTAATTATTATATATACATGGATTATTATGTATTTCAATAGTTTTACGATAAAATTCAGTTAATTTAATCTACAGTCAGTTGTGCAAAGTTGTTTTCCTGCTTCAATTATAGGATTTACATGGAACATTTTTTGGATTATATGCAGACAAAACATGGCGTAAAGCCGTTGTTACACATGTGTCATGAAAATTAGTAAAAAAAATAACTTTTTACATGTTTACTTATCATTTAATTACATCCATAAATTGTCTCACTACAAATTCTATGTCAAAGTTGGTTAACGTTATGTTTCACTCATTTTGTTTACAATTTTATTTATTAATTTCTTTTTCATTATAATATACTGTTTTGTTTTTACATTTATCAATTATTTATTAGTTTTTTTTTCAATTAATTTAACGAATATTTATTTATCTATTTACTCTTTCTTTTTAATTTTGATATACTTTTATTAATTTCAATAAAGGTGAATATGTTTTACATTTTTGTAAAATTGTGTTTATATTTAAATTTAAATGTATTTCAACAACAATTCTCGTATTATGTAATTTTGTTGATGTTAAAGTGATATTTAAATGAACATTGACTTTTGCTTTTTATTAATGAGAATATTTTTTTTTTCCAGGTATTGACAAAATTGGCTTATTCAAAATTGTTTCAGTGAATTTAAAAATTTGGTGAGTCATTTTTAATTCTAATAATTCTTTACAATAATTATTTTAAAGTTTGGAAAATATTTTTCTTAAAACGTACTTTTTTTTTTCTTACTAAAGACAATAACAGTAGTTTATCATACAGTTACTTAAATGAGGTTTATTTGTATTTATAATACTCAATAGTTATTTATAATTACATTTAAGTTATTGACACTTTTCGTTGTTCTATTATTAAATGGATTCTTATATTAGTCGCTAATTTTAGTTTCAATGATTCATAGATTTTCTAATACTTTTATTTGTACTTTTATTTAAAAAACTTTTCATACGTGGAATTAAAAATTATAAAAATTAATTTTTATCTGATTTTTTGGAAAATTGTCGTTTTTTTTTTTAATGTCTACAGGAAATGATCTATTTTTGTAATTTTGGGAGATTTACGATTGAATTGAAATAATCTTTCTTTTCAAGAGGGAAATTTTTCGGTTTTCTTTAATTACGTCACTTTAAGAAAGAGAGAGAGAGAGAGAGAAAGAGATGAGACGTAAGAAAATTCGTCGCAAAGCCGAGGGAAGAATTATAATAGGGAAGAGCGGAAGAGGTGAGGAGAGTGATTTTCCAAGTCTTGGTTTAGACTGTCTAAATATAGCAATAGGCTCTCCACAGTCTTTCTTTCCGTGTAGTGCCGTGTCGTATGAAGAAGTATATCCAGCTCCGGTGCCGTGGATTTTACTTAATTGATTAATTTTTGTGTGGCGTGTGGCCAAAATTCAATTCAATTAAAGTTGAAATCTTTTTTTTTCCATTCAATTGTCAATCAAACGATTGTCATTGAGAAATAATCAAAAATTTCAAGTGATCGTTATATTGACAACTCAAACATGTTTATCGTCAATACATAATGTTTAGGGGGCTATCTTTAGATAGAAACGTTTTAAAAGAGACTCATGCAAGTTCTTTGAATTTTTAACATACATTTCAATCACTTGGGGGAAAGTAAGAAATATCTTTCTCTCTCTCTTTCTCTCTCTTAGGAATTTTATATTTCTATTTAATGAGAATTTAAAAAAAAAAAATTATATAACAATAATTTCCTTTATCATTACAGAAAAATGGTGTGTGTGGCAAATGAAGTTAAAGTGGAATGTGTGGTTTGCGATGGAGAGGAAAAAACTCCATTGTGCAATTTTACACTTCCAGTGTCTACAACCGTTGAAGAACTCTATAAATTAGTTACAAATTTTCGTAAATGTGATCCGTGTTCCTTTGAACTTAAATACCGTGGGGTGAGTCGATTAAGAATTGCAAATATAGATAAAAAATGTTAATTTTCTAATTCATTTTTTATTAGATTTCAGTGGCGGAGGGAGATTTTTCCTTATTTACAACTTTAATTCAATTGGATCCAAAATGTTTGAATCAAACGACTGATTTTATTTTAGAAATACATGATTTCCCACCAAAACCACCGGACAGTCCACCAAAATTAAATCATGAATTAACTGATAATGAGGACACATTTTTTCAGAAAAAATTGTATAAAAAAGTTATTGATAAACCTTCAAAACCCACGACTAGTTTGAGTCGAACGGTCGATTTTATTACTAGTCAACCTACAAAGAGTAAGTTAAAATTAAATTTATTAATTTAAACATTTAAACAAAAAATAGAAAACAATTTTTTTTTTCTATTCTAGACTATGTAGGATTGGTAAATCAAGCAATGACTTGTTATTTAAATAGTTTACTGCAAGCATTGTACATGACACCAGAATTTCGAAATGCTTTGTACAATTGGGAATATGCTGATGGTTCAGATAAAGATCAATCGACTAGTATACCATATCAATTACAAAAATTGTTTCTCAATTTACAGGTAAAATTCTATGTTTAATTATTGAAATTTTTTTTGCAAAATCTCATTAGTAGCAAAGATTTTTACATTCTTGAGAATAGAAAAAAAAGGTAGGGCCTTAAATTGTTTCTTTTCTTTTATATATAGATTTCAACTAAATCAGCCGTTGAAACAACATCATTGACAAAAAGTTTCGGTTGGGATTCATCGGAAGCATGGCAACAACATGATATTCAAGAACTTTGTCGAGTTATGTTTGATGCTTTAGAAAAGAAATTTAAAAATACAGAACACTCGAATCTTATCAATCGTCTTTATGAGGGTAAGATATTTTATTATTTTCCACCTTTTTTTAAGAAGTTAATCATTTTATTTTAAATTACGAGTAGCATTTTTTCTATTTGAATATAAAATTATTATTCTTTCTATTTTATGTATAGGAAAAATGATTGACTATGTAAAGTGTCTCGAATGCAAAACAGAAAAAACGAGAGAGGATACTTTTCTTGATATTCCATTGCCAGTGAGGCCATTTGACAGTACAACTGCATATGAGAGCGTGGTTCGTATTTTATTTTCTGTTAATTATGAATTTTTAAAAGATTGTAACTTTCCTTTCTACTTTCTTTATTAAAATTTTCTATATTAATAAGTTATTAGAAAATTGTATTGTTAATAAATTTCTTTATTTTGTTACAACAATAAAATTAATATTTAAATCAAAAATTTATTAACATAATTATTACTACAAAAATATAAAGTACTTTTTAATATTTACAAAGTAAAATTTAAATTGTCCGGAACTTCTGCGCATTTCTATCAACTTTTGCTTCGGAAATAGAAAAAATTACTAATAAAATCGTAAATTTTACTTAGAAAATATTAGTTTTTACTATTTATGAAACAAAAGTCACCGGAAATTACATGATACATTTATTTAAATTTATTGGATACTTTAGGAGGAAGCACTAACAGCATTTGTAAAATATGAAACATTAGATGGAAACAATCAGTATCATTGCGAGAAATGTAATAAAAAATGCGATGCACATAAAGGTCTTAAATTCACAAAGTTTCCTTATATATTAACGTTGCATTTAAAAAGATTTGATTTCGATTATAAAACACTTTTTAGAATGAAACTTAATGACAGGTAAGATTTTTTTAAATGTATATAATAATTAATAAAAATAATAATAATAATAATAATAATAATAATAATAAATTAATAATTAATAATTTTATTTCACATCTTTAATAAAGAAATTTACACTTCTAGAGTCACTTTTCCGTACTATTTGAATTTAAATTCTTTCATTGAGATGCCAGTGAGTAAAGAATCTCCTTGCTTTGAAGAAGACGCTGGAATGAGTGTTAAATTTGATGACACTTCAACGACTGATAGTGTAACAATAGAAGATGATATTCCACCACCTTGCAATGGTGTGGCGCATGATCAAGAAAATGACGAGGGTATTTTATTTATTTCTTAAAATCACTTAAATATTTATTGTTCTATTAATATTTGTTATTTTAAAAAAAAATCGAATTTAATTTTAGAAATTAAATTTTATCAACAGGAATAGATATAAGTAATGGAATATCAACGACAAATGGCATAACAAATTGTCACGATACTGAGAACAATGGTTCAAAAGATGAAGGTCCTTATATTTATGATCTTTTTTCAATTATGATTCACAATGGAGGTGCTAGTGGTGGTCATTATTATGCTTACATTAAAGACTTTACAACTAATCAATGGCTGTGCTTCAATGATACAACAGTTACTCCAGTAAGATTTTGTTTTTTTTTATTATTAAAAAAAAAAATTCTATTGTTAATTAATTATTAACATAAATAATCAAAATAGATAACAGAAAGTCACATTGAACGTGTTTATGGTGGTGGTCCAACAAAAGCATATTCAAGTAGTACAAATGCATATATGCTTATGTATCGACAAATAGATGATACAAAAAATGATGTTCCAATGCAAGAGGAAGAATTTCCTGAACATATTAAATTACTTTTGGAAAAAATGAAAGAATCTGAGGACGATGATAAAAAATATGATGATATACAATTGTCATATAAAATTAGAGTTACTTGTTTTCATCCAAAAGCAAAGAAATATATGTTAAAACAAATACGTGCATCACAGGATTCAACATTTATTGAATTAAAGGAGAAAGCTTATGAGAAATTTAGTTTATATGGTGATGTTGATATTGATCAATGTCGACTTGTATTTTACGATTCATTGAATGATTTAATAAAACATAGTTACGAGGGCGATGAAACGGAAAAGCTTAGTGAAATTTTTAAAAATTCTTCCGAACTTATGGATTTACTTCTTGAAATTCGTGCCAAGGATCAAGAATTCGAAATTTATAAACCAAATGGTAAATATTTACATAAATTGTAATATTTAAATATATTTTATATTTATTTTCTTTTTAGGCATTCCGATGCAAGTTTATGTTATCGATACAATTCGTGAGGATTTTATTGATGGACCATTTAATGTAAGAGCTCATAATCTTCAAAGTGGAATTGAATTTAAACAACAATTGTCAAAAATTATTAACATTGATCCACGCAATATGAATGTCTATATAAAAAATAATCCAAAAAATAGATATCATATATTTGAAGATGATAAAATATTAGAATCCGATAGTATTGATATTGGATGTTCAAATAAAGCATTTGTTACAACACCAAGTGAACCAGTCAATGCAGAAGAATCAACTCCATTTACTATTCTTGATCTTATCAAAAATTTTCAACGAGTAATGTGGTTGCATGTTCAATTACCCAACATTGATAAAGGTTTGAAAAATTTTTAAATATATTAGAAATAAAATTTTTTTTTTAATCTAATTTTTCTTTTCTGATTTAGATTATACAGATGAATTACAATCACTTGCATTGGAAAATAAAGAAGAAACAACAGATTCAGTTGATGAAGTTGATTTAATTGAATCTAATGATTGTTCAAAAATCGTTAACAATAATAAGGATAAGGAATTTTCAACGCAAGATTTAAATAAAGAGAAAAATCGAAATTCAGATGATCAAAATACAATAAAAACTGAAGGAATTTCATTTGATTGTGTTGAAGAAAAGGAAAAATGTTCAATACGTAATTCAAATGAAACAACAGTTAAATGGCAAGGTTTAGAAAGTGCAAGCGAAGATAGTAGTTTAAGCGATAGTGAAAAAACATTAGTCGACAATAGTTCTGTAAAAAATAATTCATTTTGTGAAATTGATACATTTTGCGATAAACTTTATCACAATTATCCACAATCAAATGAAGAACCAAATTATTATTTTAAAAGTATTTTCGATACATCCGAAGGAAACGATAGACGTAAGTATTATCAATATTAAATAATTAGTAAAAATAAATCTAAATAGTAATTTAATATTTTTTTTTATTACAGTATTAAAAGTATATGCCGATGAAAGAATAACAATTGAGACATTAAAGAAAAAATTGGAAAAAATTGTTGGCCTTTCAGTTGATTTATTTAATGTTTGTGCACAAAATTCCGTTGCATTAGAAATGGATATTATTGATTTAAATAATCAATTAAGTGATTACAGTAATGGCCAAAGATTTTCAATTATATTGGGAAGAGCATTAAGAAAAAGGGAAATAAAATTAAAATTTTATCTATTAAATCCATCGTGTCCACATGAACCATATAAACATTTATTTGATCTTTATACATCAAAAGATACGCGCGTTGCTCAAGTTAAAGAAGAAGTTATTGTTGAATTAAAGAAAAAACATAATATTGATATTCCATTAAAGAGGCTTAGGTTTAGAAGAAAAAAAAATACATTTATTACAAAAATAATGTTTAATCATTCAAAATTTCATGATTTTGCATTAAGACGTGAATGTGAAATAGTTATTCAAGAATTACAAGAAAATGAAACTGTCAAAAGTTCTGAACAAATTGTTTTATTTGTACGATTATGGTCGAGAAGTACACTTGAACTTCAACCATATCAAGAAATTGTACTCAATGAAAGAAGTATCACTGAATTAATGGAAAAGGTAATTGATTTTTTTTTTTTGAAATAAGATTTTACAATTTAATTTCGAAAAACAATTTTTGTTATAAAAAGTAAAATTTTATTGATTTTTATTTACAGATTGCGTCCTTATCAAATATACCGGAAGATTGTCTCGAAATAGCAATGGGAAAAGGAAATTTTCCTTGTGAAAATACAAACTTCCTTAATTTGGATAACGAAGCAATTTGGAGAACGCGAATTCAGGAAACCGAAAAGTGCTCAATTACATTAAATAATGGAATTATTATCTTGTATAGGTAATCATTTTTTAATTTTTATATTTTTTTTATTTTTCCTTTTGTTTTTCCGTTATAAAAGATTAATAATTTTTTTTTTTTTTTTTACAGAAATTCGAAAGAGCCTTTAAAACAATTGAATTCAGAGGAGACGGCAGAATTTTTGAAAAAAGAAAGATCACGTTTACACGCTTCAGGAATTCCAAATTATTATAATCATCGAAGAGAAAAACCATTGAAAATATACTTTAATTCGGATTGACTCTCTTGTGATCGATTCACAACTACGAATTTTCAAAGTCTATAAGCTATATAGGATATAAAATAATTGCGAGTGAAGAGAATTAGATATATATTTTTTTTTTAATTGTTCCAAAATCGGAACATTGAAAGAGATTTTGTCGTAATCTTCACTTAACTCCGACATTCAGTCTTCCTTTCTTAAAAAAAAAAAAAAAAAAAAAAAAAAAAAAAAAAAAATTCAGTCTTTCTACAAAACAAAAAAAAAAGGAAAATAAATCTCCTACATAATAGAGTGTCGAGAAAATAATATTAAATGTCCCTTCGAAGAATTATCAGTTTTAAGAGAGAGACTTATTTTCTAACTTTTAACTTTTCCTATTATATTGGTCGATGTTTTTCCTTGTAGTGTACCAAACATCTCTTTCTACTTGGATATTTGTCAAGAATTGACTGTGAAAAAAAAATTGGAGGAAACTGAAGATAAATTCTGTATATAACATACATTTAAGGACTCCGCTCTTAACCATTAAAAAAAAAAAAAAAAACCTGTGACCGAAAAAAAGATTATCGACTCCGTAATTTGTGAATTATACAATATTTATGTTTTTTTTTAAACAATTGGACAACAGGTAATAAAAATTAAATTATTTTTTGAATTTTAAATCGCTTTTTTTCTATTTCACTGCACTTTCTTTTTTTTTTTTTTTTTTATTGTACTGCTTTTATAATATAAAAATTGCGGCTTTTGTCGACAATATTCTATATATACTAAAGAAAAACACTTTTCAAAAAGATTTTTTAAAAAAAAAACTTTTAATGTTTCTCTTTTACACTACCAAAAAAAAACTTTTCTAAAACTTCAAGTGTCATTTGTGACACTAAAAAAATTACAATTCCTTGCATCTTTGAATTATTATTATTATTATTTAAATAACAAATTATTTATTGGATCTGTTGTGTAAAATTCCGAGATTAATTCAACGGATTTAATAATTGCTTTAACAAGAAATGAGAGCTTTAGTTTATATTAAAAAAAAAAAAAAATTCAATTAATTTATTATTTAATTTTACCAAGTGATAAATTATTTATATTTAGAAAAGAAAAATTAAAGTTGAAAATTATAATTTTTCTACGCCAAGAAAAAAACAAATTTTTTGTGTGTTAATATTAAAAGATTTTGAATTATAAAAAATGTAAATTCATTTCTTAACTGCTCTCTTTTCTTTATAATTGCTTATTTGTAAGAATGACTTTGTAAATTTTAAATGTTATTATTGTTTCGAAAAACGTGAAAAAAAATACGGATGGAGAAAAATCCTTCTTGTGGATAATAATCGATATCGATTAAGACTTATTACATCTCTCCTGACCACCGACGATCAAACAAACATTTTTCTGTATTATACACTATAAAGAAATTATATTTATAATTATTAACAAAGGAACATTGTAACTGAATTTGTTTACTTCTTTTTTTTCCAATTCTAATCCCAAAATTTCTTTCATATTTTTCTTTTTAGTTATTTTCTTTTGAAAAATTAATTTTTTTTTTTATAATTAGATATAAAGGGAAGCAGAAATGAAAGACAGGATCTAAAAAATTGTAATTATTATTAATCGTAATAATATGATTATTGACAATGACGCGGCTATGTGCACATTAAAACACCTTATCTTACAAGACCAGCTCTTGTACACTATTTACAATAACTAAAAATCATATTATTCATTTGCATTATATAATAAAACTATGTATTTATATAATATTAAATTTATTATCATAACTATGAATTTTCATAGTTATTTTTTTTTATTAGCGGTATCGTTAATCGTAAGAAACAATTAAAAATTAAACAAATTTGTGTTACTCGAGTTCTGTACAATATAGGCTCTTAAAACATTTTTTTTTCCTCTTATCACTGACAATAATAGTTTATAATAATATACAAGTACATTGTAAGGTATGAAATATGGGTTTTTGAAAATTCCTTATCAATTGCAGTTTTTCCATTTTTCTTTTTTTTTGTTTATGTTTAAAATCCGTTTATTATTAAACTATAAAGTAAAGATCATGGAAAAAAAAAAAAACAGTGACATTAGCTACCAACTTGTTCGTGTTTGACACCAAATTTACATGGTTTCTTGACTTTTTCTTTATACACAAGTTTCTTTTTTTTAATAAAAAAATAAAATAAACATTCGTCAAGTTATAAACAAAAATAATTTGTTGTCTTATACGAAGAAAAGAGAAAGATATATGTAGAGAGAGAGAGAGAAAGTGAGGATTTTTTTTTCCCCTCAAGAGCTGTGTAAGTGTCCCTAAGAAATATAAAAAAAAAAAAAAAATAATAAAAGTTCCATTAGTTTTGAAATAACATTTGTAAACTCTGCTTATTTTACATATATATGGAAGAATATTCAAGCATGCTGAACAGTCTTTAAAATACAAAAAAAAGTTCCTAAAAAAAAAAAGTATAACTTTTTTCAAATTATTTACAAACACACATTACAGAAAAAGACAGATAAATATTTCACAAATAATATTACAAAAAAAAAACATTTTCCACGTTTCTTAAAATTAGTATACATATACATAAAAAAAAGACATTTTCATATTTAAAAATTAAAAAAAAGAACAAATTATTTTAAAGACTGTGCACAGCCACAATATGCGATTAATCAAATTATAATATAATATACGTTTCAACTATAGAAATATTCTCTTTTTTTTACAGCAGTAAATTATAAGAAATCTATTTTACACTCAGTTTAAAAAAAAACCCTTTGGCGAAATGAAGTTATTGGATGGGATGAAAATTGATTTCGCTAACAAAAAAACAAAAAAAAAGAATTCTATTTAGAAAAATAAGCTCAGTGGAAGAAGTATCGTTTACCTTTCAAAAAATTGCTTGGTTTAACAATAATTATTTCGAGTGTAACAAAAAAGTGCGTGGAAGATAAGACCGTATATGGTTACACAGCCTTTACATAATTATAAACTTCGTACATCAAATTACAAATTCGCCTAGCGAAGAAATATTCAACAAATTAAGATTATATACAACATATTCAACCTATAGTTCTTTTTTTTCAACTTATTTCGCTCGAGACCAAAAAAAAATTTTTTTTTTTTTTTTATCCGTGAGACATAAGGTGATGAAGTTTTACAATAATAAATAGATGCTCCTTCTTATCGTTTCTTTTTTTTAAAAACGTCGAAGAAACAATAAATTAAGACAATTCAACTGTGACAATATCTCACAAAAAAATTAAATTATATAGAAAAATAATTTTAATTACAAATGATTTAATTTTATTTCAAAAAAAATTCTAAAATATTAAAATAATTATAATACAAAAATAAATACTAAAAAAATTTTTGGAAAACAATTTAAAACAAAAAAAAAAAAAAAAAAAGAGTGTACAAATGGAAAATTAATATTTTCTCAAAAATTGTTCTAAACATTTGTCAGAGATTGTAACAGGTAAACTACCTTAAATAGCCGAATCAGAATTAGGTTTTCCCAATTTTTTTTTCTTTTTTTTTAGAGTATAATTTAACTTTCATTGAATGTCTAGGCACTACAATTCGGGACCTGGAAACTTTTGATTCGACGTTGTTCCCCCTTTTTCTTTTTTTTTTTTAATTTGGGAAAAAAAATCGCAATCGCACTGCGTATATTACACTCTATATTATTATTATTATAATTATTATTATTACTATTATATTTATTATTATTAATATTATTATTAATATTTATTATTTATTAATATTTATTATAATTATTATTTTTAGAGACTAAACGACCTGAGCAACATCTCATTTTTTTTTTTTATCTTGCAAAGTATCATTCCGAGAATTGTGTGTATATAAACTTCATGACTTTTTGTCTCACGCTAATTGATTATAAAAAAATTTTTTTCCGAAATATTGGTCACCGCGAAAAAGAAAGGTTTTTTTTTTTGTCCCCTGACCCGTAATTCACAATAACACTGGTACAAAATGGCACAAACCTTTTTTTTTTTTTTTTTTGAGTATTAAAAAATTTTGTAATCAATATTTTGTCGATTACAAGCCTTTCGCGTTTTTTTTTCTCTATTATTTTCATAATCTCTCCACCTTTTCCTTTTTCGAAGCAATCAATAAAAAATTTTATCTTCTCACAATAAATAATATCTCGTATCATAAATAAATATACAATGCCTACTCAGAAAATCGAGAGCAAGAGGTCGCGAAGGAAATTCTTTTGTTTTTTTTTCTTTAAAAAAAAAAAAAAGTGACATTACGTAACTAATATTTATAATAAAATCTATATCTTCTCTAATAAATTAAAAATGTTTAATCCATTGGATTTGTGTAAAAATTTTATTTGAAAGTAATATTTCTTTACTTTAAAAAAAAAAAATTGTTTTCTTCCCATAATTGAAAATTCATCAATGGATCAAACATTTCTAAACAATAGCTGCAACTTTATGTTAAAAAAAAAAGATATAAAATGTCAAACTTAATTTAATGACTCGACAGAATTGTCGCAATGAGTGGACGTATGATTTATCGTTGAAAAAAATATTTTTGTCAAAAAAAAACACTTATATACAAAATTTCCTTCTCAATCCTACAACCGGGAACTTTTTTCGATTTCAGCCCCGATTTCGTATACTAATAATAATTATAATACTCATTAGATCGATAAAGTATTTAACGTCTTAAACCAATTCAGTCCTTAATATTGCAAATTTTTTTTTCTTTCATTATTTCTCCCTTAAACTTTTTCAATTATTAAAAAAACAGGGCTGAAATCGTGTTATTTATTTTTTGTTTTTTTTTTTTGGAAAAAATCAGAGAGAAAAATAATAGCCAAAAATTGATTAAAATTCTCTTTCCGATTCTTTTCTTGACAATATCTTTCGATTATTAATAATCTTTAGAAATATATTCATTAGTTATTTTTTTTTGTTAGGTTTAGCGTTTTAAAATCGCTTATTTTCTAACTTGATTCTTTTTTTTTAATTATTATTTCTTTTCCTTTTTGTACAGATTAATTTCAAGTCTATATGGCGCCTGCTAAGGTATCCATCGCAACTTGAGCAGCTTTCAAACGTTAACTCTTCACTTGTCGCAGTTTTTTATTTTTTTATATTTTCATGAGTTTATCAAAAATTGTACTAGTTATTCGAAGAGTATTCTGTACAGTACACAATAATGGATTTCTATAAATGATTATTATTTTCTTTTTTTTTTTTCCTCTTAATAGTTATATAAACGAGTTCTTTGCACTGGAATTGACATATAATACCTTTCGGCGTGGATACTTTTTTTTTTTATTTGAAAAAGTTTTGTAAAAATGTAGAAATAAAATAATATTTCGGTAGACTTTGCATAATTGTTTTTTTTTTTTTTTTTGTAAAAAAGATATTCAATTCTAAAAAGTTTTTATTTTTCAATTAGCTATTTGAAATCATTTTCATGTAGGAAAAAAATTTATTTATAAAATGCCTTTTTTGCTTTCTTTAAATATATTTTCAATATTTTTTTATCAACGAAATTTTTTTTTTTAGTTTTATTCTACTATATATTGAGTATTTATACAATTTAACAATTTTTTTTTGATTTAGAAAAAAAATAATTAAAATTTACATTTTAGATGTAAAATAAATATTTAAAAAAACCGACTGATAAATTAATATAAAAAAAAACAATAAGTTGTCAAATTCGTAATAAATAAAAATCACAATTAAAAAAAAAAAAAAAAAATTAAAAGCTTTCAGTATATGTAATTTATACATAAAAATTTAATATAGGACAATTTTATATTTAACAATAAATAAATTTTCTTTTTAAACTAAAGCAATTTCATTTTAATTGCATTACACGAAAAAATTGACTATAAAAAAGAAAAAGTTTAAAAAATCAATTTTTTAAATATAAAAAGTATCGAAAATTGTTCATAAATGAAAATAAGATTTCAATAAAGTATTTTAATATTTTGTAACAATGTTGAAAATCGTTAGATTTAAAATTTATTTTTTACAATTCTATTTAAGTGAAATTATTCAAAAAAAAAAAAAATTAATTTTCTGCTGGACTTAATAAAAAACTACTTTTTAAAATTTTTTTTATCAATTTTCAACTGTGTTACAAATAATCCTTATATCCTAATTGAAAATTAATTATTATTAAATTAATATTAATTATTGCATGCTACAAAGAATTTTGTATTTTTTTTTTTGCAATTTATGATTTAGAATTGTATTTTGAGATTAATTGAACCGCTTTAAAAAATGGGGAAATTGTTTACTGTAAAAAGTGCCATTATTAAAGAAAAACCAATGCAAAGTACCACCAGTAATAGACAAAAAAAAAAAGAAAAAAAACAACGGAACAGAACAGAACAGTTTAAAACTAAAGATCTGCGACGAAGGATTGTACCGTTAACGAAAGACACCTTACGATTCACCAATATACGATACACCACGAGAGAAATGCGTGAATGAATAACGGTGAATTTTTGGGCACTTTGTGACAATTCACTTCACCCTCAGATCATTTACATATACAGTTTTTTTTTTTTTTTAATAATTTATATTACACACTTAATGCGTTTCCTTTTTTTTCTAGCGAGTCTCTGTCTCAACACTGAATTATATTACACGGTTGTAGGTGGATTATCCACGTACAAAGAGATACACATATATATGTATAATTATATACGTCTCTATTATAATATATGTATATATTTATACACATATATATATAAATATATATATATTTATTATGATAATAATAATAATATTTCCTAATAAGAACCGTTAATTACTATATTTATACAAGTATCATTAATTATCACCTAACTTGGCATCCTTGCGGGAGCGGTGCAGGTGGACAGCCTGAAGTATTGTGAGTGACATTTTCCGTTAATAGAGGGATATCCTCTTTGGAAGATTTCTCCATTATCTCCGATTTTGATTCGGTGATATCCAATGATGTACCAGGTTCCTTGTGATGATCGTCTTTTGTTTCTTTATTGGCACTGCTCGCCGCGGGCGATTTTAATTCGTAGCCCTCTTGACATCGTGTCAATTTTAATCTAATGGGTGTCACTTTTGCTGAACGTACATTACCTATTGTAGTTGAACCAGCATCTGGATCTGTGGGTTGTTTTTCATTAATTTCAATATCAGGGGGATAAATTGTCTCTTCTTTGTTTGGTTCAGCTGATTGCGATGACGTTGGTGGTGGTTCAACTCTTGTATTATCATTGCAACTACTTTCTTCAGTTTTTGTTTCTTGTTCATCGTTTATTGTTTTATTACTTTTACCAAGACGAATAATAAGTTTTGGCGGCGCAACACCACTATCCTCAAGCAATTGAACGCGACAATCTTTTTTATTTTGTCGTTTCTTTCGTTTGCCATTTTTGTCCTTTTTACTTTTCACCTTTGGCTGTTCTTCACTGTGAAAATCGGCCATCACTAAACGTCGATATTTCATGCTTTCACGTTTTAAATCCTCCATACTTGGTTTACTGGGAATGTTACTGAGACGTTTCTTTGGAGGACGAATTCGATTGTCGTCTTGTTGTAAATTTGTTGGATCGGGACCAATTATGCTGTTGCCGATTTTTATTTTTAATTTTGGTGGTCCACTATTGAATGCTGTTGATGGACGTGTTTGTCGGCCACGACGACGATCAACTGCACCCCCAGATACCATAAAACTACGACGTCTTTCCTCATCGTCAATTGGTGGATCAAGAAAACCACTACGTTCTTTTCGACGTTTCTTCTCCATATTCGCATCGACAACCGCTTTGTAATCCTCTCTTGTTGGTATACTCGTCATTGATGTCACGGCTTTTGGAATTGTAATGCCGGTACGACTCACCGGTGGTACTGCTATTGGTGCTGATGTCACATTTCTCTGATCGTCCATATTCATATCCTGCGAAAAAAGCACGAGTTTTAGAAAAAAATTCAAGGTGTGACTTTTGGGGAAAAAAAAAAATTCAAGACATGGTTTGAAATAATTTTCTTCAACCGTTTACATTTTCTTTTAATTTTTTTGACATCAAAAATTGAATTTATTTTACTTTAAGCCTGAATAAATCTACAAATTGAAATTAGATTTTTATTTTCTTTATGTCAAACTCCTTTCAATGAGAATTTTGTTTCAAGATAATTTAAGGAAAAAAATATTTAAAAAAAACACTTCAAACACAATGAAAAAAAATATATTTGTTTAAAATAATCGACTATATTATCAAATAAATATTTATTGGTATTAAAGAATTATTGAGTTCAAATAAAATTCATTTGATTCAAATAATTTTTAGTTGAAATATTTATTTGATAACAAACATGTAATTGATATAGAAAATTGTCTTTCTGATTATGTCTCTTTAATCTTTAATCTCTTTAATCTTCTTCGGAGCGGTACGAATATTATTAGAATTCTAAAAAAAAAAAAAATTAAACGCTGGAAAATCCTTCACAATTAAATATCCAAAATAAAATTCTACACTTCTATAAAAATTAGAAACAAATTTTTTTGTTTTCAAACTATATTAATAATATACAAATAAATTATAAATTTTCAGATTTCCTCACAATAAAAATTCTAAACGAAATACTACATAATTATTATTTTTTAGAATTTAAATTTTTTGTTTCCTATAGATTTTATATGGTAAATCTGTTTTTTTTTCAATTAAAACAAAAAATTTGATGCCAACTATGTAGAATTTAAAAAATGAAAATTGTGTAGTTTTTCGTTCAAAATTTTACTGTGTGATATTTAAAAATTTATAATTTAATAATTAAACTGAATTTGATTGTATAATTAAATACTTAAAAAAAAGTGTTTACAATTTTTATTAAAATGGAGAATTTTCTCGTGAAGATTCAATCGTTTAGTATTTTCCAGCAAGGAATTTATTTTGTAAAATTATATTATATATTTATTTTTATTTACATTAAAAAAAGAATTTATATAAATATTTAACTGAATTCCGATTTACTAGAATTTTAAATTAATCGAATCTTCGATTAAATTCAATTTTTATTTTTGAACGCCGATTTTAATTTGGCAGATTTTTATTTAAATATATTATTCATTTAGAAAATAAATTATTACTTTTATGTAGAATTTTTTCGTGACAAATTAATTGTGTACTTTGTTTGTGTGTAATTATCTAGTATTTTATTTTCTATTATTTAATTACCCTGAGTAAAAATTTGCATATTAATTTTATTTTACTCTATGTAGAATTTATTTTAAAATAATTAGTTATGCACAATTTTCAAATAATTTGTACCACCTCTAAATAAAGATTTTGCTTTTTTTTCAAAATTAAAAGTGAAAATTTTAAGAAACAAGAAAAATTTGATCATACCTGCGAGCAATATTGCCTGAGAAGTTCTTTTTTCCGCATTCGTCTCAAATTTGACGTACCAGAAGCAACGGACGCACTTGTTGATGTTGGTGGAATAATAACCGGTGCTTGTTGTGCCAATGGTGGTACAGTTGCAGTTGGCACATAATTAGCATCCAAGAATGGTCCTTTTATTTTCACTTTCAATTGATTACGTGAATCGGTCAATGAAACTTTATTAACATTATCGCCAGCGTTTGGCGATGTAATAACAATTGGATTATTAATATTTGATTTTATGCTAAATTCATTTGTTATTTGTTCCTGTATCATTGATGAATTAAGACTCTTGTCAAGATCCTCAATATCGGCAATTGATGAATGATCGGCAGCGTGAAATGAACCAAGTAAATGATTTGTGTATGATTGTACATGAATTGATGACGATGAACTTTGACCATCGAATGTTGAATATGTTCGCATATCAACGGGACCGGGCATAACGGGTAAAACAGCGTTTGTAAATGTTTGTCCCGTGTTTTCAGTTTCTTGAATTGTTGAATCGCTATGCGGTGGTGTGAGTACTTTATCATTTTTAACATTTGGACTCGAGAGGCGTGATTGTATGCCATCGCTGATTGAATCACGTTTTTCGCTAACTTCGGTGGATTTTTTTCTTTCTCTCATTGTACGTAGATCGGCGATATTTGTTTCGTTTGTTGAATCCTCATCGGAATCGAAATCGTAAACAGTGCCAACGAGTTTGTTTTGTATTCCATCGTCACTATGATGATGGGACAATGCGGCCAGAGTGGTGTGATTATTTCTACCGCGTCCTCTACCACGTCCTCGTCCACGACCTCGATAACTATTTTGATTATTTTTCCCACTGCGACCACGATTTCGTGAACTTGGTTGTGGTTTAATTTCCTGCCTTGGTGATTTACCAGGTGATTTTGCTTGCAACGATGTGACACGAGCTGATGTTCTCGTTGGTTTTGATGGTGATTTTTTGCCGAGTTTTGATTCCAATTCGGGAATTTCACCCTCAGGTATACGATTCGATTCGGGTAATTGTGGTTCGGATATTTGTTCGGGAATTTGTGATTCGGGTACAAGGGGTTCTTGTGGATGAGATTCGGTGATGTGAGTATCGTGAACGTGAACGTTTGGTACACGAGATTCGGATACGTTATTGAGGAAGGAAATTGGCATCGCTGGCGAATTAACTTGTGGTTCGAGTTCAGATGTTGGCACTTGAAGGGGATGTGAAGGTGGTGGTGGTGTTGATATTTTCGTTGGTGATACCATTGCTGCAGTTAATGCCATATTGTGCGACGATGATGTAAATGCTGCCGTACATGGTGATGCCTGAAGATTAAGCGAGTCTTCCAATGGTTTTGGTACATGTGGAAGTAATGCTGGAGCAGTTGGAAATGGCGCTCCAAACGGTGGAGGAAACATTCCTGAGAAGCAAAACTCTGTACAATATTTACAATATTGTGTATTAGTGATAAAATTGAAAAATTAAAGTTAGTGGAAAAAATAAAAAAAGAAAAATTTCGAAACTTACCACCTGGTGATGGATATGGAATTGGTCCTTGGCATGTTTGCGGTGGGAATAATGATACAGCACCGGGATACGATGTTCCAGACTCGGAATAAGAATGATAGGGTCCAGCGTCAATGTTACATGGTGGGAATGACATTGGTGGTACATTTTTGTACGGTGGAATTGAGGAATGTTCCTCGGCCGACGATGCGGAAGTTATTGAGGAAGATGTCGACCTTCGTGAGGGTAACACTTGACTCTCAGCCCATCGTGTGTCCTGTCTTGTGACAGTGATGTCATTATAGGGTGAACCATTTTGTGTGTAATCTTGCCTAGGATCGAGATCCTCTTTCTCGAGACTGTGATCCATTTCGTTTCCTTGATCACCAACATTGGGGAGATTTATTAAATGCCTATTGACCATTTCCATTGGTGTTATGTCGTCGACAATTTGATTTATTGGTTGCTCCATCATTGGCATACGTGAATCATTGTGTGATTCCAAATGTTGTTGACTTCTAACCAAAGCTTGTGTTTGCTGGAGAAGTTGATATTGTTCCTGAATATTCATATTTAATTGTGAATGAACTAATGCTTCGGCATTTGTTTCAGACATTACTGCGGCAATATCATTTTGAAATTGGTAACGATGATTTTGACTTTCCATTAATGCGTTCATATGTTGAACATCATTGGGATTGAAACCTTCCATACTTGGTGGTACCCATCGTTCATCTGCCTCGGCTCTGTCTAATTTTGATCGTTCAGCTACAGTCACCTTTCCACTTTCCATTGTTTCATTGCTATATGGATCATAAGTTTGCTCGGCATTTGTATAGCATTTTTGTTTATTTTCAAAATTATGATTCTTATAACTGAGATCTTCACTTCTTTGACTGATATCATTTGTTTTTATTTCGTATGTTTCTTCGGGTATTTTTGTCTCTTTCACTGATTCATGATGATGGTGATGATGATGATTCTTTGTACTTTCTTCTTTTTTGAGATTATCATCAGCCGACGATGGTGGTTCAACTTCCGATTGATTGGTATTTGATTTTTTATTAAGTTCCATACGTAATTTCTCAACAAGATGTAATGTTTCGCGAGCACTGTCCTCTTTGGAATCTTCTTTAAACCAGAGTTCATTGGGAAATGAGAATGAAAGTGGCGCTGAACGTTCTTCAACATCACGATGTATTCCAAAACCATCGTCATTAACCATATCGTCAGTTAAGAGATCTTGATCAAAATCAAATAATTCCGAGACACTTGGATCTTTACTTCCATGTTGTGGTGAAAATATTGATCGTTGTATTGATCTTCTTCGTTTTAATGTTTCTTTTTCAATAATTTCATTAACAATATATTTTTCATGTGATTTTGAAAAGAGATTTTCAGGTGGTGGTATTTCTTTTGCATCTTCTTTTTGACGATGTTCGTTCTCTTGAATATTAATCACTTCAGATATTCTTCCATCTCTTGATCTATTTTCCAAATCATCTGATTTATTTTGTTCTTGTTCTTGTTCCTCTTGTACTTTATTAAACACTGCACTTGTTTTTCTTACATTATTCTTACGATCATCATTATCATTATCGGAAATTAATTTTGATTTTTGCTTCTCTTCTTTTTGTTTTGCTGCTTCTTTATTTTTCGACATTACTTCAAGTTGTTCATGTTTCTCATGAAGTTTATCTAAACTTTCTTGAAGTGTTTTATGTTTTGTTGTATTGTCCCTTGTTCTTGATAACATATCAAGATGTTCACGTTTTTCAAGAAGTTTTTCCAAACCTTTGGATGATTTTTTCGGACTATCACGCTCAGCTTTTCTTTGTTTAATTTCTTCCTCGAGAATATTTATTGCATTTTTTGTGGCGAATTTCTTTTTTCTATCGTCAATTTGTGTTGTATCGATTTTAGTCGATTTTGGTGATTCTAAATCAGATTTTTCCTTGAGTTGTTTCTCCTTTTCTTTTTCTCTTTCCGTTTCTTTTTCTTTTTCCTTTTCCTTCTCTTTTTCTCTTTCTCTTTCCTTTTCTTTTTCCTTCTCTCTTTCTTTTTCTCTTTCCTTTTCCTTGGATTTTTCTTTCAGCTTTTCTTTTTCCTTCAATTTTTCTTTCTCTTTCAAATTCTCCTTGGATTTTTCCTCCTCTTTTGATTTCTCCCTCTCAAGACTCTTTTCTCTTTCGAGGATATCGCGATCAATTTTTCTAATATCGGCTTTTTCCTTTTCACGAATCTTTTCCTTATCGATTTTTACTATTTTCTCCTTATCGGTTTTTATTGGTTTATCCTTCTCGGTACGTTTCTCCTTATCGAGACGTGATTTTTCTTTATCATCCTCGGGTTTCTTTTGATGTTTTTCGTTCAACCTCTTTTCAGGTTTCTTGACCACAATCGTCTCTTTGATATTCTTCTCCTCTTTTTGGGTATTTTCACTTGATTTTCGCTTTCGTGCTTCAAATTTGGCTTTGTCTCTACTTGGGCTTTCCTCTTTGTTCCTTGGAGTTGGGATTTGTTGGGATTGTTTGATGGGTGGTGTTGGCTTTTTTGTAGATTTGCCCCCAGATAGATTTCTTGGCCCATCATTATCTCGAGACCGACTGTGCAAACTTTGGTTAGATGATGATGTTGAAGAAGGCTGATGTTGTTCTTCGTGTTGTTGGTGGTGGTGCTGTTGTTGTTGTTGCTGTTCGGATACAAGAAAGGGCTTTTTGATGATGTCTCTTTGTTCGTTTTGCTTTTTGGCAAATTGCTCTTTGAACAACGTGGCTCTGCTTGATTCCTCTCTCTCAGTAGGCGGCGGCTGAAACTCGGTTCCACGCCGCCCGTCGGAAGTTTTAAGCTTCTTATCGGGCAGCTTTTTGAGTTTCCGCCCCACTAACTGTGCTGCCTTCTTATCAGCATCAGAGGAATCAAGAGATTTATTTGTTGGTCGTTTCACTGGGGATTTGCCTTTTTGTTGTTGTTGTTGGCCAGAATCACTTTCAGACGATGTACTCGTTGATGCTGCTTGATCCTTTGATGAATCATCATCGGAATCGCTGCTACTCTCGGAAGAACTGCTACAACTGCTACTCGTGCTACTCTCGCTGTTACTATTACTCGAGTGTACCGAGAGCGCTTTACTTTCTTGTACAATCTTTTTCGGTTTTTTCGGTGATTCCTCTTTCTTTGGAGAAATAACAATTTCCTTTTCATCTTTTTTGATTTCCTTTTTCTTAATTTCAGGTGATTCTTTCTTTGCCTTAATTTCTGGTGTTTCATTCTCGGGTTGTGGTGCTTTTGATCCCATTCCACTTTTGATATGTTCGGCTGCTTTCTTTGCCGCTTGACGTTGAGGAACATAGGCAAGTATCTCAGAACCATCACCAAATTCTTTATCAAAATCATAAATATCATTGTTTTTCACATCCTTGCCAGTTTTGATTTCTTTTTGTTTTTTAATGGGTTCTTTCTTTTCTTTGATTTGTTTCGGTGTTTTTTCCTCGGGTGGTGATTTTATTGCCTCAGGATTTTCGGGTAATGTTTCCTTTTTATTTTGTGAACGTTGCATTATTTCTGATGCTTTCTTAGCGGCTTGTCGCTGTGGTACAATGAGCGCCGATGGTAAACACTCCTTTTTCTTGGCAGTCTTTTGATTCTCTTTATTTTTCAGTCCATCATCGTCTTGTTCTTGTCGTGTTTCTTTGCCAGCTAATGATTTTTGTTGTGAATTCTTAGAGAGATCGGCAGCTGAAAATTCTTTGACAGCTGCTTTTGTAATGAGAACATTGGAATGCGAAGTTGGTTCCTGTGAATTTGAATCAGTATCAGAATAAATTGCAGCTGCTGATGTTGGACCAAGTCTCGTGGCTGAATTTGTGTTACTAAGAAGAACCAATTCATCACTATCACTTTCTGATGCACTGTTAAGTTCACGTTCCATATGTTGTAATGTACGTGATCTTGTTGTTGTTTTATCACGAATTGATTTTCGTGGTCGATCAGGAGCACCGGGTTTCTTTACCTTTCTCCTAACTGCTTTTGACTTTGTTGATGCAACAGCTTCCTCCTCTGTACTCGAGTCAGTTTCCTGTTTCAATTTCAATGGTTTTGATTTATTTGTCGTTTTTGTTGTTGGTGTTGTTGATGTTGTTGTTGTTGATTTTGCCGGTGATTTTCCTGGTGATTTTGATGGTGATTTTATTGATGGTTTTATGTCAGTTTCACTACTGCTCATCGATGACATATCACTGTAAATATTTGGTCTTCTCACAGTGCCATTAAAATAAAGTTTCTTATTTGATGCACCATTAAAATCGGGCTGTGGTTTCTTTTCTTCACTTGATGTAGGCGTAGGTGGTGATTCACCACCCGATATCCTTAATAAAAGTGATTCAATATTTCGTGGATAATTTTCAACATCTGAATGTGAATAAAGACGATCATAAATGGAAGGACCGTGATTTGCTGATAAAACTGCATCAACTGTCGTTGGTGGTAATGTTGGACCTTCCATTATTGTTTTTTGTTTATGGAAAGTTTGTTCACGTAATTTTAACATTGATCGCCATAATTTTTCACGTCTACTAACCATGTAACATAAATTTCTCACACGTTCAAGATCTTGTCGCAGCTGTACAAATGTTTTCATTTTTTCTATGTCTGCAGCTTGACCTTGAGCTCGTGTACCCGCACCCGAGAGTTCACCGCAACGTAATGCCAATAGTGGTTTATTATTGCCAGCCTGGAAAAAGAGAATAATTTCATATGTAAAAATTGTAATTAAAATTGAAAAAAAAAAGAAAATTGATACTCACTCTTCTTTTTAATTTCCAATAATTGTAAATGTAGATAACTGTATCTTGATCCACATCCAATTGTTGCGATGTCACATCTTTTAAACTAACATGCTTATCGAATTCGGCTTCAATTTCTTGTAGTCTGAAATAATAAATTTCATTGTACTATGAACTTAAAAAATAGGGAAAAATTGTTTAAAAATGGAAAAGATTATTTACTTGGCCGCGCGGGCTTGATTTTTCTCTTCAGATGTCATGTCCTTGCGTTTTCGTTTCCTGGATTCACCATCTTCAGAATCGGAATTGCCCTTTGTGCTACTGTTTCCAACGCCTCCGCCACCGCCTCCTCCACCACCACCACCACCTCCTCCTCCGACGCCAACTTTGTCTTTCGTATTCGTTCTGCTGTGTTTTTGACAGTACGACTGTAAAGAAAAATAAAACATAAATATTCACCAAAAAAAAAAAGATTTATTAAAAAACTTACTCTTAATTTGACACCATCATCTGCCATTTCGTCTTCGATGATGGCTTTCATTTCAAGACCATGCTTAAAAGCACAAGTTACGTGATACGCAGTTTTGCACGTTTTTATACTACATTGAATACAGGCGCCAACGCGTTCGCGACACAATACACAAACGAGACCCCATCGACTTGGCTGTAATAAAAAAAAATTTTTAAATATAAAATACAAAAAATTGGGGAATTTGTTTAATCAGATTTATGAAAACTAACCGGAATACTAGATATTTTTGTAATTGGCTCCATTCTTTCAACGCAGCCAATGCTAACTTCTGGAATCCAAAGTGCACAGGAAACGTGAGCCCATTTTTGGCCAGTTCGCGTACATTTCATTGCACCGCCCTTGTTTGGACATAAAACACATTCGGGACGTTGTCCCAAGGAACATGTTCTGCATAACCAGGAACCATCAGGAATTGAAGTGATTCCATAACATGCCTGATGTACGCAAATATTACAAAAATCGCAAAAAACCATTTCATTTCCCTCCTCGGAATCGGGCTGTTAACCAAGAAAATTTTCGATAAATTGAATTCTTTCTAGTTTTTCAAAGTAATTCCAGTTTTATATACTCACCGATCTACAAACATCGCAAATGACATTCTCATCAAATTCAATGCCAAGACCTTCTTCATTTTTGACTATCGTTTGTATCCTCTCCCAACATCGAATTTCAAGTTCCTCTATTACTCTCTCGAGTTGTGCTTCAGTAACTGGAGGTTGACCAGCCTTTTGATAAAAAAAAAAGTTATCATTCATTTCTAAAATAAATTAACTTCAGAGAGAGAGAGAGAGAGAGAGAAAAATAATTACCAGTGCTCTTTCTCCATTTAAAACATCGAGCCAAGCAATATCAATATCATCGAGATCATAAGCACAAGCTTTTTCCGCTCGTGCAGGTGTGTTACTCAAATGATGTTCCTCGGTACTGAAATAATCATCCCGAGATATTCTTATAAACTTTTTTGGCCTGTTAAGAAAAATAAAATAAGATAAGAAATAATGAAATTTTCAAAACAAAATATAAAAAAAAAAAAAATGCTTACAATTTAAATTCGCCAATGGATTTGTTTGTAGATGAAGAAACAGAGGTTTGATTAACAGTGACCACGGGTTCAGGAAGTGAATCTGGATTAACGGGTACCTGTACACCTCTTTCCCATTCTTGTTTCCATTGATCAGTTATAACCCAATATTCATTTGAACTTAATGGTTCACTGTCGGGTAATTTCATCGCACTTATCAAATCCTTGCGAAATAATTCCGCTGGTGCCTCAGCTGCTGAACGATTATATATACTTGATATTTTAATATCACTGAGAGGTCGGGGGGTCCAGGATGCTCCCCCTTGACTGGACGATGCCATCGTTTCTTCTTCTTCGGATGGGCCAAGGGCGCTTGCCGATAGCGTTGCGCCCACAACTGCTGGACCCAATCTGCATTTTCTTCTCTTAACCGCACCCGGGCCAGAAGCCGAGTCATTATCGTTTCTATTAATTCTCTTACCTCGTTGTGCCATTCTACTATACCAATTGAGCTAATGGTATGCGGCACATGCAAAAGAGCCGTGCGCATCCTAATTTTGAAAAAGATTCTCATTTATAAATTATCAATTTTAATTTAATTTCTCAAAAAAAATCATTCTACTTACTACATAGCTGTCTAGATATTTATTATCTGGAACACAAAAATCCTTCGGAACTGTAACAAAAAAAGTATCAATTATTAGAAATTAATTATACAAAAATTCAAATAATCAGGGAATTTCTAAAACGCGTTTTTTTTGTGTGATATGTACAATGACACAAGGAGCATTTTTGATTAAGGTAAGCAAAACAAAAATAATTTACATGCAGAGTAATCGACAAAACAAAAAGAAATATCAAATTTAAAAGTTCATTAAAATTAAATGTCAAAAAATAAAAGCAACAATAAAAACAACAAAAATGGATTATAAAATTAGTGATATAAAGAAGTTAGCAGTTATAAAAAATTCAATGTTTACAAAAAAAAAACAATATACAAAACAAAAACAAAGCCCTTTACCTAAATAATATGACAATAAACATGCTAAAAATGAATTTAATTCCAAATAATGAAGAATGATAGATGGAGGTGATTGGGCTACTTTGATGATAGGATCTCGTGGACTTGTTGGATCGTACCCCATAGGGTAGAAGAATCACCATTGGATGAAATTCACGTGCGTGCGTCATCTGAGTCCATGCAGAGGATGATAAGTAGCCGGTGAAAATGTGATCCTGGAAGTGATCCGAAGACAAATTGCACTTTGCTGGTCGTGTGTGTGTCTTAAGTGGCAAAGGAAGGGGTAGAGGTTATAAAAAACAGAGATTCGCGACTAAACACAATAACACGAATCGTCGTTATAATGAATATTGAATAAATTTTTAACATGTGAACATGATTGAATTGTCAAGGAATCGTGAGCACGGGAAAAATTGTGTAAGGTTGCTCCCATCCTCAGAGAACATGTAAACATTGAGTGGGTGCCATAGTATACGTTTTTTTCTGGGGCTTTATAATTTCACTTGATTAGCACACGACTAATAAAAATCACAATACAATTATTATTTATCGAATAAACACTGACGCGAACAAGAGTCGAAAATTGTAGGAAAACTGGGTTCGTACGGGAGAAAATGCCATTACGCTGCGCTGCTGCTCCTGATGTTCGACAACATTGACAATCGAGATAGCAGCACCATCGCACACACAAAAATCACACACAGACGGAAATCATCCTCCATTAAAATACCTTATTATTGATCTATTAGAGAAATAGATTTTCGCGCGCGCGACCGATTACACACGTGATTTCACAGAAAAGTGCACGCGAAACTGTGCCGGGATGCAGGAAATGCAAATTCTTTTATTCCGCAAAGTGCGTATCTGTCACAGGATAACCAACATGTCCTCATTAGTAGATCTCAGCAGTACTCACTCTATAGCGTTCCAACGATTCCTGGCTGTCATTCAATTAATTACACCCACGACCGTATAACGTGAGCGCGTTTTTTGATTTCCAAACATTCCAAATCGATAATATATTTACATAAAAGCAGATACTGATATTTGGCGCCATAGTGCCTGAAAAATGAAGATCTTCGCTGGGCATTCGCCTTTCAACAAGCCCCCCACACAACAAATCCCCAACTAAACAACTAAATGTTCCTAGATAACTAAAAACTTTTTAAAAGTTTAATTTCTATAATAAATAATTTATAAAAACATTAAAATATCACGAATAATTCATTTCCCTTCTTAGTTTTATTTAAAAAAAATATTTACTCATTAAATATCACTTGAGAATTAAAATACATTAAAAAAAAAAATCATTTAAATTCAATTTTATTTGTTTATGTCCATAAGTTCTATTTTAATTTAAAAATAATAAGTTAAAATACGTTTTATTTATTTATAATTCAAATCAATATTGTTCAAAATAATTTAATAATGTTTAATTAAATTAGTTTTAATTTTTTTAAATTAAAATTCTTAAGTTGGCAAAATTGTTTAGTAATTTCTTTAATTTGAAAACAACCCGCCAGTGCGCTGCTGTCAATGTCACGTGGTCAAACAAGAGAGCGCTAAATTTAAAATACTAGGGAAAACACCTATAATTACCAATGTCATAAATTGAATCAATATTAAACATTGTTATTGCGTCTAATTGTGCAAAAATAAAAATTCTTTACTATATGTTTAAATAATATATACATAATACCTTATAAAAGTGACTTTAATTATTTGTAAATATTTACATTACTGCTGCCATCTTTTCAAGTTTCGTTTGTGTGCGTGCGTGAATTGTTCGCCCTAAAAGATTATATTATTTAAAAATGGCAGTAATTTGTAAATTATTAAAATTCACAAATAGATGTGATTCTTTAAAGAAAACAGTGCTTTTTAATGGAAATTCAAATTTACGAAAATATTGTACAATTGTACGTGAACCAAAAGTTAAAAGATTTAAAGGAATTGTGAAATTTAGTCTTGTCGGTGCTGCATTAGGAACAGCAGTCGGTGTAATTTATTCTAATCAAGAAATAAATAAAGCAAGAGATAATTTGTCATTAGAGGGAACGCAAGTTGAGAGAAAAATTCTATTGGAAAAACCACCAATTCCTCCTTCGAGAAGTGTAAGTATTTTTATTTTTGTTGACATAACCTATAAGTTTTTTTTTATTATTTGTTTTCTTAATTATGTATTTACGTATTGTCAACAATTACAATAAGTGTTTTTAAATATATTTTTTTAGATTATATCACCCATTGATTCAACGAATTTAGAACTTACTCTTTATCAATATCAATCTTGTCCGTTTTGCTGCAAGGTAAAGTAATTTTTATTATTTCTAATCATTATTTTAAATTCTAATTTGAATATATATTTCAATTTATATCACGAAATTAATTGTTTTTAAGGTTCGAGCCTTATTAGATTATTATGGAGTTTCTTACGATATAGTTGAAGTGAATCCTGTATTTCGTACAGAAGCAAAATGGTCACCTTATAAAAAAGTGCCAATTTTATTAGCAAAAGTAAATGGCGGTTATCAACCATTAAATGACAGTTCAATGATAATTTCTCTTTTGGCTTCATATTTTCACGATAATAGAAATAAAATAGAGGAACTTATTAAATTTTATCCAAATATTGCTTTACACGATGCAGAGGGTAAATTTAAAAATGAAATTGTCAACAAATATTTTTTGATGTATCAAAATTCAATGCCTAAAGACAAATCACTGGATGATGTTATGTATGTATTATAAAATTGTATATTTTAATTTTATTTTAAATTATTTTTAAAAATTTCGCTTTTTTTTTGTAGTGAAGAGCGAAAGTGGAGAAAATGGGGAGATGATGTTCTTGTTCATACACTTTCACCAAATGCCTATAGAACATTAGACGAATCGTATCGATCGTTTGAAAAATTTTCAAAAGTGAGTATTAAATTTCAAAGTTTAAAATATTTTCCTTAATTGTACAATTTTATTTATTATCATTATTATCAAAGGTGGGACAGTGGGAGGAATATTTTCCATTTTGGCAACGATGGGTGATGATAAATGTCGGCGCTGTTGCAATGTGGTGGCTTGGTGATCGATTAAAGAAAAAATATAATCTTAAAGATGATGTTCGACAATCATTATACGATGAAGTCACTATTTGGTTGAAAGGAATTAAAGCACGTGGTGGACCATTTATGGGTGGACAAAATCCTGATTTGGCCGATTTATCCATTTATGGAATTCTCAACAGTATCGAGGGTCTAGAAGCTTTTGATGACACATTAAAAAATACAAAATTAGCAACATGGTACAACGCTATGAAAGAGAAAGTTGAATCACACGCGGGAAATCATTTGATAAATTCATAATTTGTTCATGTAAAATGATATTAAATTAATTATTTCATCAAATTAGGTTTTTTTTTTTTAAATAGAAAATTTTTAATTAACAATTTTTGATTTTTATGCAATGAAGTTTTTAATAACGATTTTTTATTTGTAATAATATAAAAAAATACGGGTGCAAAAACAGTGTTTCTAGAATGAAATGAAAATATATATTTACAATAATTTGGAAGTACTAAATATTAGACGTTATTCGTTGAATTAGGTGCTCGACAAAATGGACAGTGTCCATATCTAAGTAATGCTAATTCATAATCGTCCGAGTGAAATAGCTGAAAAATAATAGAGATTATTTAAAATTCGAATTTTGTCATTAAAAGAGATTTTTTTTCAATGTATTTTAGTGTAATTTTTAAATAAAATACCTTGAGACACGTTTTACAAGACGTAACTTGAAGGTCTGTCAATAGATTTTTGAAATATCTTGTTTTAAATGGTTTTGGCCATTTGACAATTAAAACACTTGAGGGTTCCATACTTTTTAGAATTCCGCGATTTACGAGAACAGTTGAACCTCCGAGTTTATTCTGAAAAAAATGAATTTTAATTATTTTAGAAAATACAGAAAATACTGAGAGTTCACATACTTCATAACGAACTAAACGATCAGTAAAAAGATCAGTTTTAGTCGTAATTGTCAATTGATCTTCAACTAAATTTAATTCCTCCGAATTTTGAATTGGTTCTTCAATTAATTTTTCCGCTTCTTCATCACTGATTCCTTCTTCGAGTTCAAATTCCACAAGAGGCAAAATTTCTACCAAAAAAGAAAATTAATCAGAAAAACGAAATTTTTTAATATAAAATAGAAAAAAAAATCCATTTACCAAACATAACAAAGGAGTGTTGAAATTTTAAGCCACATTGAACGCAACTATTTTCCGGAGTATTTGTCGTTGGTAAAAGTGTATTAAACGTTGAACATCTATAGCACAATGGTAATAATTCCTCTGGATCACGATATGGATATGCTTTCGCTGTTATTGCCCATGTTTCAATTTGTGCTAATAAATTTTTCGGTATCTTCATTCCACGTAAACGTTCAAGTAATTGTATACCCAATTTATTGGCACCCAATAGACGAGCTTGTTTCATTAATGCATAGGTAATTGTCAATTGTGATACACCGTCAAATTGTTTATCTTGCGTTTTTATAAGCAAAAATCGAGAAATATTAAAAAGCGCCTCTGGCATTAATGACGTGAATGGCTCTTCCTGAAAAAACAATAAAATCAAAAAAAAAAAAAAATAAAAGAAAAAAGCAAAAAGAAAATTCTATTTACCAAATATTTGTGAACTTCATGATATACATAATAAATATCCGCCTTTTCCGAATAAGATCTAAATAAAACTTTAATCTCCTCAATATTTCTCGAGAGATCAAGACTCAATTGCGAGAGGAGCCAATAAAAATAAGAAGCATCACGAAATCTTCTTTCAGTCACGGCATTTTTTGCCAGAGTCATTAACACGCCTATTGATTCTTCAGGTTGACCAGCCATTTGAAAAGCTGGAAAATTAATTTTTTTAAAAAATTAAATTAATTTAAATAAATATTTTGGATTTAGTAATGATTTACCTTCTTGTGCCTCGGAAAATCTGCCAGTTTCTGCCAACCATCTAGCATAGGGTCCATAGATACGTGATTTTAATTTTGGATTTCTTTCAGCAAGTTCAAAAGCCTCGGGCCATGCTTGTGCTTCAATTAAAACTTCCGCCACATCCGGATGATCGCCTAGTCGTGTGAAAATTTCCGCTGCACCATGAGTTGCTCCCAATTGTCTTAATTTTTTTCCAATCACTGTTAAACTTTCACGTTCCGCCTTATCCAATTGTCTACCAACTTTTATTAACATATCAATCCAACCATGTTCGGCAATTATTTTTATAGCACGTTGAATATCGCCTGCCGATAAAAACATTTCAGCTGCCGCTCGCGGTTCACCCAAACTCTTTGCCCATTCGGCACGTCTCCGAAGAAGTACTGTACGATCCTAAATTTTTTTAATACAAATTTAAAATGTAATTTTTTAATTTATTATTATTATTTTTTTTTTTTACCCACCTGAATATTACCAGAGGAAATAAATTCCTGAGCAATGTCAAACATACGAAGATCAGAATACATATCGACTGCATATTGTTGTAATCCAGCTTTTTGATAGAGTCTCGCAGCTTCACGAAGTCTACCCATTGCAGCCGCTGCCGTTGCCATGCATGCTTCACGTCCCCATTCACCTGATTTTAATTTCTCCTCCACTTCGGATACAATTTCAATATAGCGTAATTTTTTTATTCTCGCAAACGCCGAATAGGCGATATTAAATTCCAAATTATCCAAAGCAGCCACACCCAAAGCGAACCAATCATTTTCCGCAACACCCAAACACGCGATTGCATAAGCTTCCTTAAACATATCAATCTCCAAATATTGATACATTGCTGATGACAAAGGTATCTGAAAATAAATTTTTTCCATAGAAAATATTCTTTCAATAAAAAAAATATTTTTATATTCTAACTATTTTAATACCTCAACTGTTACAATCGAAGGACCATTTAAACAATAAAGTCGTGATCCATTATGTCCAACGACAAATCCAGAAAATTTTTGCCGATATTCATTAAAATTTGCCACTTTTATTGCCAAATAATTAACACCTGAAAAACACATAATTTCCTCAAATGCAGTATTATAGGCAACACTTCGTACATCATGAAATTCTTGTAATTTTTGCTCAGTTCTTATATCGAATACCGATAAAATATCCGTATCGCTAACAACTGCCAATTTTTCCTTCAATAAACTAATATCCAAACATCTAACAGCAGTTTCAACTTTTGCCAAATGCATTGGAAATGGATTATCGAGATAAATTTTAACAACTTGTCCCGTTTTTAAACCAGCAACTAAACATTCCTGTCCCACTGGACCGCCAATAATTTTCAAATACGTTATAGCACCATCCAAAATCCATTCACGATCAATTGTACCAGTAAATGTTAAACTCTGTAAACGTTTATCGAGACAAAGTATTAAACGATTTGTCGTCACCACCAACATATGACAATTTAATGCCTGTGCCAATTTATCCGTGATACGATAATGCATTCCTTCATTATTACCCGATGGTTCGTAAATTATCACACGTTCCGGAAGTTGTACAGCCAATTTATCTTTATAGACAGCAATTTTACAAACCTAAAGAAATTTTATTACAGTTTTTTTTTGATATTATTATAATTATTTTCTTTCTATTTTTAAAATAGATTTTGATTTTAATTTTAATACTTACGAGATCTTTACATTTAATTCGAACTTTTTGATTAGTGACAAGATGTTGAATAATAACGTCCGTCATATTTTCACGATACGCATATCTTTCGCCATAAAGACCGTGAACTGTACTTGATGATAGTTCCAAATATGTGATAGTACCATCTTGACATCCTATGACCTAAAAAAAAAAAAAATTAGATTATTACCACAATAATAATTTAATAATTTAAACTTACAATGTGAGATGATTTTGGATGAACGGCACAACTCCAAACCCAGGAGGAAAATTCATTGCCAACTGTTGTTAATTTTATACCATCGTGTGTCATTAATATACAACGTTTATTGCTACCCGAAACAAGAATATATTGTCCTTCGGGAAAATGGCAAATTTTCAAGGGAATAAAATTCAATGTTCTCTCACGTCTCACTGCTTTTCCATTAACAGCATAAAATGAAAGTGTACCACCCCATTCTGCTATACACAAAACATCCATTAAATCATCCCTAAAATAAATTTCAAAAAAATATAAATTTATGTAATAATTAACAATTTAATAGAAAAATAAATTGAAGTAAAAAAAACCTTAATGGACACCAGGAAACACTCCAAATTGCAGTTCCTCCAGTTCGATCAATTTTTGCCTTTTCTTCGCCAAGCTAAAAAATAATTTGTTTTTCTTTCGTTTAATTAAATTAAAAAAATTTGAATTAATTTATAAAAAATAAAATACCTTATTTCTTATGGAAACTAAACCATTGGCCAAGCCAAGTGCCATATATTGACCATCTTTTGTCCATGAGCAACAATTTACTCTTCCACCTGATTTATATTTTTGAACTGCTTTTTGTTCAACAGACCATAAAGCAATATCGGATAATGAACAAGTTAATAACTGATGAGAAACGGGATTAAATTGCATCGACTGAACAGCTTCATTGTGCCTATAATTAAAATAAATAAGTATATATATAAACAAAACGTTTCAATAATTATGAGCCAAAAATTCTGAACGTTCAAATGAACAAAATATTTTTTTCAATCTATAAATTATTAAAAATTAAAATATCAATGTAAAATAAAACAGTAAATTAAACAAATATTAAATTAATAACTTCTTTCTAGATATTTAAAATAATATTTTGTAATAAAATTCGTACTTAAAGAAGTTTCAAAAAAAAATTTTTTCATTTGAACGTTCAAAATTTTTTCCTCATCAATAATTATAATAAATATTTCAATTATATTTGAAAATAATTTAAATTTTCTTACGAATATTTGAGAACTCCTTCAAGTTTAGAAGTCCATATTATAACTGTTTTATCTGCACTGCCAGAGGCAAATTTTTTTCCATCTTTTGAATAACAAACACAATAAACTGTATCTTTGTGACCTGCAAAAAAAACAAGTCGAATTTTATTTATTTAAATAAATATAATAATTAAATATTAAATTAAAAATTAAATTTAATCTAATTAAATTATAAATTATAAATTAATTAAATTACCTTTAAGAGGTTGAATTAAAGCTCCTTTACTGGTTTCATAAACCAAAACTTGCTGTCCTGCAGCCACAACTAATTGAGATCCATCAGGATTAAAACATAAGTCGTATATACTGAAATCAATTAATATTTACTGTAATTTAAAAAAATTCATTAATCAAAACAAATAGCACTCTACAAATTAATTTCTATAATGAAAACAAAATTTTCTAATTGTTTAATACATATTTTACCAAAAAAAGGATTGTTATTTTTGTATAAAAAAAAAAAAAGAAAAACAAAAGCGCTATTACCATTGTTCTGTCTTATCTTGAACTTTATCAACCCAAGTTAGATGGGTTTTCATTTTATTTACTGTTTATTAACTGAAAAACTATTATTTATTTACATTTGTTATTAAAAATTAAAATATTTTAATAAATGTCAACACAGTATAGTTTATTTTGACATTTGTACCGTTACCACGGAAACGGATAGAAAAATGGCTGCAACCAATTAGCATTTTGATTTCCGCTAGGTTCAATTATCGACCAATTGAAAGTAAACAAAATACTTTACATTGGTTATTTAAAAGATTTTTTTAGATTCCAGTACTGATTTTAAAGAGAAAAATAAAGTATCTCTCTAAATGAAATAAATAAAAAAGTAATTCTTATACAATTATACATAATTATTATTCAAATAATTAAATATTTATTAACAAAAATAAAAAATTTTCAAACGCCTAATTTTCATTTGTCACAAGTACGCAAACTCAATCGCCATTTTTAAATCCCAGGCGGGAGTTTGAATAGTTTGCAGTCGACATCAATGTCCTGTGTACACATTTTTTTTTCAATAAATTAAAAATTAAATTTATTGAATGACAAGTTATTTGTTGTGTTAATTATTCGTTGTAGAATTAATCTACCTACTTTTCTCAATTTGTGTAATTGTTCACAACTGAAAAAATGCATTTATATTATTTATTTACGAGACAATTATGTCTATAAGTGAGGTTATGTTCTGACATCCTTTAATATATATTTACATTGTTTTTCTTGAGTACAATGTTTTTTATTTTATTTCGAAGACGGCATATTCAAATTAAAAGTCATCACATTTATAATAAACCGAAATTTAAATATATTTATTTTGATAGAAAATTTTTGCATAATACAATAATTGACGATGTACCTACAATTGCATTAACTGAAATGAAAAAAAGTCTCAAATCATGTAATATTTCATTTTTTGAAGGACATACGTGTTTACTTGCCGATTGTCCTTTATGTGATAATAAATCAAAATTATATATCAATAAAACAACAGGTAATTTTTTTTTGCATTATTTGTTTTTAGTGAATTAAAAAATAAGAATTTTAAATTGACATTTTTTTGCAGGTTTGTTTATATGTGAAAATTGTGAGCATACAGGTTCTTGGAATATTTTAGAAAAATTTATAGTACAGAAAAAATCGAGCAGGGCAATTAAGGCTTTATCAGAAATTCGTAAATTAATACAAAAAGAAGAGGATTATTTTAATCAATGGAATGATTTAAAAAATAATTCTGAAAATGTTGCTGATATTACCATTAATGAATACGAGAAATTACGAAAAACATTTTCCTTTCCTGTAATTATTTTTCTTTTTTAATTTTTAAAAATAAAATTAATTTGAAATAATATTTTTTTTTTTTTTGATTTTCAGAATATACCACAAGAGACAATGTCACATTTAAATTGTTTGTACAATGAAAAATTGCAAATATGTTATTTTCCATTAATGGCATTTAATACACGAATTGTTGGTTATAGATCATTGTCTATTAAAAATGAATTTATCAAAACTGAACCATCGACAAATACACGAGGTGTAATAATTCATACACAAAAAAGTACAAAATTAGATGATAGTGCTGTTATTGTACCGACAATAAATGATTTTCTTATACTTATTGCTGAAAAATCAGCGCCAGTTATAATATGTTTACCATATGATTTACAAAATTTACCACAAGAAATTCTTCCGAGTTTAGAGAAATATGATAAATTAATATTATGGTTTGGTAATAATGCAACAAATTGGGATGTATCGAGAAATTTTGCTAAAAAACTCAATGAGAAACGATGCTTTATTGTGAGACCAATTGATCAACAACGAACGCCAAAGGAGGCATTGAAAAAGAAATTAAATTTAAAGGAAATAATTCAAAAAGCCCAACCAATATGGCATAAAAGTATCACAACATTTAGTACAATACGTCAAGATGTTTTGAGTGATTTACAAAATATTGATAAAGTTCAAGGTGTTAAATGGAAACGATATCCAACATTGAATAGAATTTTAAAGGGACATAGGAAAGGTGAATTTACAATATTGACAGGACCAACAGGTTAATATTTCTTTTATTTTAATTTCTATTTTTTTTTCAATTTAATTTTACTATTTTATACTTTTTTCAGGTTGTGGTAAAACGACATTTATCAGTGAATATTCTCTTGATTTGGCTCAACAAGGTGTTAATACACTTTGGGGGAGTTTTGAAATAAGAAATGCGAGATTAGCACGTACAATGCTTCAACAAATGGTCGGTGTACCTCTCGATGAGAATTTACAAAATTTTAATAATTACGCTGACACTTTTGAAAAACTTCCCATTTATTTTATGACTTTTCACGGACAACAGAATATCAAAATTGTCATGGAGGTAAGTTTTCCTATTAAGGAATTATTAAAAAAAAAAAATGTTAAATTAATATTTTCAATTATAGGCAGTTGAACACGCTACTTACGTTCATGATATTTCTCACGTTATTATTGATAATGTACAATTCATGATGGGAGTTTCTGACGAATCAAAACACATGGATAGGTAATTTATTTATTTCTTTTTATTTAAATTTTACAAAACAAATAATATTTTGTTATTTTAGATTTTGGCGACAGGATAAAATAATAAGTACATTTCGAACTTTTGCAACAAAGCATAATTGTCATGTTACATTGGTAATTCATCCGCGAAAAGAAAGAAATGATGAGGAATTATCGGTGTCATCGATATTTGGTAGTGCAAAAGCTAGTCAAGAAGCTGATAATGTATTAATAATTCAAGATAAAAGATTAACGAGTCTACGTGGAAAAAAGTACTTACAAGTTGTAAAAAATAGATACAGTGGTGATTTAGGAATAATGCTTCTCGAATTCGATAAATCGAGTTTAAGTTATTCTTCAAAGAAGAAATTAAAATCAACCACTGATCAAAAAGATACTTCCAAAGAAGATATTGAATCATCAATAGCTACTGAATCAATGTGATATATTTTTTTGATAAAACAATCATAATTTTTTTTTGTACAGAATTTCATCAGTAAAAAAAAAATGTAAATATTTTAACATTCACTGTAAGTATGTATTTTATAGTTTCTTTTTATCTGATAATTTTTCAAAATGTTTTTTTGACATGAAAAAATATATTATAGTTATAAAAAAATTTGTTTTTTATACAATTATTTGAAAAAAAAAAATTTATTTTCACATACTTTTAATTATAACACTTTTTTTTCGATCTTTTGGAAAAAAATTTCAGCGCTCAACATGGCGACAAAAAACTTTTGCCCTACAATCAAATTTCATACTTTTTATGTTATAATTAAAATGTGTGAATAAAATATCATTAAAACCATTATATTTATTTTCAGTGTATGCCACTAAATTTTCAATGGCTTTAAAATTTAAATTCACATCCTTCTCAAACATTTTCAAATAATTGTCTTCGCGTATTTTTTGATTTATAAAATTTGAATGTAAAATATTTTGCGCAACACTAATGACATTTGACAATGCTTTAATAGGTGATATTGGTGTGTCATTATTACCCCATTTATGAACAATGAACGATTCAAGAAATTCATAGGCAATAACACCATGAATTATTGTTATAAATTTTGTAATTCCCTCTTTATCGGGTGACCAAATTTGATTTACATTTTGTTTCATTGGAAATGGAATTACACTGAGAAATGTGGAACTTTTTAAAAAACCAGGAAAATTTTGTGCTTTTGCTAAATTAAGTGTTTCTTTGCCAAGTGGTCGTGGATATTTTTCACTTTTCATTATAATTAAAAATTGATAAGGAAATGCGGCAATTAATTTTCTTAATGATAATGCATTTCCACTTGCAACATCTTCAGAGCTTGCAAAATCTTTTAATTTATATTTTTTCTTTAAATAATCAATACGTTGTTTGCCAATTTCTTTCATTGATTCATTGATTTTGGAAATTTTTGGTCCTCTTATTAAAAATAGTGTAATTATTTCCACGACATCTATAAGTAATTCTTCTGTATTATTAGAAACGCAAGCTAATGCGAGTTTTAATACATCCTTTGGATTATAATATTGTTCTTGTCGTGATTGTTGAGATTTTAGAGAAAATGCATCTTCAAATTTTTTTGTTATATCTTTCAATATATCCGAAAATTGATCGGCATTCATCTGGATTAAAATAAAATTCTTAATTATATTATTCAATTAAAAAAAAAAAATCGCAAGTTTTATATTTTTAATTACTTTATTAAATATATTTTCCATAATTGATTTTTAAATTATTAATTGGACAATTAATTTAAAAAAAAAGTATCAGTAAGAATGATCGAAAAGTAAATAATTATTCACTTCCTATTTTGAATTAACGCACGATTAACGATAAATAATATTAACTGGACAATTAATTAAAAAAAAGTATCAGTAAAAATGATCGAAAAGTAAATAATTATTCACTTCCTATTTTGAATTAACGCACGATAAACGATAAATAAGAAACGAGAACAGAACTAACGCACGCGCATAAGCGAGTATTATAGCAGAAAAAAATGTTTTTCATACATATGTAGTTGTTTATATTATCTTCCTCCAAATTTAAGATAAGAACACGCTCCCCTATTTATATATATATATATATATATATATATTTGGAGTGACACGATGCAGATGATCATTCTACTTATGAAACGTCGACATTAGTAAAAATGTACACCGGGAATATTGTGTGGTTTATTTTTATTTTTGTCATTTTGCAAAGTGTACAAATATTTTGTGATAATTTTAAAAAACCAACTATTTTAATTGAAATTTTAGTACGAAATAAAGCCCACACATTGCCCTATTTTCTCAGTTTTTTAGAGAATCTTGAATATCCAAAAAATAGAATATCTCTATGGTGAGTTAAATTAATTTTTCTTTTTCTTTATTAATAATATTTATCTAATTATTTATTCGGCCAATAAAATGTTATTTCACGAGCGGGAAATATGAGTTTCATATTTATAAATTATTTTTTAATATATACTTTGCAATTTTACAATTACAATTATTCAGTAAATTATTTTCTAAAATGGAAAATCATTTTTAAATTAACTTCTTGTTTATTATAATTAAAATATTGATTTTAGTTTAAATATTTCAAAAAAAATTTAATAATATACGTTTTACTTACTTTTTATGTATTTTTCACACTTGTTTCAAAATTTAGTATAATTTTTAATTCCTTTTATTTTGAAATGTATTTTAAATTTTATAATTTTGTATTGTACTTTAAAAATTTTTTTTATTTAAATACGTGTCTTGTTAAAGTAAAGCCTTTCGCGATAATGACCACTGAAAGCAAATCTTATACTGTTGATGCTGAATATACATTCTATACTCTCTGATATACTAAATATAACTCAGATAAAAAAATACAATATAATAGTTTTGATATTTTAGAATAGTTCTTTTAAATGAACAAATCTTTAAACTAAAAATCACCGAATGAGTTATACATATTTTTTTAATTATATTTCCATTTAAATAAATTTTGTATGAACAATACTTATTTAAAAATGAGATTTCTCTTTAACAAAGAAAAAAATTCCTAAAGAATTATTAATACTTCAAAAAAAAAAAAAAGAAATAATATTTTTTATTAATTAATAAAATTAAAATTAAATCTTTTACACTTAATATTTAATTGTGATTTATAAGCACGTATACACACACAATATGAATCATATATTTTATTCCATTATAATCTAATCGTAACTCGATATTTTTATCTTAATCTTTTATTTTAAAACCTATAAAATTTCAATGTCAAAAACAAATACAGCTATTCATTACACTTTATTTCAAATTTTGATTTGAATTTCAGGATTCGAAGCGATAATAATATTGATAATTCAATTGAAATTTTAAAAATATGGCTCGAAAAGGAAAAAACAAAATATCATGCTGTTGATTTTTTATTTCACGAAGAAACAAATGGATTTGACGATGAAAAAGGAATTGCCGATTGGTCGTCTAGTAGATTTTCACATATTATTAAATTACGTGAGGAAGCAATGAATTATGCACGTAAAGTGTGGGCTGATTTTATTTTTGTAAGTAAATATAAATAAATAAAAAAATAATAATTTTTTTTCTTCTTCTAATTTGTTGGCTATAATTAAAGGTGGTGGATGCTGATGTATTTTTAACAAATCCAAAAACTTTAGACAATCTTGTCGCTAAAAATTTGACTATTGTTGCACCACTATTGAAATCTGATGGAATGTACAGTAATTTTTGGGCTGGAATGACATCAGATTATTATTATATTCGAACAGATCAATATAGACCAATTCTTAAAGGTGATATTAGCGGATGTTTTCAAGTACCAATGATACATAGTGCAGTACTCATTGATTTACGTAAAGAAGCAAGTAATTATTTGACATATTCATCAAAAAATGTCGATAACTATGATGGACCTATTGATGATATTATAACTTTTGCACTTGTTGCTAATCGCTCTGGTAATTAATTTATTAAATATAAATTTTTTATTTTTTAGTTTTTTTTATTAACCTTTTTTGCTCTTTTTTTTATTACAGGTGTGCCAATGCATGTTTGTAACGATAAATCATATGGTTTTATTCTTGTGCCATTAGAAAATCACGATGACGGAATCGAACACGATAAGAAGCAACTTTTAAATATAAAATTAGAAATTTTAGGTAATTTTTACAGAATTTATTGAAAAAATTTATTTTTATTTAGAAATAAAATGAAAATAAAATTGAAATTCTGTTATAGCTTTACAAGAAGATCTTCCATTGACAGAGAGTTTAAAAAAATTTGTCAGCTATCCAGAAAAAGATACTGTTGGTGTATCGCGTGTGTTTATGATTAATTTATTAAGAAGACCGGAAAGAAGGAGACGGATGCAACATTGTTTCGAAGAATTGGGAATTGATGCAGAAATAATTAATGCAGTTGATGGAAAGTAAGAATAATTTTTTTTTTCACATTTTTCAAGTGCAAAAAAACAAAATTAATTTCCTTTTTTTAATTTTTAGAACTTTAAATCGTACTAGTTTGGATTCAATGGGTATTAGATTGATGTCAAACTATGCAGATCCATATCATAAAAGGTATGTATTAAAATAATTAAATATATAAAATGAATATATTAATTTAATATCACATTAATTTTATTTTTAGATCAATGACTATGGGAGAGATTGGCTGTTTTCTAAGTCATTATTATATTTGGAAAAAGGTTTGTTTTTTTACCCTCCGAAAAAAAACTAATTTTTTCTTATAAATATTATTTAATTTTACAGGTGATAGAAAATAATTATGAAAGTGTAATGGTGCTAGAAGATGACGTTCGATTTGAACCTTACTTTAGAAATAAAATAAATTTCATACTTAAAGAAATCGAAAGATTAAAAACAGACTGGGATCTTGTGTGAGTTATTAATCATTTTTATTTAATATTTTTTTTTTTTTGGAAACTAATATAATTTATCAATTATTCAGATATCTGGGAAGAAAACGAATGCAAGAACAAGAGGAACCTTTGGTTGAAGGAACACAATTTCTCGTTCACGCTGGTTACAGTTATTGGACTTTAGGCTATATTTTATCGTCTCAGGGAGCAAAAAAATTACTAGCAGCAAAACCACTTGAAAATATGGTCCCTGTAGATGAGTATTTACCAATTCTTTTCGATAAACATCCAAGGTATTAAATTTATTAAATTAATTTCAATTCAATTTTTAAAAAAATAATTCTTCTAGTAGAATCTAATTTTTTTTTTTTTTTTGCAGAAAAATTTGGAAGGATCAATATCCAAAAAGAAATCTTGTTGCACTTTCAGCAAGTCCTCTTCTTATTTATCCAACTCATTACACTGGGGAAAATGGATACATTAGCGATACGGAAGATTCGAAAATTGTCTCACTAAAGAAAGAAATTTCAAACGAGTCTAGAAATCATGAAGAATTATAGGATTTGAAATCAAGAAGATAGAAAGAAAGTAAAAAAAAAGGGTAAAAAAAATAATAATCAAAAGAATTGAGCCAATAAGGTGAGATTGATGAGAAAAATTGCCATTTTCGTGCCATTTAATTGTAAGTTGCATTAATATGAATTCTCATAATTTTTATTGATTTTTTTTTTAACATTTATAACTTAAATTTTAAAAATATTTCTTATATGGAAATTTTATATACAATTTTAATTGATTTTTTTTAATATTAATTTTTATCGCGCAAATAATGTTGAAGTAATTTAAAGAAGGAAGATTAGAGATATATAGAATAATATTTTCTGACATGGAGGATTTACAATTTTTTATAAAAGAAAAAGTAAATAAATATATATATATATATATTTTTCTGTTAGAAAATTTAGAAAACTTTATAGACTGACAAACGTATATAAGTAATCATGATATTGTTATTTTATCATTAGAAAAAAAAAAATTACGTTATTATATCAGAAAATTAAAAAAATTAAATCTTTTTCTGAATTTTATTGTTATATCTAAATAAATCAATTCTAATATTATTATTATTATCAATTGTGCTTCTATTACTAATTAAACTACGATATATTTGTGAATACCATTTATATTGTTTAATTAATTAAAGTAAAAAAAATTAATAAAGTTAAATTTGAAACAAATTGTTTTTTTATCATTTTACAAATTTTGAATTCACGCGCAAATCCTTGTGTTTTCTGATTGGTTGAAATTGGCGTCGCGCCGATTTACATAACCTCAAAATATTTGACAGCTCGTGTTGCGAAATTATTGTGAAATTTGTTGTATATATCTATATTATTTAACAGCTGCTCAAAGTGCCAATATAATTGTAAATATATTAAAGTATTTAGTGAAAATTCTATTTTAATTATTAATTAAAATTTAAAACAATTGTGTTTTATTTAAAAAGAATTTATCAAATATATCTAAAGTAAAAAAATACTCAAGTTTTGCAAACACGTGTTTGTTGTTTTTGAACAAGAAATTTTGCCAATCATCGAATTTCAAGATTAAAAAAAGAATATCAATTTCTATTATTAAACACACAGAAAATATTTTTGACAAATGATTGTTGTAAAATCAGGATCACATTACAAAATGACATTAAACTTGCTGAATTTCGTAATATTCTACGTTTTAGGTACGTAATTCATTTTTTTTTTTTAAATAAAACCTAAACATTAATGTAATTAATTATTAATTGTACTTTAAACTAATAAATAATAATTTTATTAATTTTTGCATTACAATTTTTTATATTTACTTTTAGGAACAAATCGATTTCAACAAATGACTCCATAGTATTTGGATTATTTGGAAAATTTAAATTAATTATAAATTAAACAAGAAACGCCAATTGAAAAAAACAAAAAAAAAATGTACAAAATTTCATCAGGAAATTTTTTGGGTAACATTACCGTTGAAGTTCGTCCACGTCTTCGTTCATGTATTGTTTTCATTTATATCGGTGACAATGATCCATCATTAATTGATGTGAAATTATCAGAAACAAGTATAAAAATTAAATGTGAGAAAATTTCAAAAAATCTAATTTTACCATCAGTAAAATTACTTCCAACTTCATTGTCATCATTACGTATCACCAGCAAATGGATTTCATTTCGCGTACAAACAAATCCAGATACTATTTTTGGAACTTTTAAAACAGAAATTATGAATGACATTGCACGCACAATAACAATGGAAAATTCATTAATAAAACAAAATTTACCACAAATTGGATCTCAATTATTATTACGTTGTAAATGTTGTGAAAATATTATAACAAACATAATAAATTGCAAACGAGTGTTACCATTACCAAATAGAGATTGTGATCCAGGTGAATGGTTTTGTTGTAAACATACAAAAGTTGATTTTGCCAAACTTCTTATACCTCAGGATACTGATTATTTTTATGGTCCAGCATTTTGTGTTTTGAATAATAATAATTTTCAAAATTTAATTGAAAAATATAATACAATATTGTGTAAAAAATGTTTAACTATTTTGGGTATTAAAGAGGACAATGAATCAATGAGAATTTGGAATTGTTGTGTTGAACGTAAAATTAATGATGATAAAGAATTTCAATTAATATGTCAATCACCATTGGATGAATTTGTATCAACAATAAAAGATTGCAGTGAAATAATGGGCGAAGAAATTCTTATGGAAGCATTAGAAGGTAATAAAACACATTATATTTTAATGAAACCAATGGAATGGCAATTGGAATTACTTACAGAATCAAATATTAAATGGGAAGGTGAATCGATACGTTTAAAAAAATCACAAGTTATTAAAGTATTTTATAAATATGGCGAATGCAAAAAATCAGTTAGAAATGAATTTGTTCATTCGAAATATTATTTAATTGCTCTACCACTTTTAATTGCTGGTATAGAACATTTAATTTGTTCAACAAAACGTTTTCCACCATCATATAGAACAGTAACGCAATATTGTGTCGGTTATATAAATATAAAAAATTCCTTTACTCATGGAATTTAATATTTGTGTAAAAAAAAAATTAATTTCATATGTAAAAATTTAATATTTTGTTTAAATTAGTGTTTGTACAAAAAAAAAAAAAAAAAAACTGTAAAGAGAAACGAGATTTTATATCTTTGATAAAAATAAAAATAAATTTTCTATTTTTCTATTTCTCTTGTCTTTGAAAAAATGAAACACAATTTTTTTTCTCTTTATTTTAAAAAACAATTTATTCGGAAAAAGATAACAGCTGCTTATTTTTTTACATCATTTTCACGTGATTTTTATGCAATTTACAATTTTTCTTTTTTTTTTTTTTTAATCTAATTTTCTAAATGGAAACTTATGGTTTCCTTGGAAGTTAATTTACTGATTAATGTAGAAGTATTTGTAACTATTTTTACATATTTTTTTCAGAAAGAAAATTAATTTTTACTGTACAGACTTTTTCTACATTAATAATAATAATTAAATGTGCCGAGTATTTTATTTTTATTTATTTTTTTTTTTTTGCTTATATAAATCATTAACCTGCTAAATTTTATCTAAGAGCCAAGCAGAATAAAAAGCACTTGATAATGAAATATTTAAAAATTTAACAATCAAATTGAAAATATCTCTTCGATGTTTTGCGTGTATTTATGAATTTTTTAAAATTGTCTTTTTCTTTTGCTTTTTTTCTCTTTGATAGTTAAATATAATTTCTTTCTGACTGTGATGTTTTTCATTTATTTCAACTATAATCCATTCGGTACATTAAACAAAAATATAAGATCTATTATAATTTCTCTAAATTTATAATATTGTTCAAGAGCTAATTTATTAGCTTTAAGTATATATTTTTATTATATATATATATATAGTTTTTTTTGTAGTTTTTAAGATTAGTTTTTTTTTTAAATTTCAGTAAAATTTATCCTTGCATTAAAGGCCACTTATATACGTGCACTCTTAAGCCTTGTAGAATTCATTTTATTTCAATAAAAAAACCAATTTTTATTTAAAAGATAAATTTTATACAAAATTCAGACATATCTTTATCTAACTTTCTAATTAAATAAAAGAAATTAGTAAATTTTTCTTTAACAAATATTTTCTACTAAATAAAGAAGCAATTGGAAAAGAAAAACTATATAAAAAAATACTAAAATATAAAACTAGTTTAATACTCAATTTTTTTTTAAGACTAAAAAAATTGAATTAAAATTTAAAATTATTCTACATAATTATAACTATAAATACGACGTGTGAATTTCATATTGAAATATCAATTTGCACCAAGTTTCAAAAATGTTTTCTTTATTGAAAAACTAATGTTTAGAAACTTACCCTATACCTTCCCCCCTCCCAAAACAACCATAGTTAATGAATTATTTTTCTTTACGTAAATTAATTAATTACATTTTTTCTACATTTACGTGTAAATAATCTCACGAAAAGTTAAATGAACAAAAATTCTCAACTATAGTAATTGAAATGTGGATAAAAAATTTCTGAATTAAATTTCATGTAATTTTTTAATTAAAATTAAAACTATTTTTTTTATATTACATTAATATAATGTAATTAATGCTTTTTGAATCTATTGATTCAATTTTTTTTCACATTTAAAATGCTTTTAACGTAGAACTTTACATACGAATTTTCATATGAAAATTTTTTTTTTCATGCGGCGTGTATAAAAATTGTAATAAATTTATATATTATATAAATCGCGAAAAACGACACCAAAAGAAGTCTTGTTACCTCAATGATATATAAACTTAAGTCTTTCAAATCAAGTTTAATTCAAATCAAACTCAATTTTTTTTCAATTAAAAAAAAAACAAGAAATACAGTGGAAGTACAAAGGATTAACGGAGTTTTTGTGCTACAAAAAATGAATTTAAAAAAAAAAAAAAATTGTAATCATTTATAAATTAATTTGTAATTAATTGAATAGATTACGTCTCTTATAGGACAAAAATAATGTCGTTTATGGAATAAAATATTAGAGAATTAAAATGGAAAGAAAAATCTTCCACAATTTTTTCCCCTTAGCATTTCATTAATATCAAGAAAACGATGATAAAATTATATGTAAAAAAAATAAAAAGACATTTTCTTTTAGCTATATATGTACAGGCTTTTAGAGTGACGTACGTCTGAATGGAATCAGGCTTAAATTTTCTTATTTTCTGTGTGCGAATGACGAATTGCAGTTGATTTCATCATCATCATCATCATCATCATTATTACCTTTTCAGGAATTTGTTACTGTTGTTGAATCATCCCTTTTGGCAATTAATCTGTCCTCCAAAGGTGTCACATATGCCCAGCCTTCGTCTTTGGTTTCTTTAAACAACTGTTAAATAAAAATGTAAATTACAAATTTAAAAAATTTTCTTCTACATTTTATAGAAAAAAAAAAAAAAAAAAAAAATACCTTCGTTTGCCACATAATATTATTCTCTTTACGAATTCGTGCCTCATCGCGTTGTTTTTGTTCAATAGAAGATTTAGCAGCAGTCGCTTTATCCATATCATTAATACGTAAACCCATTGTAACTTCACGCCAAATTTTTCGTGATTCACAATCTTCTTGTTCGCACATTGGTTTCACTTGTTTCTTTTCTGCCTTTAATTCACGAACGTCGGCAAATATTTCCGATCTCTAAATTATAAAGAATAGAAAATAAGATATTAAATTTTTAAAATTTGAGAAATTTTTATATTTGAAAACAAATTTTACCCCATCAGCCCATTTTGATTCCATTAATCCATTCCATTCTCCATTAATAACAAGAAATGGTTTCTTATCAGTTCGATGGCTAATTTGACATGTGATACGATTTCGTTTACCGCCATAAAATGGTTTTGTGAGAAATTCTACCGATGCAGTGTAACCAGTTTGAGCGCATGTTATTGTCGTATTGCCACCTAATTCAATCCACGGCACTGTTAATATCGATCTACCATATCCATTGGGAAATGTAACAATATATTCCTCTCCATGATTTATCACATTTACCCAACCTTTGCCAACATTATGTACACCTATGCTCAAACCTAAAAATTTACTTTTTGTCCATATATGCGCTCCAAAACTTATATTTTTCTCAACATTCTCAACATAAAAGCCGCTCACTAGAAGAAAAAAAAATGTAAATTAAAATTCGTTTTTAAATTAAATTTTTCTTTTCTTTTTTTTTTAACAAACCAGGAGGATGATGAGAAACTTGCTCAGCGATGAAAGAGAGTTGATTTTCAGTAGACCATGGCACAGGACCATCTTTAACAAATTTGGCACCTATTTTTAATGAATTATTTTGTTCCTTTTCTGATGCAAGATCCCAATGACATCGAAATATTTCACCTAATATTGGATTATAGGGCTTTTTTGCAACGCCTGATTTTCGTCCGGCGTGAAAACTGCATAAATACCATTTCACAACTTGTACCATTCTATCTCTAGGAGTTGGCATATCTGCTATGCTGAAATAAAAAACAAATTTAAATTTTATTATTATGATTTTAAAAATTTCCTTTTTAAAATTATTATTTATCTTTCATTTAGTTTTGTTAAATTTTAGTCATTGGATAGTGTCCACTCAAAAATAAACTGAGAGTCTTAAAATAGATTTAGATATTGATTGTGTAAAATTGAAATAAAAGTGAGATGAAACAAATTTAAAATATAAAGCAAAGAAAAAAAAAAAATTCAATGTAATAAAATGAAAATTTAATTTTTGAAATAAAACATTTACCTTACAAACTGATCGGGATGAGTGAAATAATCCGCATACATTTCTAAAAGGGATCTGCGCTCGAGAATAAAAGTCGGAAGGGCAACTTTTGTCAAATCCATTCCAATTTTTACTTGCGATAAAAGATGAGTGACAACTGAACCATGACTTTCCATCGAGTCCACTAAAATTATTTATCGTTTTAGAATAATTATTTCTTAAAAATTAAAAAAATTAATTAATTACAGTAATAAATAATATTAATTTTAGCAACAATTAAAAAAATAGAAACATAAATAAAAAATTGACATTTAAATAATTGGATTAAAACAATCGAAAGAAATATTAATATTCAAAATTGAAAAAAAATTTTAAACACTTACTTTCCTCTTCGCTCTCTTCCTCGTACAATGCTGAAACAAGACAAATTTTTGAAAAAAAAGTAATAAACTCCCAAATATTTTTTTAAAATAATCATAACACTTTTAATTTTAAAAAATTAGAAATGTAATAACTGATTTTCAAAATTAGAAAACAAATTTACTTTTTAGAAAAAAAAAAACTCACTGTTTAAATCGGTATTCAACATTTTGCCTTTGTTGAAAATAACAAATAGCATCCATATTATTTAAAAGAAAAAATTTTTTTTAAGGGAGAAACAACTGAAACTGAATGGATATAATATATGAAACTATAATATGCGCGAACTACGAGAATCGATTAGTATATTTAGAGAAGATAAACGTCCTAACAATCGTGAAAATCATGTCCTGTTCTGGTTTCATTATATTATTTGTAACCGATAGATTTCACAAAATAAATTGTAAATTTCGATAATTTAAAACATTTCACGTTCGCCACTTTTCGTTAAAATACTGTACAATTTATATCTATATGTATTTGGTAGACTTGCATCAATAGTACTTGCCATGTATATATGTATACACGTGTAGGCATATATATATATCACAGTAAGATCAATAACCAGAAACTTATTCTACATTAAGTAAAACCGATTTTTTTTTACAATTTTGAATTAAATGAATATTTCAAAAAAAAAAAAATAAAAAAAAATAGTACGTCATTCAAATTTATTTTGCAAGTGTAATTTACCTAATCAAAAGTTTTGATAAAACAATGCCAATAGAATAAGTGACGTCTGTTTTATAACATTTGAAATTCAAGAATTTATAATTTTAAAAAAAAAAACACTCGAAAAATTTTAGACATGCAGGAAATAATATAAATTTATATTATTATGAATTTTAAATTACAAAATTCAAAAATTTTGAAAATTTAAATTAAATAATGTAATTATTAAAATAATTAGATTGTTTTCTTTTTTATTTAATTATTATAATTTTTTTTTAATTTTAAAACTTCAGTTCGGAGGATTATTTAAAATTTTTTAATCCTCTGCTTTAAATATTGTTTATTAAATTAATTTACTTATTTTCAAAAACAACAATATAAAAAAGAAAAAATATCTTTCAAAATTATTTACTAACAATATTTAAAAATATTTTTTATTTTCAAATTGGTAATTTAGTTTTTAACTAATAGTATTTTGAAAATTTGTTATTGATACGAAAAAGATTTTTTTTTTAAATACAGAAATAAAAAAAAAAAACTTACCATCATAGTCGACAGATCCATCTCCTTTTATTGGCGGTGCTGGTGGGGGTTTTCGATTATCAACAGGTGTAATTTCTGTCGATGATGGTGATGATGATGATGTTGATAACGACAAAGTTGGTGGTAATCTTTCAGCTTCGCGTCGTTTTCTATATTAAACAAATATAAAATAAAAAAAAAAACAATAAATTTTATAATTTTCAAATAAATAAAAATCTTTAATATTTAATAACAGCAAAATAAAATACTAAAATGTATTATTCTTACGGAGGATGATAATTTTGTGCGGCTTGATGCAAAGGTGGTGAAATATCATCTGCTGCATCATAATAATCTTCGTCTTCATCTGAAGATGAATAAGAGAATTCTGGTACTGGAAGATCTCTGCCCACAACTGGAAAAAAAACCATTTTTTATAAAGTGATTCCAAAATTCTTTTCTTAATTAAAATAAATTTAAAATTTTTTAAAAATGTATTTAAAATAACTAAAAATACAAAAAACAAAATTGTATTTACTTTAATAGTTAGAGAGAACAAACCTTTTGTTAAATTTGGAACTCTTGGCTCCACACATTCTGACCCCAATTCAATTCCTGTTTGTACTGTCAACTCTGGTTCCCCTGGAAAGAAAATTAATTGTATCAATAATTGTTTTTCATTTTAAATTGTTTATTTTCTTAAATGAAAATTATTCAACTTACCTAGTTTCAAATCCGAAACAATGGGTTTAGTAGGACCCGTATAAATTCCATTTACAGGTATGGCTGTATTCTGAAATTTAAATAAAAAACAAATTATGAAAATTGAAAGAATAAAAGAAATAGAGAGAAAGAAGAGTCAATGATTCATGAATCATATACGCCTAATTTAAAAACAACTCGTGTACTGTGATCTAATAAATGTAAAATGATACAAACATTATTTTTACGAATTATGTTTTAAAAAAAATTCAATAAAATGTTGAATAATTAGTAATTTAAATCAAATTTTTTACAATCAAGGCAAAATTTGGTAAAAAAAAAAGTCTTTGATCTAATTTTTCGAAGGTTGCTGCTATTTTTAACTGATAAAAAAATAAAGATAATTTGAAGAAAAAAAATTTACAATGATAAAGTATTTTGCAGTTTATTACATTTTTTTATGGTGGAAAAAGAAAGTTTTATTACCTTGGCAATTTGTAGTTGAACAATCATATGCTTGACGGAATTAAGCATTGCATTTGCTTGTTTTAAAATTTCTTCATATCTTTGTTCATTAGTCTCGTCTCCTTCGGGCACTGCCTGTTGCTTTTGCTCAATCAATTTAATCTGATCGATCAACAATTGAAGATACGCATCAGCCTCTGCTACTTTACGATCGAAATCTTGCTTTGGAAGTAATTTATTTGGATCCCAACGCTTAAATAAATATAAAAGAAGAACATTTTTATTTCAAATATTAATTATATATGAAAAATAAGAATAAATTTTCTTTACTTTAAAAATAATTTTCAAATATTTATCAATTTTTTTTTATATTAAAAAATAAATTATTAGATTTATGTAAACTTACTGCATGTGAATGTCGTAAAATTGTGTCCTCTAGAGCCCGAACCCAACGTTCTCGTTCTTCGCCGTTTCTTGTTTGAAAATGAAAAGTCTTTGAATCGTCTTTCTGTGATGAAGTCGTGATAGTAAAAGTACTATCATCTTCGTCATGAATTCCAATTACAGCGCCTCTTAAACGAACACATCCTCTACGTGCCCCTCGCATCATCTTCTCTTTGCTCTGAAAAAATTGTAATCATATATATTTCTTTTCACATAACTTTATATCGTTTTATACATATCATTTTCAAAACATTTTTTTAAATATCAAAATATTTTTAAAAAAAGATAATAATACTACAGAAATTATTACAAAAAAAAAAATTAACAGTTAATTTAACTTTTTCTAAAAATAATTTTATTTACAATTAAATTGATTTATTTGCTCTACTTAAATGTAAATAGTAACACGTTAACATATTTTTACATATATTAAAACGATACAAAGTAAATTGAAATCAAATTTTCTAATTAAAAACAATAAACAATTTCAATATTAGTAAATGATTTTAAAAAGAAAAATAAGTATTTCATACAAACATTCTCAAATTCTAATGCGTCAAAAAAAATATTATTTAAATGACATGTCTAAATTAAAAATCAGCTTGATTAAATTTGTAAAAGCCTTCGTAGTTTAGGAAACGTACACTTTGAACTCTGAATTATTGTTTTACAAAATGCTTTGTTAGAACACTGCTTGAAATGTTTTCCCCGTATTAATTATGTTAGTTCAAATAAAAACAGCTGTTAGTTTTAATTAAATATTACACTTGTATTACGAGTTTATTTACCAGACAATCTTTTTAACTTAAAATAAAAATTGTCTAAAATTCATTTTTTAATGTAAAATAAAAATAATTTCCATTTTATTCAATAAAAAAATAAGAAGAATTTTGTAATGAGAAATTGTTTTTTTTTTTTAATAAATTAATGGAAAACAAAAATATAAAATTAAAAAAGAAAAGTGAATTTTTAAAAATTACTAAATACGGAACTCATTTTCGATATATATATGTATACACATAGCATTGTGCCTTTATAATAAGAAAGAGTCAAAAGTCAAGCCTCTGAATTTATTTAAAATTCATTCTCCATCTTTAAATCTAACGAAAATTCATAGACATTTAAAAAAGATTAATTGAAGTGTTGATCACAGTATTCAAAAACAAGTTTTCATTAAAAAAAATTAAATTATATTTTTACTTTATAATGTTTAAATTATACAACAAATTAAAAAGAAAAAAACAATTAGTTTTTTAAAATCACAAAAATTGATTGAAAATTTGAGAAAAAATTTTTTGTTTTTCATTTTAGGATTAGATTTTATTATAGATTATTTTTCTATTGCAAACATTCAAATGAAATCTAAGGTGAAAGGGCAAGTATTTAGTATTCCTTTTACGAAACTATGCGAAGTGTATGAATATATCCAAAATTGGTTGCATATGCATTAAGCATGATCGGCAATTCATATATAAGTTGATTCCCAAATTAAGAAGGTTTTCACAAACACCTAAGTGATCAGTGAACAAAAGTGAAACGCGGTCTAACCGCGTTATTTTCTATTATATAATTTTTCAAAATTTTTCGTTTCTTTTTTTTAATTTTAATTGTTTTAAGTGTTAAATATACATAATATACAAAATGAGTTTCATGGATACTTTTAATTATTACTATTATGATCAAGCAGGTAATTGGAATTTCTTCTTTAAATTTTGAAATATATTTCAAATAATAAATTAGTTATTCAGTAATTAAAGGTTTTTTTTTTATTTGGAAAATATAAGTAAAAAAAAATTGTCTTTTACTGAAATTAATCTACTTTTTTTTAGAATTGAAAAATTAATTATTAAAATTGTTTCAGATACTCGGGTAAAGGGTTTGTTGTTTATGGATAGTCCATGGCCAATGATATTGATATTATTTAGTTATTTGTATTTTGTATTTCAATGTGGTCCACGTTTTATGAAAAATCGACCCGCTTACGAGCTAAAGTCGTTTATTAAGTTTTATAATATTTTTCAAATTATTTCCAATGCCTATCTAGTCAAAGAAATTCTTGCAGTTCATCCAGATGCAGTTGCTTTACGTTGTATGCCAATTGATTATTCAAATAATCCAGATGCAGTTCGTGTAAGTTTTTTTTTTTTAATAATAATAATTTGTCCCAATTTGTTAATAATTTAATTTCTGTATTATCAAATAAATTAATATTTATTGAATACTTTGTAAAAACGAATTTCTAGATGGTCAGAATGACATATTTTGTATTCTTATTGAAAATAGTCGATCTCATCGAAACAGGAATGTTTGTATTGAGAAAAAAATATAATCAAATATCATGGTTACATCTTTATCATCATTTTACAACTGCACTTGTCGCATGGATTTCAACGAGATATATTGCTGGCGGAATGGCTGTATTTTATCCTGCAATGAATTGTTCTGTTCATGTTATAATGTATACATATTATCTTTTGAGTACCACAGATAGTTTAAAACGATATGTTCTTCCCTTTAAACGTTATGTCACAATTATTCAAATGGTAAACAAACAAATATTAATTTGCATTTAAAAAAAAAAAATTTTTCTCAACACAAAATTAATTTAAATTAAATTAGTGTTAAATTATCAATTTTTTTTTGTTTCAGGTTCAATTTGTTATTTTAATATTCCATGCTTTAATAGCAACTTTCCCATCTTGTGCTGTTCCTAAATTACCAGCTTATTTAATGATTTTAGATGTATTATTTAATTTCAATTTGTTTTATAATTTCTACAAAAGAACATATCTAACGCCTAAGAAGAAAAAAGAATAGACTAACAATATAAGTTAAAAATTGTAAATATAAATTATTTAAATCAATTTGTTTCTTTTATTCCTTCTAAACCTATCCTGAAAAAAAATTAAATATTTGTTTATTATTCATCGTTAAATTTTAATCAAATAATTCCAAATAATTCACTAATTTAAAAAAAAAAATAAATTTATGTCAATAATTTTACACTTCATTTCTTAATTTTATAAATATTCAAGTCGGCTCATTGTTCTTCAACAAGAATAACTTTACAGAATTTATGGAATACTAATTAACGATAAAGGCGGTGTCCCATTTCGTAATATACAAATTCTAAAACCTTGATTCTTTTTTTTACTGCGTGTATACATTATCAAAACAAATACATAAACATTAATTAAATTTTTCTATTTGAACATTTTTTTCTTTGAAAAACATTAATTAATTGAAAGCTATTTATTTCTAAATTAAAAATGAAACATTTGTCAATTTTTTTTATGAGATAAATCTGATAAATAAAAACAGGTGCAAAAGGTCAAATCAGCTGATTGTCAGAAATAGTAAGATTAAAAAGATATATGATTACTTTCAAATTAAAAGAAAAGAATTTAAACAAAATTCTTTGACATATAACTAATTTCATTGAAAAAAGAAATTAAATTTAAAACAAAGAGAATGTAAATTAAATTTAAAACAAAACATAAATCTTATCTGACAGATTTTATATATATATATATATATGGCCGTTCATTATTGTTTTTCAATGACAAAATACTCACTGTATAATAAGATAAAAGTCCAGCATTATCATCCAAGACAAACCATCGATATTGCCAACCATTAACAACATTAGTCCATTTACTAAGTGAACCTTCCATTGTCGACATTTTTCTTGCGAACATTATTGTTTCAGTTGTTTCATTAAACTTCGACATGACACATAACCTCTAATGATATATTACATACAAACACATAATTATATATACATATATATATATAAACTTCATATACATATACATAACACAAGTGTTGCCAACTTTAAAAAAAAGGTGGCCAACTTCGTTAAATACGTAAGTTACGTAATAAATGTCACGTGATCATAAAGGTGCTTTCCCATTGGTTGTTTTCGGTAAGTGTTCCGGAAGTGCTCAGGAACATTTTGTGATTGGCTGGATCTAATGGAATTTCTAGGTCATTGGACCATAAAATTCTCTGAAGTACTCCTGGACCATTTGTCGAAAACATCCGTTAAAGCATATTTGCCATTAATTAGCAGGCATATTTTACATTATTTCAAGAATACCCATTCTATTCGCAGCTGAGAATACAGGTAATATACATTTTTTTTACTTATATTAACAATAATTAAAAGAAAGTAAAATATTTTTATTATTATTGTCGCCCGTCAATTTTACCAATTTTCAATGTTTTATCGATATAAATACTTAATAATTTTATAATAGAATTGAATTTATCTATAAATTGAGACATATTTATGATCCAATTATTGTTTTCATAGAAATTCTGAAAATAAAAGGTCAAAAATGTTTTTTTCGAGATATGTTCAGGTTCTGCGCATGCGCGACATAGCCCAAGATGGAGTCCCTGGCGTTCCCACGGCATTCGAGTGTTCGCAGTTCAACGTCGTCCATCGTTGAAATAAGGGCATATAAATAGAAGAGTAGCCATTATTTTCGAAGCAGAGAACAGGTAATATGATATTTTTTAATTATTAACAATAATTATGAGAAATAATAATGTGCCTCATTGTTGCAAATATTGAGCATGGCGGCGTCACATCGAGGCAGATAAATTTTTATCAATTTTGCAACTATTTTCATAAATAATGCATGAATTTATCTGTATTTAAGACATATTTATGATCCAAATTATTATTTTCATGGAAATTCTGAAAATAAAAGGTCATAAATATTTTTTTTCGCGATGTGTGTGCAGGTTCTGCGCATGCGCGACATAGCTCAAGGTGGCGTCCCTAGCGTTCCCACGACAGTCCAGTGCTCGCAGTTCATCGTGATGCATCGTTGAAACGAAAACATTTTAATTCAACAGCAGCTATTATTCTCAAATCAGAGGACAGGTAATATGATATTTTTTACTTATTAACAATATTTACGAGAAATAATAATGTGCCTCATTGTTGCAAATATTGAGCATGATGGCGTCACATCTAGGCAGACAAATTTTATCAATTTTGCAATTATTTTCATATATAATGCATGAATTTATGTGTATTTAAGACATATTAATGATCCAAATTATTATTTTCATGAAAATTCTGAAAATAAATGGTCATAAATATTTTTTTCGTTATATGTGTGTGCAGGTCCTGCGCATGCGTGAAGTAACACAAGATGGCGTCCATGGCGTTCCCACAGTATGGACGAGTCCACTTTTCATCGTCGTGCATCCTTGTAATGTGAACACATTATTTCAAGAGAAGAGAAGCCATTATTTTCGAAGGAGATAAAAGGTAATATAATATTTTTTAATTATTAACAATAATTAAGAGAAATAAAAATTTTTGCCTCATCGAAAATGTTTAACATGGCAGCGTTGCATCGAGGTGGAAAAATTTTTCCAATTTGCAATATATTTTTTATTTTTTGATACAAATGCATGAATTTGTCTAGAATTTAAGAAATATTTAGCATATTTATTATTTTTTTGGAAATTTTGAAAATAAAAATTCGTAAAATATTTTCCTCATTGTTGCCAACGTTCAACATAACACAGCGTTTCATTGTTGAGGTCGAGCTATTTTTTTTTTTCTAATTTGCAATGTATGAATACATAATTTTCTAGTACGATCGAATTTTATGAGCTATTATTATTTTCATGAAAATTCTGAAAATAAAAGTTTATAAAAAATTTTTCGGAATTGGTCCTGCGCATGCGCGCGCAGTAATATAAGATGGCGTCCTCTGTGTTCCCGCGGTAGTTTAGTGTTGAGATTGTAATAAAAATTTTTTTATTGATTAATATTTGTTGAATAATTCTGAGTTATTATGTGTCGAATTAATTTGAGAAAAATGTGTATCGTATAAAATAATAGCTGCATGAACTGTAATTATTGCATTTATTCGGGATTCTATATCCGGTTCTTATGTATCGAGTGAAACAATCAAAACATGTGAACTTGGTTATGTCACGTGTTGATATTGTTACAACTTGAATGAAAACAAGAAAAAGGTAATTTTTAATTTCTAAGATTGTGCAAAAATGCAATTTATACAACGAAATATTCGTTTTATATCAAATTGGAAGTTTTATTATATTTTATATAAAATGAGGTTATATTTAACTCGAATTGTCGGAATTAGATTTTTTCCTTTTTGGAATTAACATTTTTAGGAATTTTTTGTTATAAAATATTTATTGTTATAATTATAAAAATATAATTGTTATAAAATATTTATAAATTTCATTTTTTTTGGAATTTGTAAAATTTACAAATTTTAGTTTAGATTCAAAAAAGTTTTCAGTATTTCTTTACTTTGAATTTTAATTACTTTAATTTAATTCTATCAATTAGGGTTAAATAAATTTAATTAATATAATTTTTTCAATAATTAAAATAATAAAATAAAATTTTTTTTTAATTAATTATAATATTAATATTTTTGTTTGAAAAAAAATTTCTTTACAACTTTAATATTAAAAATGAAAATTCTAATATAATATAAATGATGTTTAATATTTTAATTTACTATTCATTATTGCTAATGTTGAATTTTATTCTTATAGAAAATGATGCATTTTTTTTTAATTAATAATTTCAGAACACGATGATGGATGACACAAGAAAAATTTATCCTGAAGAGGATGATACTAATTTTTACTTTGAATCTGATCATTTGGCTTTAAAAGGAAATAAAGATTATACATCACTTTTGAAAACAATTGTGATACTTGAAAGTCAAAGATCGCAGGCAATTGCCGATCTTGACAAACTCGCATTTTGTCGGTCTGAAGCAATTAAAGATCCAATTTCGTTTGTTGCAAAATTACAAAACGGCGATGATGTTGAATTTCCGGGTCCGCAAACAATTGCTGAAATTCCATTTATCGATTGGTCACAATATAATGTATCTACACCGGATATGAAATTACGACCACAAACTAGACACGCGAATGTCAGTACTAGATCGAACATTAAAGTGGAATACGACGAGTCGAAGGTAATTGAAATTTTGTAATTATTTAAAAGGATAATAGAAAAATATAATTAAAAATTAAATATTTAAAATTACTATTTTAATTAATAATAATTTTGTTTAATTTAAATATTTAATATCATTTTAATTATCTTTTTCAGATATTAGTTAGAGGTCGTGCATTTGATGAGAGTAAACCAGAGACTTTTAATCAACTATGGACGTTCGAAGAACAAAAACGTTTAGAAGAACTTTTAATAGAATATCCACCAGAGGAAATTGAAATGCGACGTTGGACAAAAATCGCCAATGCTTTAGGTAAATAAAATTTTTTTTAAACAAAATAGAAAAAATATACGTATTTTTAATATTTTATCATTGAAAAACAAATTTTTTTTTTTAATTTTCAAAATGTTGAACATTTCTAAATAATTTTTTGTTTTTTCTTTTTATTAGGTAACAGAACGCCAAAGCAAGTGTCCAGTCGTGTTCAAAAATATTTTATAAAATTATTACGCGCTGGTTTACCGATTCCTGGTCGAGGACCAAAAGTGAAATTGGATACAAGAAGAAATTTAACACATCGACATCAAAGACATAATCAACAAGTTTACAAAAAATCAACATTCTTTCCACATCAAGAAATTTCCTGTGGCAATGAGGATTCGAAAAATCAAATGGCACACGATGAAATTGTAAGTACGAGAAAAAATATATTGATTTGTTTTTTTAAAATTGTTTTCTCATTTTTTTGACTTTTTGTTAAAGGGTGAAAGTACTGGAAACGGAAGTGACGAAGACATTCCTGAAATGAGACAAATTGAACTTTTACGACAAGTAAAGGATGAGAAAGAGACAATTAGCAACGTTCCCTTCGAGCATGTTGGTTACAAGGTAAATTTTGAATTTTTGTTATTTAAATTTTTTAATTGATATTTTTGTTTTATAAAATTTTCAAATTGACTAACTTTTTTCGATACAAAATTTTTTTTTAGTAAATTTGATATTATTAGAATTTATTTTTTTGTATTTAAATAAAATTTGAAAAACTATTTAATTTGCAGTGCTTTGTGTGCGGAGAAGAACCTCTAAAAGGAACACGTTGGCATTGTACAAGATGTTCAGAAGGTGTGGATATGTGCGCTGATTGCGCGGTTGCACAATTGGAAGCAGAAACACCAGTTCACAATCCAATGCATTCATTGACGCCAATTCGACCTCCAAATTATATTAGAAGCTATGATTTGGATTATCTTCCCCAAAGTTTCAATAGCAATACCTACAATTATTTGGATCCAAATTTTTGTCCAGAATAATGAAGAATTTTTTTTTATTCTCGGGTTTCTTTATAGAGTGAGTAATTTTTTTTTTTAATAATAATTTTTTTTACACATTTTTTTTCAAAAAAATGTCTTTTATTATAAGAAAAATAATTGATATCATCATAATATTAATTGATATCGAGTTTGAATATTTTTGCGAAATTTGGGGAATGTTCCATTTGTCAAATTGGTTCGTATTGCTTCGAAAAATTGAATATAGTGATGAGTGTTGTGTCTGAAAGGGAAATATTTTTTTCATTAATCTGATAGGTCGTAATTGATAATTATAAAGAAAAAGAAAAAAATTACGAGTACATACATCATTAGAAGTACGTGTGCGAGTAATTCTTTTGCTTGACATAAATGGTGAATGTAGGCTTTTGTGTGAAGTTTGCAGGTTAGGCAAATACAATCGGGAGAAATCGGTGAAAAATCCTCAGCGTACCTTTATTAATAATTTTAGGATAAAATTATATTAGATTGAGTTTATTGTTTTTTTTTTGCATCGAAATGTTTTTAATAAACAGTTTTGAAACTAAGAAGAAAATATGATTAGTTACCGTTTTTCGTTAAGTGATATTTCAGGTGGAGTTTCATCATTTTGCTGTAAATTGCTCTCAAGTGGGAAGGTAATGGCTTTTAATTGATCTGTCATTAAAGAAACGTATGATGAATCAAATACATCCACTCCTAATCCTATTAAATCTAAAACAACCGTTGGATTCCAACATCCCATTGTTACTCGTAGTTTTTCCTTTGGTAGCATATTCTGAAAATATTTCCAAAATTATATTCTTGGCTTGAATTTTTTTTTTGCGAAATGTTAGGTTGTTCGATAGAATTATTTTTTTCTTTTCTAAATGAAAATATTCTTACGATAGTGTGTTGAAGAATTTTCTCAATCTCCTCATATTTAATTGTGGCAGTCTTGGGACCATTTCGATGAAGACCATCAATAACGTAACCAAGTAGTGAATCGTGATTTTTTAAATAATTTATACATCTTTCCCTCTCATTGATTTCATAACCACCTTCCACTGCTCCTAGAATTCCGCTAAATTTTAATGTTTCCGAATTATTATGTCGTGCTAAACATTGTTTTAGTAAATTTTCACTACGTCTCACAGATTTTTGTACATGTTTTGCAGTACTATGACAATCAGTGTCACCATCACATAATGCAAGGTAGATATCTGGTTTTATTACATCGACAATGTTCATATATTCCTCAGCATTTAGAGTATGTCTTCCGTGTCGAGACCAAACGGAAATTGAATCAGTTTGTTGAAATCCCTTGTTTGTTAATTCATTTGGATCTTGAATTGTAAGAAATGTCAAATGTTCCTGTAAATTTGAATATTTAAATTCGTTTTTTAAGGAAAACAATATTAGTTATAACAAATCGATTTATTACTAAGAAAATGAGGGAACAATTTTATTTTTTTTGTTTAAAGCATTTTTTGAACAGAAAAAAAAATGTGAGAGCAAGAACAAATTTTACAAAGAAAAATAAACTGTTTCAGTTATTATTAGAAAGAAAAGAAAATTTTCGACATCTTTAATTTAATATAATAATAAAGAATTACCTGCATTTTTACAAATTCTACGAAAGAATTGTATTGTTTTATAACCTCAGTCATAGAGATAATTGATGGTAATGAAATTGATAGTAATTGTTGTTGAATATTTACTCCTGTCAATCGTTGTACTTCCTTTGTTAAATGAGGTATACTACCCCTCTAAAAAAAAGAAGTAATTTTTTTGTTTGTTTTATTCATTGCAAAATTAGTAATAGTTTGAATAATTTATTATTATTTACCCTTGTGTACATTAGTAAAAGAGGAGTTGTAAATTTTGTTCCTGGAAATCGTTTGAATCCAGATAATGTTCCAATTCGTGGAGAACATTGTTCAAGGCAATCCGTTGTAAAATTCATAATTAATTTTTTTTCTAAAAAAAGTCTTACGTCTAATATAGTAAAAAAGTTTTTATTTTAATTAATATTCGCAAAATATTACTGTATTGATCACTTCACGTGTCATTTAAAATTTTTTTGAGGTTATGTACCAAACTTTTTAAAAGGGATTTTGCTTCCTTAAGAGGAAGCTTTGTATTTAAAGATTTAAGTTTAAATTCTTGAGTATATTTTATTCACTCTTAGACATTTTTTTTGAGTTTTATTTATTGGATTTTTTTTTCTAATTTGAATATTTATAGGTTATAATTGTTATTTGATTTATATTGTTTAAAATAATTTATCTAGCCTCGTGGATTTAATTCTTTTTTAACTAACAACAGAACTCGGGATATTATTTTTTAAATTTAACTTATTATTTTAAAAAATTTATATTTGTTTTTATTTATCACAACACTTTTCACGTGTTTTATTTACATTTGAGGAGTAAAGACAGAATCTTCTTTATCGCTCAGTAGGGTAAAGTAGATTTCTTGAACTTCAAAAAAAAAATAAAAACACAATTTTCTGCAAAAAATACTTAAAATTTAGAATTTGGTTTATTCCAAAATATTTAAAATAGAAAATATTTATTTGTTAAAATAATTATTGTAACTACTATTGTCAAAATTAAAATTATCTTCTGTTAGACGGGATGGTATATTGCAGGGGTATACAAGCCCCTGTAAAACATCTTCCATAGATGCTGCTTTGCACCTGTGAAAGATCTTTTATAGTAATAACTTGTACTACTCCTGTAAAATACCTTTTCGCCAAGCATAAAAAAGTTTTTCGACTATAATTTTGATTTTTAAATTAAATGTTTTATTTTTAAAATTGTTTAAAAATTTTTTAAATGCAAATATCTTTTTTTTTACTATGGGATAGGAAAAAGTAATAGTAAAATAATTATTGATGTATTTTTTTTTATTTTATTATTATTATTTACAATATAAAAAAGTGCTAGTCTTTTTTTTTGCATTAAATGCAGTGACAATAATTTTTTTTTTTTGCGCACAATTTTAATTTTCATACTTCCTTTATATAATATTCTTTCGCATCGCAATAATACAAATACATACATATACAAATATATAAAATAATAATATATATAAAAATCTGTGCTATATACACCACGAAAAAAAAATAAAAATAAAATAAATCACTCAATTTTTTTTTTACATTTTTTTTAAAATGTGCGTTTTGTACAGTCTGCAGAACAGATGAATAAGATATACTTAAGGACGAGTTAAGATAATTTGTGCCAAGCGCCAGGTGGCGACTTTACCTAAGGCATATGGAAAAAGAGTGAAAGAAAGAAAGAGAGAAAAAAAAATGTAGTTTCAATCCCTCATGGGTTACAGGTACTTTTGTACCAAAGGCTCTTGTATAATATATATATATATATATATATATAAAATTGGCGCACCAAAAACATTTTTCCGCATTTTATTCCAAAAGATTTATAAGATCAGATTGCACTGTGTTATAAATTAGTCAGAAATTAGTGTATATATATTTTTTTTCATCTTGAACATCTGCGCGCTTTTTATTTAATTTATTATATACATCAGAACTGGACTTAATATATATCTTAAACAATTTTTATATTTTATTCTTATAATTATAATACGCAACTTCCCGTAATGAAGTTTAATTTTTTAAAAATTAATTTCTATCACATGAGATTTTTTTGGAATTTTATAGATTTATTTATATAGGTATATATTAAGCTCAGTTTGATTTTTATCAATATTTTTTCATATAAATTTATATTTTTGAACGTGACAACATCTTACTTCGAATTTTAATTTTTTTAAACTATATGTTAGTACAGCGCTGACAGTATTTTAATTTTTTGTTACAGATTCTATCCTGGATGGCTTATTTTGAAAGACATCAGAATTCACACAGACTTTTTAGAACTCGGTCTATTTTGACGGTTATTTTTCACATTTTCTGAATGGAAATTTAACTTGAAAGTAGGGATCTCCGAGGGTTATTTAGTTTGAAAGAAACTCCTCGAAGCTGAAAATTTGTTATTAAGGTAAATATTTTTGAATTTATTGGAAAAATTTTATTACAAAAAAAAAAATTTAGTTGTATTTGGTTCAAGTAAATATTTATTTGATAATAGTAATCAAGTATTTGAATCAAATAAATTTTTTTTAATGTTTTTAAGTACAAAATATATACTAGAAAAAAAAATTTTATAAAATATATATTAATTAAAAAAGACGTTGTCACGATCAAAATTCTCCGTCCGTGTAATAAATACAGACTCCGCTTTAATTTTAAAACACTAATTCATTTTCATTGAATATTTTTTCATGGAATGCTTTCGAAAAATGATGTAAATATATATTTTAGAGAAAATTAGATTTTTACACTGAGGAAAAAATTTATTTGATTCAAATAAATGTTTATTTGATAATAGTCAAATAAATTTTTTTTTCATTGTAGATTTATCACACTTTTTTTATTTTCGGAGGTAGAGATAGAGTTTTATAAAAACGTGTGATTTTGAGATAAATCACTTGAAAAATTATATTATTTTATTTTTCAATTATATTTATTTTCAGTATGACCCTTGGGAAAATTTTTATAACAAAAATTTCATGAATCTAATTAAAAATATAGGTTTTATATTTAAATGTTAATTTATACGCGAAAATAGGATTCTAGGTGGCTTAAAGAAAGGTATTCCAATCTCTTTAAAATTTCTTGGCTGGTTTTTAAAAGACCCTTGAAAATGTCAAGCATGTTTTCGAGGTGTCCAAATATTTGGAGGCGCTACTTTTTCTTTCTGAGAAATATTCTCAAAGGTCTTTGTTTTATTTTTCGTTCTTTTTTCTTTTTTTTTTATCTCGTGTCTCGCGGCAAGTGTATATATTTATAAGCCTCCAACGAATCTTTAGTATTTGGAAAAAAAGGGCGCCGAATTTCACCTTAAATCCAGAGAATTCGAGAACTATGCGAAAGTAGTTGTATAAAGGGAGTTGACGGAATGCAACGATTATAACGATTTAAGAATGAGAAAGAAAAATAGGATATGCATTTTACGGTATATATATATATATATACTGTGTTATATACCAAAGAGAATCTTGGTGAGATGAGATTGCAAAGACGCGGAGGGGTGGGTCGCCAACACATATCTTGATATCTCGCAGTTCGATCTCTTGTGCTCTGGCCGCTCGTATATTTACATGTATAATTTATATAACCCGCCACGTATAGGTACAAGGCGATCTTGGTCCACTATATACGTATATATATATAAATAAGTTTCCACCCTCCGCGTGCACCATCTTCTCGCGGTGGGCCCCCCATTATAAAGAGCCGTCGAACGGTTCACCACGAAACCTCGAATCTATATATATATATATATATATATATATTCGCGCAAGTTCGAATACTGCGTTGAGATTCCCACGATCAAAAAGATCGCGTCTGAACTTTAGCGATTTCTCGCGCCGCTGATGGCAAATTCTTTTGTAAATGTTTCATCGTCCAGAGGAGAAGAAAGAGGGGAAAAAAGTGCGTCTAATATATATATATATATATATATACTATATATATATATATATATTAGCCCTAGGCGTTAATTCCTGAATCCAGATTATTATAAATGCTCTCTATCTATAAGTTGATACTGTTTTTATGCACTTTTTATAAATTCCTAGAATTTTGATGATCCGTTTTATATAATGATTATGATGATGATAATCTTGATTTCAATCTCGAAACTCATGTTTGCCAATCAATTTTTTGTTTCAGATATGTGTATTTTTGCATATGTAAAATCGAAGCTTGTATGATATGATCAAAGAGGAAAACTTGATTTTAAAATTGAAGAAATGGAAAAAATGAGACTTGGGGAAGAATTAAAAAGTGATGTGTGAAAGAAGAAAAAAAAGTGAGTGCAAAGTAGACAGATGAAAAAAAAAGTGGGTTGCAAATGTGAAAAGTATCTAGTAGAAAGAACAAGAAGCATAAGAGGGAAGTGAAAAGGACAAATAAAATCACGGTATTTTGAAAATTTTGAACAAAGTAAAAAGTATGAACAATTAAGTAAAGGGAAATGATGCAAACATTAGTGATGTAAATTGATGAACTAAAGTGATGAAGAAAACTGTATTAAACAAAAATGTATTGAACAAAAAATGTAGTGAAGAAAACTGTAGTAAACAAAAATGTATTGAACAAAAAATGTAGTGAAGAAAAACTGTAGTAAACCGAACTGCAATGTACAAAAAAATAGTGAAGAAAAGTGTAATGAACAAAAATGTAGTGAAGAAAACTGTAGTAAATAAAACTGCAATGAACAAAAAGGTAGTGAAGAAAAGTGTAGTGAACAAAAAAATAGTGAAGAAAAGTGTAGTGAACAAAAAAATAGTGAAGAAAAGTGTAGTGAGGAATCAACAAGTGCCACCTATCAGGAGGAGTGAATGATCAAGAAGATGCTAATTCCCATGGGTGCAGTTCAAATCGCAGTTCAAATCGCAGAGACCATCGATCCGGGAGCAGTTAGAAAGCAGAAAAGGTAGGATTGCACATTATTTGCAAGACTTATTTTATTTATAAGAAGGTAATACTTTTGAAAAAGTACCACCATTAAAACTTTTAAAGATATGATGTATTTTAAAACATCATCACCATTAAAATATATAAAAAGATTTTGCAACGACACAAAAGTTCCACTTTTGATCCTCTGAGGTTAGGTTTTGAAGTTTTGTGTTTTTGAACATAAAGAAATTGGTTTTTAGAAATAATTTTTCTTAAAGAAAAAATCATATAGTTGATCTAACGATATATATACTTCCCTAAATGACAGAACGAGGTGGATTGTTATATAGAAACAGAAATTATTACAAAACTAATAATGTCCTTTCTATTGAGAAACCTTTCAATAATTTCGATTTCTCCTTTATTCAAATTGATCTTTCTCCCCAATTATATATATTATTCAATCAATATGAACTCAATTCCTTATGATTATCATAGTTTAACGCATATAACGGATTATATATTGATATACAAAAGAGCTCCAATAATGAAAAGGTCATTCCCTCCCATAGTATATAATATAATGAGTTTAAAAAATTCAATTGTCCAATAACGTTCAAACAAAACAAAAATCGTTTTATTTTACTTTAAAAAAATGCGGAGATTTTTTTTTTTTAATGAGAAAAAAGAAATAAATATAAATGAAGCGCGTTGTAAGGTGAATTTTTGGTGATATGAGAGTTTGGTCCAAGGAATGCCAGTTCATTGTATCGCAGTATATATAAACGAGACTTTAATTAAGTGCGGGAGTTCCAATGAAATTCACATTAAACAAGAACAAGACACGCGTTATTCCCGTTTGTTCATCCGGCAAAAATGCTTTATCCGCGTACACCCCGCGTACACCTCTTCTTCTCTCTCGCGGCAATAATATATATTATAAGAGTGTCGATGTGTGTGCTATATATATATATATAGTAATATGTGTTGCGCACTTCGTGGGATTTTTTTCGGTAAAATAATGCACCTTCGCGGTAGTAAGAAAAGAGAGTAGGTCCCTCCCGCCATTGTGGTCGCAGGGGCACAATTAATTATTGCGTGCCCGCGAGGGAGTATGCGCGCATTGTTGTGTGCATTCTCATTTCTATATATATATATATGTATTATACGTATATAAGTTATATATATATACAGATATTCCGCCCTAAGTTTCTTCTAGTTATCTAGTACTTTAGAAAATCTAGTTACTTTTCGAAATTTATATTACTTTTTTTTTTTAAATATTGTCATTTTGTGTTTATTATTTTTCTTCTTATAAGACTTATTTTCGTCTTAAATTAATAAATTTTACTGTAATCGAGACTAAAAGAGACAAATATTTTTTCAACCAAATTACACACTCCTGAAAGTAAGAATTTCTTTTTCTCTTGCAATTCGCGTATACTTTCTGTCGACCTTTTCTCTCTCCGTTGAGTGAGTATTCCTTTAGGGCATTTTGGTTAATGCACACTCTTAATAAATTAAGTTCCCTGGTATGTGTGTGTATGTGTTGGTCGTCGTTGTGCAGAAGTTGCAGTGTGATATAGAGTATAACGTTTGGTAGTTGCAGGTACTTGTAACTGGGTATTTTGCCGTCAGATTCTCTCTCTTTGCAATTCAGTATAAATTGCGTGAAACACGCATGCATATATATATATATATGTGTGTTTGTCCACAGGTAAAAGGATATATAAAAGACGACGATTGGTGAGAATGAGATTGCGCGCGGAAAAAAGAATGAGCACGAAAACGTCTTTCCTCTGTCTTGTCGTCGTCGTAGTCGTCGCGCGCGACAATTCGAAGCGGCGGTAATTAAGAGAACGCTTAACATGAGTCGAGTAAACGATCTCGCCAGATCAAATTAATTCCAGGCGGTCGAATTAATTTCGTTTTACGAATCGTCGTTGCCGCGTTCTTTTATTCCCCTCTTCCCATCCCCTCTTAATACCTACGTCAGTGTTCGCGCGAAAAGGATACCAATTACGTGATAAATTGAACCTCGAAACATTTACCAACTGACTTTATATACCACCCGCGTCCTCTCGAGCATAATTAATTCATCAATTTTATCGAATACACATTTTTTTCATTATCTCTTTTATAGGAATTTTTGCTTCTTTTTCTGAATTTTAATAAAACATGCAAAAAAAAAAAATATCTTCACTTAGATCAACGATATGTTTCACTAAAACATAAGTTTTCGCTATTCATATAGAGAAATATATCGTTGTTCTAGAGAATTATCGCTGTTCCAGGTAAAGATTTTTTTGCATGAAATGTTACTGTTTTGTATATTTATGTTATTTTTATCTCTTGAAAAATTGTATAATATAAAAGATCGTGTTAAACGATTCTTTCTCTCTCTCTTTCTCTCTCTCAATCACTGGTTTTTCATTTTTGTAATACGTAGTTTAAAAAAAATTCTTTTTTTTTCTCCATATAACAGTGATGAAGTTAATTTAGATCTCGACGCGAATACTAATTTCTTTGAGGATATGTATGTTGCGTGTTACTGAAAATGAGATTCGCGTGCGTGTCAGAGGGGTGCATTTTACGACTGACGAATGTATGTTTGTGTGTAAAGTGGCCGCGCATAGAACGGAAGTAAGATTCACGGCAACGTTGCGCGTACAGAGTTGTAACATCAAATTATACAAGACACCTGTTCCACGAAATAACTTCATTCGCACATTTTGCGCTCGCCTTTTTTTTTCTTTTCTTTTTTTTTTACTTTTTATTTGTACTTAGTGGAATAAGTATACTGAGAATTTTCAATTACATGTAAAATTTCGTTTTTCTAATGAAGTATCCTCCCCTTAGGATGATTTGGATAAAAGGATATATTAATTACAGAGAGAGAGAAATGGGAAACAAAAATAGACTTTTAGTACTGACAAAGTAAATTATAAACTGGTTAGGAATTTCTGCGAAGTTCTGGTAATTTTTACTTTAGGAATAGTAAAAAATGCTATTCCCGGAGTAAAGTTTACTATTTTAGGAGTAATTTTTTTTTATTTCCGGAGTAAAAGTAATTCGTAAACTGTCTGGCATTTTTACTCTCGAAATAGAAAAAAAATACTATTTCCAGAGTAAGCTTTACTATTTAATTTATTCTGTTTCCAGAGCAAAATTTGTCAGAGATGCGTTTAAGCTGCGGACATTTAGTAAAATGAAGAAATAAGTTTATCCCATCATAATTATTTCTAATTGAATGTCTTTAGTTGTTGAATTTGAGTTTATAAATTTTGTATCGAGTAGGTATATAAAGATATATTATATTGACTGCTCGATTGCGTGTCCCAGAGATTATCTTTAGATGAGATTGGAGAGATATTACACAAAAGTATAGCAACTCGATTGTTTTGTATTATTCGCGGAGGCGTTTATATATAAGAATATATGTATATATACACGATAAGATTGAGTATTATTATTATTATTATTATTATTGCAATACAAGTTAGATCAGTGATCATATGGCGCGAATTACGTATATATCTATTATTAAGGGCAGGTTCTCGATTCGCACTTGTTTTTTATTCTTCTCTTTTTTTTCCCTCATCTTTTGCAAAGTTGTTTTCATAATGAGCAGGTTTCAGTCACTATATTTAGAGCATAAAATGAGGAGAAGCTGCTGTGTCGTGTATATATAAAGGTGTTGATTCTTTTACAAGTCTGAAGAAAATTGGTTGCATGTCTTAACTTGCAAGACGTGCATATTAGTTTGCTTCGATCACAGTTGTTGAGAAATCATTCCCATTATCAAGTTTAAATCTTTAATGGGGTCCCCCCCCCTCATTTTTTTAACCAGTTATTTTATACGCTTGAAAATGTTTCTGCATTCCTAGCGTTAAAAAAAGGTATTTTATTTAAAGATTAAAAAAATTATTTAGTTTTTTTTTTTTTTTTTTTTAGTGGAATTTGTTTTTTCCCTTGGGTCAAATATTATTTTGAAAATAATTGAAACGTTCAAGTGATTTATATCAATTTATAACTTGGAAAAATTAATTTCTTTTTTATTGGCAAAAAATATATTTGATTTCTTCTCATCCTTAAAAATTCTTTTTTGTTATAAATTAAAAAAAAAGTTACCAACAGTCTGGTAAAAGCTACTAAAACACATACGATAGTTACACACTCACATTCACACGCACTAACAACGAATAATTTAAATTAATTTTTCACTCTTATAGAGAATATAAATCTCCTTTTTCTTTTTACAAATTATTTTGAAATTTAGAATTTCCTATTTACAATTGTCTATATATTTTTTTTTTTTAATTATTGATTATAAAATATAGAAAAATACGAACAGGTTGATGATCTTTGGAAGCCGTGTTCGAGTCCGTGACTTAGTTCCTTGATCTCTATGTGTGGCGTTCGATAGTAACCTGATCTTTGATCAGGAGTCCAACTAGCGTCTTTTATATTGACGACATTTATATATATATATATATAATTCAAAGTGAAAATCGTTGACTATTTCTGGCTTTCCTTTCTTTCTCTTGGATAGAAAGAAGGAAGTGATTATTTGTTTTGATAAGATTTTTTTCGCGAATTTTATATATAGTCCGATGGCACTGTGGTCTCGTTAATTGCAGCTAACCTGAAATGTGGAGTTTCTAATGTCTGTGGATTGAGGGTAAGAGTTGTTGTTGTTGTTGTCGTCGTCGTTGTCGTTGTAATTGGCGGTACTATTTGTTGATTTGCTGAATTGGAACTAAGATCACTGTAATATGCACTACTCGGTGCACTACTTAACGTTGGTCCATCGGGTTCAGCATCACTTCCCGTGTAGGCTGTATTTTGATAGGACGGATGTTCACCAGGTACACCATCAATTCGCATTGGCGAATGATGATGTAGATGATGATGATGATGGTGATGATGATGATTAGTAGATGTTGGTGAACTTGGTCCATTTTCATACATCTCGTAATCTGGCTCTCGTATCCTGAAAATAAAAAGATTTTTCTATTTTATATGCGATACGGAAAATGAAATGATTTCTTATAATTTTAAAGACACCCTCAAAAATGACTAAAGATTCTATATTTAAAAGAAAATTTCACCTTTGACTGTGTCGGGTGCGAAGGCCATCTCTAGGTAAAGTACTGTCATTATTTCCGGCTCCATAATGCCGATGTAATCTTGCAGCATCCAATTCATGATATTCATCATCTTGACCACCGGAAGTTGTACCGTATGTCGAACTTCGTAATTGTAGATCGCTGGCATAACTTGCAGCTTGTGAATCGAGTTCGGCATAGAGTGCTTCATCCGTTTGCATATGGGTGTAATGATTTTCAACAGGTAGATTAATTGCTCTTCGATGTTGTGGAAGGGAAAGAGGCGCCGCTACAACTCCTGGTGCACCACCACCGCGTCTCGATCCTAACCATGACCATACATTATGTCCTGAAAAAATTCCAATTGTTTTTTACATTAAAAAAAAATAACAATTATAAAATTTTGATTTGGAAAAACTTGGATATATCGTTAAGGAGTATTTAACGGCTTTTTCTGGGAAACCACGAAAGTGTATACCTTCCTTTTTTTTTTGTTACTCATATGTGTATTTAAATATGTGCGTACATTTTGAGTACCTGCATTATTTACGAAGGTTAGACTTGCGGTTAGAGCATAAAGTTACCTCATTTTTAAGAACTTATTTTAGGTTTCTCCTGAGAACCCACAGTAATTACTTAATTATTGTAAGCACGTTTGCAGGCATTATGGGAAAATAATTTTTGGATAAAATTATAAAAATATAGTATATCTTTTTAAATAATGACTATTTCGTGATTAGAATTAGGATTTTTATATAAAGTACAAATTAATGTTATGTCAATTTAACAATTATGTTTTCTAATGAGTGTATAAGTGTATGAATAGAGTGCAGATCGTTAATGTAATGAATAATGTTCTGATAGAGTCTTCAGTGATGAACGTTGACTAAGATCAATGATGTTCTTCCCGTATATACATCGATTTTCTCTCTCTCTATATAGAGAGAAAGTTTGCATTTTCTATATATATATATATATATACAATAAGGATCAACTTCTCTTGAATAAGATATATTGTGACAGTAGAATCGATATACTCACCAGGGCTTGGCGCGACATCATGATAAGGTGGTAATTTATCTAGCTCAAGTGGCGGTCTATCAGGTATCACGGAAACGCCACCACCACCTGCGCCTCCGCCACCTGGATTCCCGGATTCCTGGTTCGTTGCATCTTCAACACCAATGCCACAGCAACTTGCTGAAAATTAGAAAATTGGGTTAGAATTTTTCATTTTCGTTTTACCATTTGGATTGAATTATTAAACATGGATTTAAAATTGATTTTTAATTGTTACTTTTGCAAACTGTTGATGTTAGGGAATAAAAATCAGTTTGTGCAACGACGTATGGATGATAGTGGTAATTCTTGTTGAAAGTCGTATTGTTGGGCCTCATTTTTTTTTTTTGGTATATAAGTAGACGACTCAAATTTCGTAATATTTTATTGTGAAAGGGGTTCAAATATATATATATATAAATTTTGGGGCTTCGACGTATAACCGACCAAAGAAGCTTGTCAAGTGCCCAGGTGAGGTTATAGAGCGAGACGGTATCCTGATATCGTATATGGGCCGCATAAATGTACGTTGGATCCCTGCACATTATGACATGAGCGCGCATGTATGAAAAGCCTGTTTTCTGTATGGCCTCATTGTGCTCCTGTCATAGCCTGTCATGGCCATCACGATGGAATATGGGAAGGAACGGAGAGAGAGAGAGAGAGAGAGGAGAAATCATTGGGAGGGACCATACGCTTGGCATTTCATAGATCAGAGATGCCGACAACGGGAATGTCGAAAAAACGAGATTATATGGGAATTTCACTCTATATAATCTCTCTTTCTCTCTGAAAGGGTATTTGATAGTTCATCCACGTACATGTCTTGAGATCTATTTCTTATGTGTCCTATTTCTTTCTGGAAATTTTTCTATACTTGTTGCTCTTTCATTCTCATTGTTATAGTTATTGCATTCTATGAAAAGATTACAGTTGATCTATTTGATAATTTTGCAGAAGAAGGACTTTTTATTATAGTGGAAAATAATTGTCTTTTTGTTTTATGAAACACTGAGAAAAGGATTTGATTTTGATAACAAATTGGTTGGTATTTAAGAAACCAGAATTTGTTCCTTTACAGCATCCGAAAATTCAGGACGTCCAACGGATGTTGGAGGGTTTGTTGCCTCAATAAAATTTTGGTTTAAATACCAACCAAACGTTTTGTTGTCAAAACCAAACTCTTTACAGTAAATGCTTATGGATTTAATCCTTGTATTGCAATCTCTCTTAAAGTTCAACGGAAAATGAACTTTGGTTTTTTTTTCAAATATTTAAAAGCTTTTCTGTTATTAAACGAAAACATCATAATAATCTGATGGGTGGTTGTTAAATCAGACTTAAGGAATCAAAAGGTTATAAATGTATTATATAGGAAAGGATGTTGCTGTTTTAATGTGAAATCTCGATGATGGAAAAATATTTTATAAATTCTTTAAACAAGAATTTAATACGCGTCATATATAAATATTATATATACAAAAGAGTTCAAAAGTTTAAATATATTCGTATTATAATTTACAATATTTAGGCCAAAGTAGCTTTTGCACAAAAAAAAAATTATACCTTTTCCTTAAGAGTGCAAAGTCAATTTGAAATAGTTTAAATATTATAATAGTGCAAAAGTCAATTTGAAATAGGTTTCTAGCATATTATGTTAGGAGAAGAGTGCAAAAGTCAATTTGAAATTACAAGAATGCGCGCGCGCTTTTTAAAAAAAATATTTATTCACGCGGGATAATTGAAAATCATTAATGGGAATATACCGCAATTGGAAGACGGTGTATGTATTCAATTTTGTAGCTGTGATTTCTGATCGTAAAGTTGAGAGCTCGAGGAATATACCTATATATATATATATATATATATATATATATATATACAACAGGAATTGATACGCCTCGGGGGGAATCGGATTAGTCACGTGGCGCACACACAACGGTACGTGGGTTAAGTGTTCTTACCTAAGGAGCGGACAATCTTCAATCTTAAACATAAGCATTCTGTCATATATGCGTGGGAGAAAACTTGTTCATGTCAACTACCATTTCCGATGAAATTGGACTATTATAAATGTCCCTCTTATGCTAATCGAAATCTCTTCGCGTATAGCGATGATTTTGCATGTTAATGTAAAAAATACTCTTGATAATTAATTGAAATGTCTAAAATTTTTAGATTTGGAATAATTTAAACAAGTATTTGTAAATATGCAGTTCATAGGGAATTGAAATGAGATTTTTTTGGAATAATGTAAATGCAATTCGGGAATAGGATTTTTTAATTTTGTTTTTATATATGCCACTTGATTGAACAATATATCTCATCAGTTAAGATCACTTAGTGGATATAAGGTATCTTAAAGAATAACAATGAGTCAAGATTTCCAAGACTTGTTGACTTTATATAATACTTTTTTTTTTCTGAAGCCGAGAGAGAATTTTTAGCTTTCTTTTTTTTCTCCTGTCATTAAGATCACATATAACGCCAATCATAATTCTAACCTCAATGCAATGAACCTTGATGAACAAAGAGCTATTCTCAAGAGAGGAATATATTTGAAATGATGAACCTTTACTAATTTTTTTTTTTTTATCTTTTAAAGTAATCGGATCTCTTTCCGGGTTGTCGCTTCCACTATTATTTCGCTATCGCTTTAGGTGTATGTATTTTAATATCTGTGATCTACCGCTAAAAATTATTCGCATATTTATTATAATTATTTTATTTCATTGTAAAATTGTGTCGCTTTTTGAATGTTTATTCCCTTGTTTTGTGACAAAATAACGACAGGGGGGCTGTATAACTGGAAATATTTTAGATATGCACCTATCTCAATTTTTTTTTTTTTAGACCTGACTTGTCAAAGAAGGTGCGTAAGTGACAGGACATAAGTTGATTTCAACGCAGTTTCCCGTGGTTATATATTCTCATTTCTATAACAGCTGAAATTCCAAGTGTGTGTGTGTGCGTTAAGGGTCCACTATATATGCGATAAGCCGATTATTATTATATTCAACTTTTTTTGTCCCCTCTTCAAACTAGCTTTCTTCCCCTCATTTCACCGCCTTTTCATTTCATTTTGATTCTAAAATCTCTCTCTAGCTTTTGATATATGTAATATATGAATGAGTATAGCCTTTCTTTTATATATTTAACATAATCTCCTCAGATTATATTCAACACTTGAAAAAAAATATTCATGAATGATTTTAAATAGACATTAAAATAAGAACAACATGTAGCCACACATTTATATATATGTTGAAAAGAAAATTGTATTCAAAGATTCGTTGAATGGATTTTTTGATTTATTGAAATAATTTGTGGTATATATAAAGTCGTTATTGTTGACGAAATTATTCTCCTTTTTTTTTAATTGATGTCATAATTATCATACTAAATATTGATTTTGTATTTTATATATCATTAGTTCTTTTTAATATAATGAAAATATAATGGAAATTTAGTATTATAAAACTAATGAAAATTTAGTACTATAAAAAAATTTAATATTATAAAGCTAATTATATTTCAGAAGTAAAATAACTGTAAATTAAAAGTGGGATATTACCGGAAACACTAAATAGTGAGTCGTATTTTAAAAAAAAATCCATGTATGGCGTTAATTATAGGTTTCTGAAAAGATCTGATAATTACTATAGGTGTTTAAATATTACATCAGTACTTACATTTAAAGGAAACGAGCGCTTCAGGGGGTGTAACTAAAAGTGACAAGATGCAAGAAAAGATTGGTTCATTACGTTAACACATCGCGCATAAAATTAAACTTTTATTCACCTTAAATTTAGATTCTCTCTAACATTATATATATTATATATATACGCAGGACTACATCTTTTCCCTGTTGGGGATCCTTGCGGGTTTATATATATTTAGTTGGAAAAATTAAGCTCACTTTACCGGTTTTCTTATATGGTCTATCTACATAAGATTACAGACTTCAAACAAGACTTTACGTCACTTGTAAAGTAATTTACTGTATAATAATTCGCAATGATATGTCTCTTTATATAGTAATTTGCAGTACGTCATATGCAAAAAATTTTTTCTTCTCTGATCTTGATTTCTTGGAAAACGAGTTGTTTATTAAAGATCAATTTTCATTTTTGACACTAATATGAGACTCCAAAGTCAGATGTGAAGTATTCGATCAATTAGATTGCTTTCTTCTTTTTTTTTAATATGCAAAATTTACTGTTATGGAATAAGCGAAAGTTTAGTATCATTATTATAGGAGTATAGTAATAATTGTTATAAGTATATGATAATAGTTATTATACCTTTGGTAATAGTTATTATACCTTTGGTAATAGTTATTATACCTGTGGTAATAGTTATTATACCTGTGGTAATAGTTATTATACCCATGATAATAGTTATTATAACTATGATAATGGTTATTATAATTATTATATCTGACTAGTTTGATTAAAGCTGGGTGCTAATCTCTTTTGAGGTAAATATTCTTCGATTAAAATGGGTGAACTATTTTTGTCGTCTTTTCTTTTTGAATAGGGATCTTTTGTGCTCAATTGAAAATTGAGGATAGGAACGCACACGTTGTGTGCGATGATTATTTCGCGGCTTGGGCACCGGTAGGATTACATACGTGCTAATAAAAGCGTCGAAACAGCAAGAGCGCGAGTCGAGCTCAATCGCGGAGAGAAACCTGCAATGGACCACCGTGGTGGATCATCTTCCCCTTTTTCTCATCGACATAGACTGCAAAAATTCGCCAGATAACTTTCATTTCGCTTTGAAAATGAAGAAAAATTTGGGAATCATTTTTCTAATTTTTTCATAAATATATATAATTCTTCAGATATCTTTTGAGATATTCTTTTAGATATTTTGGTTATCCTGTTAGATATCATTTTAGATATCCTTTTAGATATTATTTTAGATATCCTTTTAAAGAAAAATCAGTTTCCTATTTCTTTGAATGTGAAAGAATTTTTGTTTTGTTTTGTAATCTGGAACAATTTATAAGGTGAAAGTGATAGAAGATTGAGAGTATAGAAGCAGCAGGGGGATTTGGTAATATATATGAGATGGGAGTGTTGAATAATTAATTCGGATGACCCCCATAGCATTCACAGGTATCGAAGTGTATATATATATATATATGTGTATAGTGTTGTGGTTGTCGCCGATCGTGCCGCGGGTGATTTTAAATCAGAAAGTTAATTAGACGCGTTTCACTGTCTTTAATGTCGCACGTCCGTCCTCACGATCTTTTAACATTGCCTTAGGGGGATCGCATGCCAACACCGATCGTCATTATCAATGCGAACTAATTAAACTCCAATCGACGCTGACACACTACTCGAAAGAAGACGCGCGACTACGACGACGACGACGACGACGAGAGATATGTCGGATTTTTGTGTCGAGAGTATATAGCTACTGTATTATATCTTTACTAAATTAATAAATTTTCTTTAATCTTATTTTGCAAAACTTATAACTTATTTTGATTTCACCGAAAATTATAAGGTATATTAAAATAAGCTGCAACACTTATTATTTTAATCCAATTTTGCTTATTTTAATACCAAAATGGATTAAAATAAGTAAAATTGGATTAAAATAATAAGCGTTGCAGCTTATTTTAATGCCTTTTAATTTTCTGTGTTAAATATTTTTTTAGTTCGAGTAAATATTTATATAATATACTCAACTGATTATTTGAATTAGACGGAAAAAAAATCTTTATCTGGAACAAATATTTGTTTCTTTAGAATTGCCAAAACTTTCACTGTTCTGGGTAATAATTTTTTTCTGTGTGCAAAATAATTTTTTTCAGTTTATATGATTGCTAAAAGAACGAAGGAGATTCTTTTTATTCAGACGATATTTTATTTTGTTATCTTGTTTTAGATCGATAAATTCCGCATTTTTTTGTTGGTGACGAGTCGTTTTGTTTATTTGTTTCTTTTTTCTCTTCTTTTATTTGGTTGTTAGCGAAAAGGTCGTGAGTCTAACATCCGGATTGGAAGGAAAACGAGTAGTAATAGACAGTGAAGCATCTCTTGTTAGAGAACGTGTTGTTTGAATTGAACTTGTGTATGTCACGTTTTTAAGCTTAAGGAGAGAGTGATTTGCTTTTATCACAAGCCTTGTCTAATATATCTTGCTGAAATCGAACACAAAATCTCGTCTAATTTATCTTTTTGATAATTACATTAATCGTCGTTTGCGAATGTGAAATTGAACTTTCTATATTTTGAAACATTTTCTCTTCTATAGTATATAGTTATCAGTGGTATACTACCTGACAACTAGTAGCACTTGTACGTCATTAATTATTTTCAATGTTGGCCTTTTATTCTCTCTCTCTCTTTTCTTTTTTTTTTTTTTTCTTGAAATGAATACATCGAAATAACAATAAGAATTCTATTGGGAAATTTTTCGGAAAAAAAAAATTATGATTATTAATTATAATTATAAAATATCATATTTATAATTTATAATAGTGGATTATTTTTAGTATTAATTCTGTTAAGGAATGTTTTGTAGCTTAAAAAAAAATTGGGAATTAGGAAAAATTGCCGTAGAAAAGAAAAAGTGATAGGAAAAAAAAAGTATTACTTTATCTATCTTTAATGGTTGTTGCTCCTTCAGTAGAAATTACTCTTGGTTTTAAGGTAATATATATCGCTATTGGCAGAAACATTTCAGAGGAACTCTGTCGTGAATTCTCGAATGCTTATGGCTTCCTTCGTTTTATTACTAGCCATTTTATTTCCAAAGGTATCGAGTAGCCGCACTTTAGAGAGGAAGCGAAGTTCCGTGAGCGCGATTGGATGATTTCTGCGCGCGATAATAACTCTCGACAATTCTTCTGGACTGCGTCGTTTTATTGAAAATGAGTTCGCTTAAAAATAAAAAAAAAAAATTGCTAATTTCCTATAATGCTTAAAAAAAAATCCTCTTGATTTTTTGAAATTTAAGTTGATTTTCATTTCTGGTATATATGGAAAAATAAGTACCCTATCAAAAATTTACTAATGACACAGTACTGTGGCAGTACTGGCGCTATACTTGTACCAGTACCGCGTCAGTATTCAATTTCTTTTTAGTAGGACAGTAACTAATAATAAAAATAATTTTCTAATTTTTTTTTTTGTGATTTAATATCTAAAATGATTTGTAAATTTTTTTTTTTTGGGCGAAGTGGCGGTGGTTGTAAAAGTGCGAAAGAGTCGAATAGACGCGATTTGTGCTCTGCGGCAAACTCGGTAGGGGACTTGGGATAATTGGGCATGATCGTTTCGATGCCTAACCCGTCAGCACACACACACTGCTTCAGGCCCAGTGGGCCGCGCGCCTCAGAATGTTAATTCGACATGATTGGAGGGGGGGGGCCTAGTATTTTGCCCTGCCAATGAGTCCCAAGCCCTTTGGTCAATTTCTGATCCATATTATATATATATATCTTGCAGAGCAGAAGTAACAGCAGCTGTAGTTCAGTGAATTTTATTTTTCGGCAGACAAAAGGGGAAATATGGTTTTTTTTTTCTTCTTGAAGTAACTATAGTTACTGATATTTTCTTTTTTTTGCGGTCTATATTATAGAAGGCAAAAAGAAGGTTGCGAAGGAATTCGTTGGAAAATAAGGGTTCTTGAAATTTATCGTCGAATTTTTGTTTTTTAATAGGCCTTGCACGTATAGGTGTAATTGATTATAATTATTATTTAAATTATAGTTAGAGTCTAATGTGATTATTGGATTAATTGAAGGTTTAGTATTCTCACCTCTGCTGCCGGCACTTTTCAGCCTGAAACAAATAGAAATTTTTTTATTAGTATTTGTAAAAGAATTAGTAAATTTGAATTATAATCAAAAATATAATAATATAAAAATAGTAGTAAAAATAATAATAAAAATAGTAATAATAGTAATAATAATAATAAATCTACCGTATATTGTTGTTTACGCTTTTTTTTACTTTGGATAACAGAAATATTATAAAAAAATAATAGTATAGTAATAATTATCTACTTGTCGGTCGATAGTTATTTTTAGATTTTTTTTTGAATTAGTCATTTTTATATAGAGGCGCGAATATATGCAACCAATATGTGTTCTATTAAAAATCTCCCGTGGCTTTAACAAAAGAGAAACGAGATGTATTTCTCGCCCAAAATGAGTAATTCAATTTCGATTTGACCTGATTAAAAAAAAGTCTCGCTTTTTTTTTTATTCATACATATACATATACATATATATGATTTTGAATATGTAGATCACTGGATCAATTTCGTTCTAAAATTGCCTTTATGGAAAATAAACGGTCGAATGTAATTTTGAATAAAATGGACTTTGGTTCCTGTATAGCTTTTATTGTATTTCTTCAAAAGAATATATACGAAAAAAACCTTCCCTGATACAATCGGTATATATACAAAAAAGAAACAGATGAGATATTTTGATCGAGCAATAAATTTTTTCTTTTTAAAAAGTTATAATCAAAATTGCCATCATTTATCCTTCTTTATAATTGTTATCGATTCTTATTAATTGTTATTATTATATTACTATTATTATTTATTATTATTTTTTTATTTTTATTAACAAAATAAATAATATTATTTATCTTTATTATTACAATTAAAAAAATATATTTGTTTGAAATAATCGGTTACTTAAATAAATATTTATTTGAACCGAATAATTTTTATTTAAATTAAATAAATTATCATTATTATTATTAACATTATTATCAATTTGGCTCGAGATCCTGAGGACCTCCGTAAGAGTGAGAATTTAAGAGGATTGGTGAGATATCTTCTTAAACGCTATATAAGTTGTAAATGAGAGTTAGCCGCAAGGGCATGCTCACGATGCAGATCCGCTTAAAATATCGGTTGGTCGGTTTCAATTTCAGAATTCTCGGGGGGTCGATGGTTGTTCGACATCAAAGAGGTTTTGTCAGTTTCGATTTGTCCTCGAGGCGTGCTAATAATAATTTTTTTTTTCTTTTTTCATTTTGTTGCAATTCCATAGAGATATATATGATGGAACGATGATTCAGAATATTATATATCTTAATTATCTTCATCAGAGAATGTTGGATTAGAATTTTTTTCTTATATATCATATTGTCTTTTTTTTGCCAATATGTACAGCTACCCTCTTTTAAATGTCACACGTCAATTTATATAAATGTCCTAAAAGATATTCGCGCGCGCGCGGCATGCGCAATCGTCTTGACACGTCGATCTCTTTGACGCCTGGATGATGAGAGAAATAAGATTGTCTTAAAAATGCTTTTATCTTATATCTTATAACTCATGTCGCGCCATTCCTTACGGGTTTGCAATGATAAGTTGATTTGATTCGGTGATTGATAGAGTGTCAGCTATTCATTTGATTACAATAAATTTTTTTTTTTTTTTTTTTTTTTTTTTTTTTTTTTTTTTTTTTTTTTTTTTTATACATGAGAGACAGAGACGTTTTGTTTTTTTATTGAACATTCTTTTAGTAAATATATGTGAAATAGGTGAGAGAGAATTAATAAATTGTTTCGTCATTTATACGATTATATATTTATATATTTTAATTTAATATTTTGAAGATACATTCAAGTGGAATTCAAATAATTTAATATTCATGTTTTCTTCAAATACTTTGTGAATGCATCAAAATTTCATTTCTTTTTTATTTTGCCCGTTAACACCTGATGGGAATTATTTCTAGTCAAATTCTCATAAAGAGAAAAAGATTTATTAATAATGACAGCTACAATATATTTGAAATAAGAAAATTTTCTAACGGAAATTTGATTACTGTTTTATTGATTTTGAAAATGTAAAATGAAAATTATTCTGTTTTTTATAATTTTTTTTTTCTCATAGAAAAAAATAATTGTGGATTTTGTTTTTTCTTTAGTGGCGTAAATTGAATCTACTTTTTTTTACGCGTCTCGACGATCCACTCAACTGACTTTTATTGTTTGAATCACAAAAGTTGATCCGATTCATGATTTCTTCTTTCTCTGTATAATATAAACGACAATCTATATATCTGAGTATTCTAATCGTTGTCACGGATTATCGTGGAATTTTCAGCCTTTCTCTATCTCTTCGTTTTCTTCGCGGCTTCTTTTGCAGTCTCAAGGACATATTTTATATGTGTTTCATCTTTTCCGCGTGTTCATCTGGATGTTCTCGAAATATCTTTTTTTGGCATAAATAATGCAAAAAAAAAGAAGAAAAAAAAATGAAGCTAATCCTCGCCAATTTTTTGAAAAAAAAAAGTCGTGCGGTAAAATAATGACTTGTGTCCCGTGTGAGCTAGGCTATTATTAAATAATGGCACACACCAGTCTCATCTTAATTACCAATGATGCTCGCATATAAGTGTCACGATGCGTTGAACAGAGTCGTAAACTCATGAAACGAATTTCCCATTACTCGCGCGCCACGATCGTACTTCAAGCTGTGAACTAAACTCAACTAATGATCGACTATAAAAAAAGGGGTAACTTTTTTTTTTATTTGTAAAATTGATATATAGGAACTTAATATAGACTTGAGGAAGTAATTATTTTTATACATCGGTAGTAGAATTTAATTTTTTTTTTTTCCTATAAAATAGGGGTAATTTTATTAATTATGGAATTATTGTGAAATGCGACTTTTACGTATATAGAGGAATAAATGTCAGTGTTTGATAGAAACGTTTAGTATGTGTAGTTTATATAATACAAAGTTGGAAGAGTCTATTTATATATCAGAGGGTACATTGCGCGTTGAAAGAAGATGGACCTTCTTCAGTGACTAATGCGAATACGAGAGTATATATATATATATATATAGGAGTGAATATCGCAATACCAACCTTCGACAGTGAAGAAGCGTGACCATGACGACAGCGCCGATACCCGCTGACACTAGAGATACAATCACCAAGGTCAGGACCCATCCAAGTTCGCCAGGTGCCTCTGCAAAAAGGAAAACATTTATACATAAATACAGTGGTTGAATGAGGAATCACGTTGGAGATGTTCTAATTCTCTTCGTTTCTCTTTTGTGCATCACCTTCTTCTTGCGCGATTCGTTTTAACATGAAATGTTTTAAGAAAGCTCACACGCTACCTTTTCTGTAAAAATTATTCTCCTCCCTGTACCAATTATTATTATTATTATTGTTATTATTCTGGATTTTTACTTTGAAAACTTGTTTTGAATTTGTTTTTATAATAATCGTGGGATAAAGAATTCAAAATTTCAGTACTTTACGATACTTTAGATAATTCAGATAATACATGGTACTTCAGATAATTTAAATACTTCAAGATAATTTAAGTACTTCAAGGTACTTTAGATAATTCAAGGTACTTTAGATAATTCAAATACTTCAAGATAATTTACAGTACTTCAAGGTACTTTAGATAATTCAAATATTTCAAGATAACTCACAGTACTTCAAGGTACTTTAGATAATTCAAATATTTCAAGATAATTCACAGTACTTCAAGGTACTTTAGATAATTCAAATACTTCAAGATAATTCACTGTATTTAAGGTACTTTGCGATATTTCACGATGCTTCAGATAATTTAGAATACTTCAAATACTTCAAGATATAATTTAGAATATTTCGAAATAATTCAAAGTACTTCAAAGGTATTTCCGGGTACTTTACTATACTTCAGATAATTCAGGATACTTTAGATAATACAAGGTATTTCAGATAATTCACAGTACTTTAAGGTACTTCAGGATATTTCAAAGTATTTCAAAATAATTTGTAGTACTTCAGGATATTTCAAAGTATTTCAAGATAATTTGTAGTACTTCAAGGTACTTTAGATAATTCAAATACTTGAAGATAATTCAAAGTACTTCAAGGTATTTCCGAATACTTTACGATATTTCAGATAATTCGCGATACTTAAGATAATTTACGGTACTTCAGATAATTCTGGATACTTCAATTAATTTCAAAATATTTGAAATACTTTAAAAATTTTAGGATATTTTAAAAAATATTTCAAGATATTTCAATGTACACTCAACATATCTCACTTTCAATTTCGAAACTAATTTATTGGGTGCAAAAAAATGTGACTTGTTTTCAAAACAAGTTCCTAGTTTAGATTTATGAGATTCGTAAATTTATTCGCAACGAGGATTTATTTACAGTCGAGAAACATATTATATATATAAGTAGAAAAAAATTGGTAAAATATGTTGAGTGAAAAGTTGATCTAATTAAATAGTCATCAAACAAGATTTTTCACGCAGCCCCCTCTTTTCTTTTTTTTTCCATTTCAGAACATTTTGATTGATTTTATATTGTCGCCATTAGATGCATATTTATTAGAAAATTGATTGAAATAGATTCAAATGAATCGAAACAATTTTATCTCTATGTATATATTAATTATATACGTATATACTTCATGCATGGTTGAGCGCATGATCTTTTAAGAATTTTGTCGATTCCTCTCTCGTATTCTAATCTGCATAATCTCTCGGTGAATATTATGAATGAAAATACAGTATATACTGTATATAACATCGAACTGCTTTTAAGTGGACATATTTGAAGGTGTGCGAAAACTTATATTTTTAAAGTAATTGCGTTTTAAAATAATCAGTGGGATTTAAAAAAAATTTTTTTTTTTTCTTAAATTAAAAATAAACACGCAATATAATTTGTGAATTTAACGGGGCGCATGAAATGGTTATGTAGTCACCATTATTATGGAATAGCTGTTTCAACTCGCGCAGTTATATGCGCGCGCGCGTATCTTGGAAGATCAAGATGTTGCTACTTTGATTCGAGAAAAGAAAATCGTCGTGTAATTGGCTCGTGGTTGTGCGGCTTAACGATAAGAAACGCTCGCGCTCTCAGCGGGGCATCCCTTCGCTTTATAACTCGTCCACGCTATATTTTCCTCGTGTATATATATATATATGTATATACTTTCACCCACCCGACACACCAAGGTGCAAGAATTCCTTTAAATATCCAATATACTTGCATGTATGTACATCTCGATTCTGTTGTGCATTTAACGAGCCACGAGAGATCTCGCGCACAGGTCGCCTGCTCCTTTTCGTAATTAAGAGACTCTTTCCCAGTTTACAACTTGTTCTTATATATGTACACATTTTGGCATATTTATTATTCAATATGAATTTTTTTTTTCTCTCTACCTTATATACAATAAAATTAATATTCACACAGTGAATATATTAATTTTATAGAATAGAAGATACAATTATATTAATTTTGTATTTTTATTTTATTTTTTAAATAAATATATTTAAGAAAGGTTTATGTGAAATTTATTATGTAACTAATTTTTTACCTTGAGAACAAAAAATGAACAAAAAAAACTCAAAATACACTGGGAAAAATTTATTTGACTCAAATAATCTGTTACTTGATATTAAATAAATATTTATATTTGTATTAAATAATTATTATTTGAGACAATTAAATGATATATGGTTTCAAATATAGAAATTATTTGTCCAAATACAGTTTATATAATTCAAATAAAAATTATTTGGCGCAAATATTCATTTATAGTTAAAGTAAATATTTTTGGTAATTCCAAAAATAATCGTATTTTTTTATTCTACGTATGATAATAATTAATTTTAAATTTTTACACTGAGAAAAAAATTTAGTGTTTGCAGCAAAATTGTTTGATTAGTCAATTTTGGTTCTTGTAACCAAATTTTGGTTGGCTGAAACAAAGTCGTAGTGTTATCTCAACCAAACATTTGGTTAGATCAACAAAATTATTTGGTTGAACATTTTTAAATTCCAACCAAAATTCGGTTACGACAACAAAATAATTTGGTTAACACAACAAAATAGTTTGGTCTAAAAAACCAAATGATCGTTTGTTGTCCCAACCAAATTTTGGTTGCTCTGACTAAACATTTTTCTCAGTGTATATTTTTTATTCTGTCATATAATAAAACCTTACGATTTTTTGTTTGTTTCAGGTGAGTCTATAACTTAAAATGTTCATTTGTATCCAGTTTGGTAAGTTTTTAAATAATTGAACTTATTTTCTAAAATATTTAACAAAGTCAAAATTAGTTAAATTGCTTTTAAAAAAATTAATAATTAATTTTAAGTAATTAAAAAAATAAAATTGTGTTGTGAAAAATTAGAAGATTTTTCAAAGAGGTATGCGAACTCAATGGTGATTAGTGTAAGGTCGATGAAAACTATGAACGTTATTAATGGTTATAGTAGAATTTAAGGTGCGGTACAAGAGCTAGAATTGTCGTCATTAAAGATTCGTACTATACGCGTGTGAGAGCGCTTATAAGGTGATCGGATGAATATTTGCGATTCACTCGCATAATAAGATATGTCTTGTGTATATAGTAGCTATATAGTGAATTTTCTGCCCCATGTGTACGGACATGGTACATTCGAATTTATTAAATGGCGCTTTAAGTTCTGTTTTTCTCTCTAACTATAGTTATTGCGCGCTTTTTCCTCGTTAATGTGTATATATATACCCGCTGAGTGCGTTGCATCTTCCTCCTTTTTCAAAGAATACATTATCATGTTTTTCTGAAATATATATTGTACGGGAATGTACAATTTTTTTTTTTAACAGAAGGTTCTTAATTACGCTTCATTTATCTCTGAAGATAACTGCATGCGCGTTAGACTTGTTTGACGTTTTGCCCCGATTCCAGTAATTAAAGTATGATCATTTTTGTGATTATATGTACTCTGATGTGTAGTTTAATTGAAAAGCAAGGATAAACTTTATCTCGAAATAATTACTTTCCCTTGTATAATTTCTTCATTTAGGAAGCATTTTTCTTTTATATATAAAATGACTTCATTTATTTTATATATGCGTTTGAATTTTTTTTTAAATTTTGCGATTACTATATAATTTGACAAATAAATTAAATTGGAAGGGAAAGAAAAAATTTGAGAAACGTGGATGCCGTCATTCGGCATCTAGACCATGACATGAACATAACACTCTCAGCTGCTGATAACACCTCACATGAGAGTTATCAATCATCTCCCGCAGAGAAAAGGGCATCTAAGTCAATTGGTATACAATTCTGAAAGCATGCTTACAGTTATATACCAAAATAAATCCAATAGTTGTACGACCCTTGATTTGATCTTCTCACTTCTATATCGACAGTCTTTTTTCGATTACCTTTTCTTTTAACATGATTATTTTAACACGAGAGTCAAAAGATGACGTGAGAGGCCGCGAAGATGTTGATTATGATTAATAATGTGTCAACACTATATATATATATTCTCTAACAGATCAAAATATTAACTTTGATCTTTGTATTAAAGGTTTCAATGATTTATATTATATATCCAATTTATATAACTTTCGGTATAATGGATATTGTGTCAGTTATTGTTTTCGCGAACCACTGAAACCACAAGCACTGATCCGGTACTGATGATTTTAGTTCACTTATATATCATATATCTTTTGAGGAAAAAAAGAAAGCGGTATATAGTGCGTCGGAAGTTGTCTTGTTGTGCGGTAAATCTTCTTTTTGTTCTTGGTTTTTTTTTTCTCTTGTAACAATGTCATTAAAGTTTGTTCGAGTTTCTCTGCCAACGGTGAGCGTTGAAAACCTAATATCAACGTGATCATCATTCTGAAATGTTGCCGTCTGCCAAGTAAATCCAATCATTTGATCAGGTCCTAATCTGGTATAATCGAGTTAACCGCACACCATAACCACAGGTTCACGCTTGTATCCCAATGATACACCCGTTTTGCTTCAATGAAATATTTTTTGGTACGCTTTAAAATTGATTCTTATTATGTTTGAAACACTTTTAAAATTAGGTTTAATAGTTTTCACTGCTTCTGGAAACCAAAAATTTTCAAAAATTGGTTCTGATTATGCTTGAAACACTTTCAAAATCAGCACCAAAAACCTTTGAAAATTGATTCTGATTATA